CATTCTGTAAAAGTTAGGCCGCTCCTTTTTCCTTTCACCATAGGTAAATATAACCTGATTTATTCTGAATGTGTAAAAGTATTTTTTGTACGTATTTGTCGCGTATTCTATGGTTTTCAAGGACAAACGCAATCACTGTTTTTTAGTATGTAATTTGAGACCAGTTTTCGAGAAGGTCAAATTTGATATACGTCGTATTTTGAGCCTTTCAAAGGTTTGGATGGCCGCCTTTGATCCTTCGTCAACAGCTCTGACTAAACGCTCTCATACGCTCTCCAACGGTACATGTGTTTCGCGCATTTTAAGTGCTAGTGTTTGAGACCTATTATGACTAAGAAAAGGCCTATTGTTGCGTTACACAGCGTTACTATTGTATACAAAGCCGAATGAGATTGTTACAAAAGGTAATATTTTCATGTGTGCGCGCTATTTTCTTTGTTTTCAAGTATACTGTCTCTACCGCGGAAGATAACTCCAGAGATACGGTTTTCAAAACCTGATTTTAAGTATTCTCTATTCTTTTAAGCATATTTGAAAATCTGTATGTTTTTTTATTAAACGTTGAGCGTGACGAATTTGGTCTTAGAGGGTGTAACGCTTCTCCTTTTGCGAATCCCGTATTTACACCTTTAAGTGAAAAATAATGAAAAATAATTCGTATATAAGAAGGTAGCTGTCTCTTTGTAATGAGTTTGCATGTCAAAGGTTGATTCCCTGTTAAATAACTCGCGAATTTGATATTATTCACACAGCTATCGGCTGTGAGTGTAACTGCTGCCAAATGAATAGACTCTTGGGCAAGGCTGCAGTTTCGATTCTTTCTGAATCTCTTCAGTTGCCTCCTAACAACGAATTTGTCACGGAGGAATAACAGGAGTTGCGCTGGCCTGCCAACACTTTTTAACTTTCGAAGGAATGGCAAAAGGCAGTGAATTCCCATTACATTCCACGTTTATTCGCGCTGTCTTGCTGCCACCAGAGATGTTCACTCGACCGCGACAGGATGTAAATGACTCGCTTTTCGTTTTACGACCATGATGCAACGCAATCAGAGTGCGCACACCGCCTGTCTGTCACTAGTTCTTGGAACGTGGGAGGTCCCTTCACATTCTTGTGTGTTACTTCCGCAGGTATAATTTTCGCAAGAGCGCCACCTTTTCGTCTCGCATTACCGAAAAGTGCCTAACCCCCTCCCTCTTCCCTTACCTTCATTCCAACCATGTTTTACAGTATGGCGTCTGAAAAGTCGATATGGCTACATCACCCGCTCCAATATGCTCCAATACGAAGTCTAAGATCTTTTTAACTTCTTAGCTAACGTCCAAAGTCTGGCTGCTCGCTGTAATGGACAGAACTGAGGAAGACGCTCCAAAACGTCGTGAAAGACCCGGAGACAGTTAAACTCTCATTTCCTTCCCAAACCCCTTAAGCAAGGAAACGGAACTGGCCATGGGGAGAGGGCAGTGGGGGCCAAAATTACCGTGCGAATGGGTAATACCCTCTTGGGTAGTTCTGTCAACGATTTTTAGTGTTTTGGCCGAAAAACAAAAATTGAAAATTGATTGCAATTTTCAATTTTCAATTTTTAGACTTCCGCCGAAAACAGAAAAACTAAGCCATGCCACAGACTGCAGCACTGTCGGAAAAACAAAATTGCCGCTCAGTTTCATTTTTCACTTTATTGTCGACAGGATTAAAGTAAAAATATAAGTTATGTTACAATATTCTATCAAAGGAAAAAAAAGTAAAAAATTTTCGATTTGGCACTTTCGTATTTTTTACGATAAAATATAACGAAAATCAAAAATTGACATCAACTTTCCATTTTTAATTTTAAACGAAAATTGAATGGACGAATGATACACGGACCTTAAACGTAGCCTACGTGTATCCGTACCCTGAGGTTGACGTCTGAGATAAGTGTACATCCTGCAGAATGCGCGATTTCGTAATGTCGTTCTGCATGATGCGTAGGTCATAACCCACAGATTGTAGATGGAAAGAATATACCTAAGTTGTTGTTAATTTGGTTTTTCTGTTTTTCAAACTATTTATGATTCAGACTCAAAAAAATGGGGAATCAACGGTAACATTAAATCTTACCGTTGATTCCTCATTTGAGTTTCACCTTTTTTTCAAAAGTTATCTTTGCCACAAATGATTTCTAGCAAAGATCACTTTTGAATTCCTAGACGCTAATCCATTCCACCGCGGGTGTTCTACATCTTTTTCAAGATAAATTTGTGACATACCAAAACACGTGATTTTCAGCTGTGACTGGTTTCAGTAAACTTACTTACATGGTGCTAGATGTGATAAAGGATGATATAAGTTCGATAAAGGATGTGGGCTTTAGTTTGTACCAAGAGTGCATGCACATGAATGCACTTTCCATCTTTTGTTTTTGTTTTAACTTTTTTTTTTCGTATTATTACATTTTTTTAAGGTTCAAGTACTGTTCAGTCCCCATGAAACAATTTACACGCAAACATTAGACTTCTAAGAATGCAGAATTGGTTAATTTGGGTTATAGAGGGGGAGATTATAGGTTAATCTCAGTCGATTAGATAATTAGTTCCACACGAGCGCCTTGCAAGACCTGTCACAAACCGCTTCTCTTTTTGCTTCGCTGTTGTCGCCCAAGTACGAGCGCCTTGCAAGACCTGTCACAAACCGCTTCTCTTTTTGCTTCGCTGTTGTCGCCCAGGTACATAAAATAAGGCAGATGGATAGTTAAATACTTATTAGGAATTTTGTTGTATAGTATTAGCTGGAGTATTTTTAATCGTTGTTTGTATTTTGATGCACCCAGCGGGCTTGTAAAAATATACCACAACTCGTAGAAATACGCAGCGATGCTACATACTGAAAAGTCTAGTGAGAAGTCTCGGCTGGGTATCGACGGCGCCCGTTGTTCAAAATTGGATTAACGCTAATTTAGGATTAAAGCAGGTTTTTGGGTTCAAGGAAAGATCATAGTAAATGAAATGTAATCAGGGGAACTTTCTGCAAAGCTATGAAACTTAGAACTGCCGTAGTGCGTAGCATTATCAGACAGAATAGGCAGAATTCCATTTTTACTTGTTAGTCGCGAAAATATGAGTTCCTTTAGTTGCGATACCACATTCTCACATTCTGACCGAGGCTTCCTGTCGAGAGAGAAATCCTGTTTTCAACAGATTTAAAACATGTAATTAAAGTAAAAATATAAGTTATGTTACAATATTCTATCAAAGGAAAAAAAAGTAAAAAATTTTCGAGCATTATCGAGCGTAGCATTATCAGACAGAATAGGCAGAATTCCATTTTTACTTGTTAGTCGCGAAAATATGAGTTCCTTTAGTTGCGATACCACATTCTCACATTCTGACCGAAGCTTCCTGTCGAGAGAGAAATCCTGTTTTCAACAGATTCAAAACATGTAATTACATTCCCTCTATGATTAGGACGCTAGACCTCGAGTCTATCCCATGTTGGACTGAACATGCCTGTTTAGGACAAGTGAGAGTGTATTTTCGTTACGGTGTGGGTTACGGTGTGGTATAACTTTGCAGCACAACAACCACAACAAGAGACGCTAGTAGCATCACCTCGTGAAGAGATAACATGAGAATCATACTTCTTCCGAACTGTAACAGTTATCGACCGCCTTGACTTTATTGGACTAATTCCAATTGGGGCTTAAGTCATTAGTCTTCCCCGCTTTTGTCCGCTTTTTTTGAACGCATGGGTGGCTCTCTAATTACATTCCTGCGGGGCGACCTGTTTGACGCAGTTGTGGCTCGCTTCTTTGGAAGACATGTTGATAATAATTTTACATAATAAACTTAACTGAGGAAGTATAAATAAAACATCAAAGCAAAGCAAAATAGATGCTGTTAATTGGCAAATTATTTGTGGGTTTCAGCCACAGGTAAGCAAAATGTTTTGCCTGGTCGTGCACATGTGTTCAATCAGTTTCGTTTCCTTAGCTGCTTGTTGGATAACATCCAGACATATTGAATCTCACCGACACGCGCCACAGTTAAAATGGACGACAATCATATGTTTCGAGAGGAGGACTGTAATGGGTGTGATGGGGGTGAAGTTTCCGGTATAAAATTAGGTTTTGCAACTAAGTTCAGGGCAAAATTGAGTGGTATAACTTCGTCAGTGTTTGTAAACGAAATGCTACCCCCAGGCTAAAGGAAACCCAAGATCTTACTGTTTACTAACCCTGTTAACCGCTATTTTCCTGCAAAACTAGTTTAATAAGAGAGGTTGGTACTTGATCAATATAGTATTAGCATGTAGTATTGAAAGTGATATAGTATTAACATGACGTAAGGAGAGGTTATATATTGATAAAACTGGAGTTATGGAATTCAATAAAGATGTTAGTAAGTTTTTGGTTCTTAAACAAAGGGAAGTAAGTAGGAAAAATAATTTAATACTATTTGTATTATCAGACCGATTTGGAATCGAAAGAATTCTTTGATACAAGGCTGCACCACGAACATTATGTGAGATTTTTTCCCCCGGTATTTCGCTGTTGGAATGATTTGTTTTTTTTAATTACGCTTCTTGTAGGGAAAGAAAACGAGAGGTACACGCAGGAGACAAAAACTAGAAAACTAATAGGACAGAATAGAATGTAAACGAGAACTTGCAACATAGGGTCAAGCACCACATTAATTGTCAATCATTCAGAATTGTGGCTTCGTTGTTACGTATGCCAGAATAGCGGTCGGAGAAGTGAACCGGATTTTTCTTGTCAAAATTAAGGAAAGCTCGGAAATATCACTTCAAGCAAGTCGAGATTTGTAACATATTCCCGAGAAAATTACTCTACAGAGGAAGTCAACACTGTGGCTCAAATTATCACTAGGTTCAAGTTACGGAGAGTTCGAGTTACTGAAATCGCCTCGTGTCTAAAAGAAACAGTGTATCATCTTGCCTGTCAAAAGTCATCTCTGCACACCTTTCAACAGTGAACTTCTCGTGAGCTTTGCCTCGTCAGGATGGATTTAAAGTACACGATAACGGTATTTTTGATTTGTGCCTTGGCCTGTTTTACTACATCAGGTGAGTAAAAAAAATGATCGCGAGCGGGGCTAATTTCTGCAAATTTAGCGCCATGATAGCGCGCGTGCCACGATCAGATTGAGCAGTAGGAGATGAAAGTTGCTCGAACTTAGATGGGCATAAAAAAAAAAAACGTGAACTTTTTCTTTGAAGGAAATAGTCATAATAATTGCAAAGAAGAGTATGTCCACAATAATTACTAAATATTAAAAATCATTACTAGTGCCTTTGAAAATCTACCACGTCCTCGACTTCTCCAGGACGAGAATGATTGATTTTCGACAATTAGTTTTTGGGAAGATCCGGCCCGTTGACAACACGAGTTAAGTTACCGTACGCTGGGATCAAGTCGGATCGTTCATTTCTCTCAATAGTTTGTGATCAGTGAGACATCTCTTCTAAGTAGTATTTAAGCATTTCAATGTTGAAATTTCCATTTTATCTTCGTCTCGGTAAAAGCATATTTCCTCAAGCCGCTAACATGAATCATGAAACGTGCTCGTAATTTTCGCGACCTAAGAACTAAGACCTCCTAAGCACAAAGATCAGCACTCTTTAGCGAGTTTGTGCTAAGATTTGCGGATTATGTAATTCGCTAATGTTATGTAATTATTCAAAAGGAAAAGGAAGTTATTTCCTGTTATATTGGCTGTAAAACTTGATGTTATTTTGCTTATTAGTGCAACCATGAAACATAAACAGTACGTGCGCTCTCATTGGTAGTGCCAAAAGGTTGAGCGACAGTAATGGAGTTTCCATTTATAGAGATCTGGAATATTTTGTTTTCCTTTGAAATGACCTTTGAAACTATTGCATTTTTTCCGCCAAGTTTTCGTGTCTCTTGTCATGCTATGGGGAAATATAGCAATGAATCAGGAGACAAATGGTTACATTGTCCATGTTCTTCTTGTTAAAAAGATACGAGTACAATAAACGTCTTTGTTTAATTCCCAAAAAGGTATCTTCAGCTATATCAAATGAGCCTGACACATAGTATTACTAGCTCGAATAACGATAAATCACTGTTGGGAATCAAAGGTCTGATTTCCTTCTGAACACTTCAAATTCTTTTTAAATTATTTTCATCAAACTTAAAAACCAGAGGTGGTTTCGATGGCGAAACAAAAGCACTTTGAGCACCGGAGGTGGTTTCGCTGGCGTAATGTAGGATTTTGAGCCCAGATATCAGCTGTTAAATTTTTCCCTCAGGGGTAAGTCATTCTATAACCTCAGCCGCTTATGTAGAATTGCACGTAGACACAAATAATAATGAAAAGCTGTCATGTGCATGGAGTCCTCTGTGACAAAAAACCCGGTATGCATGTCGTATTCGTTACTCGAATTCTCCCGTCAAAATGGCTTCATCATAAATCGTCATTCATCATTGCTACTAACTTAACTTATCAGATTGCACATTACAAAAAAAACAAAAACAAAATACAAACAATTTAAATCTAGAGTGTTCTTTGGGTTCCTTCAATTTTTTACTTAAAGCGCACCAAAAAACGTGACAATCACCTCGCGAAAATCTCCCTCGTTGAATTTGGAGGTTTTTCACATTCGCCTTCTCGAATTTCCGGTCAAAATGGCTTCATCGTAAGGCGCAAATTTTATCATTTCATACGTAATTCATTCGATTTAACATCATCAAAAAAAAAGTCTATTTTTAATGTAAAGAGCATAACACAACGTGACTGAGATGCATGCGTCTCGCGTAAGTCCTCTTTGCTGAAAGTGTTGAAAGTGAACTTGGGGGCGGGGGGCCCTTTTCTGATTGGTCGACAAGTTTTCAATCGTGTTGACACAGTTGTGACAGAAAGCAGATGAAATGAATATCAAAAAATTGAAAAAAGAACGAAAGCAGCTATGGTTTAGGTGGAAAGTTGCTTCGCCTAGACCTGACATTGCAGTCTCCATGAATCAACGGAAAGAAAAATCACTCAAATTATTTATGTCTGTATGGAACGAAAAAAGCCGATAGGTCAAAGTCCAACTTCCTTCGAGTCGAACAATTTTTTTCTTTTTTTGCATACGAATTGGAAGAAAGAGATCCAAGCACTTATTAAAAACTTACCACATCATGAAATCGAACTAGAGCCTTCCCTTGCATGAATGATTACAATTTCTTACAGCAAATTTAATCCGTTTGACCTTGCATCCTGCGAGGTCACTTTTGTAAACACGTTGAAACCCGTGTTTCAATTCAATCTTTATGGCCGACCCAAATTTTGTTTTAAAGTAAAGTGTACCTAGTATGGTTCAAAACAAATAAAGCTGTGCTGCAGTTGGATTATCCGAGTATAAACCCTTAAAAAAAATTTTATCTTCACTTAAACATTAATTTCACATTTGATATATTTAATATACCACATCGGAAAGAATTGGCAAAAATTCCCTGATCGGTAAGAAGCACAGGTCAAATTTAAGAAAAGTGGGCTTAAATTCTAACTTAATCCTCTTTTTGGTAAAGATCCAACATAGAAAATCTGTAGAGGAGCGCAAACCCTGATCGTACACGTCACACCATAGGAGCTAAAGGTTTTTTCCTATTTCATTTAGACCTTACCAGTGGTTAGCCTTGTCTCTTGCTCGTTATTAGAGTTGGCTGTAATCGCAAAGTTCTTTGTTTTCCACTCATTTTGGATAAACTGAGAATTCAACTTGATTTTATGAGCGATGAATTCGAATCCTAAGTCTGAGTCGTGGTCGTTGTTCTTCTCATAACATGTGCTCAGTGGAAAAGATCTTAGTGCATTTAGCAGTGGATTCTGGTCTTTGTCTGAAAATATGGGCTACCCAGTCCCTTCCTGACATAAATCCGCCAATGGCTGAAGACATTGCATGATGGGATATGATAATACGATAGAACCCCGCTAGCTAGAAATCTCAAGGGAAACAGAAAATGGATCGAGAGCCTGGGCGCACTGGGCTGACAAATTTTAGATTTGTCAATTGTAGCGCACTGAAAAACAGCAAAATATTTGTTAACCACCCAATGTCTATCGCATGGATATACAAATTGAGCAGTATTTGGACTTGGAGATTTAGCTTAAACGTAAACTTGGGAGCTATGATGTATTCTGAGTATCCTAAATACTGATCGTCATGCCACATCCCGAGGAACGAATCTTCCATCTTCACCGTTTGATTGCCACGTAAAACCAACTATTTTGGCGGCCTTCTAGCTGAAGGACCTGCATTTGAAAAGAGAGATCAATTTTCCTGATTGCACAATTTCTCCAAATCGTGGCTAGTAGATTGAAAAATCTGTCTGATTTCACGCCCGACAAAAATTTGTCCTGTTCCGAGGCAAGAAGACGGCGCCTTTGAAGGTTGGTAAAGCTTGACAAAATTTGGAAACAAAAAATCACCGGGCGCACTTGTCTTACTGAACTGATGAAAGATTTTTTGGTCTTTGGTGGGGTTCGAGTTTTTATGGGTTGGTGTCGCATTTCTACCCTTCTATCAATAGTTTCTTCAGAACATTCCTTATCCAAATAAAGCATAATATTTTTTTACCATTCTTGCACAATCAACACTCATTTTCGAACATCTAGTTTGTTTTTCAAGGGCTTTTTTAAAGAGGGCTTGACCTGTGAAGTTTTGCTAAATAGATTACATTTTTATATTATTCGTAACAATTGCGATTAAAGGTTAGGACGTGTCAATCACTTATGTTCTGTGCCTCAAGACCGACGTTTTTACCTAAAGTTTGAGTTATCAGGGTAAATTTGAGCCGAAGGAAAGCGAAATTAGTCCAAGTCAATATTCGAGTCAGCTGATAGTATATGACTGAAAAAATGGGGTCAAATCCAAACAAAATCGAATGTTGTTCAAATTAGCGGGTTCTACCATGAACAGATCATCAGCGAATGTTTAAGCGTCAAATGAGAAATAATTTACACGCATGAAAATAGAGACTATAAGTGCTACCCCAAGAGGAGGCTCTTACAATACTGAATGAATGAATTGAAAGCAGCACAATTACTTAGCACATTGAGGAAATTTCCAGAGGACTCAGAACCTCTCTAATAACTAGAGCAGGTTTCTTTCAGAAATCATCGATAACATATATTCTTGTGCGCTTCGTAGGACCTGGGCAGTAAACTTTCCATGGAAAAAAAAAATGGAAAAAGATGTCAGGAAAAAGTTTTGAAAAAAGCATTATTTGTTTGTTTGTTCTGCTATATTTCCTGTGGTTACGTATCTAGCCTTAAGCCTCGATTTCGTGAACTAAACCCAATTTTCCCGGCGCCTGCCCAAACAACATAGGTGCTGCCTAAATAATTTGAAATGGTTTTCTCTCAGCATATTGAACAAAGGCTAAGGACGCTACCATGTTTTTGGACACAAGTCGAAAGTTTTTAGAGAGCATGTTAAGATATTAGGGCTGCTAAGTAAATTTTCTAGGCGGAATTCTTTCGTAAAAGAACTTCCTACAAATGACTTATACCCTATTCCTATTCTGGGCCAAAGCTTAAACGTGTTGTGAGGCTGTTTTGTTAAATATGGTTTAAGTAATTTATCAATTTCGTCATAGATACTGCTTGACCCTTTACACACTAACATCAGTAGACATATCCTCCATACTGTTCTCAATACATTTCTTAAGGTGCTGACAAGGAGAATTTGTTTAGCAATCTAGAGCTTCTGTCATTGGTGATCATTTCCCTTTTTTCTTGTGGCATTATGTGTGATGTGGGGGTGATATTTTATAGGGGAATTAGATACTCTTACAGGTTAACAGCAGGTTAACCCGATGTTTGTCGACTTGAAATGTAGGAAATTGAAAATATAAGTTTGTGATCAATTGAATCCTATTGAAAATTCATTTTTTCAGTTTTCTGTTTCTGATTTTTATTCAATTAAACCTGTTCGACTAAACATGTTAGCACTAGTTTGTTGACATTTTTGGAAACGTTAACAAGAGTGATATGCCCGGGCATGAAAGCAGACGAATTCTTCGCTGAATATCTTCCACTTTCGTTTCTCATGCGAATCGTTCTCCAAGTGATCTCCATTGAACTAGATTCAGTTTTTGGCTTTAAAGGATCAAAATTTATTGTAGTGCATTTCTTGTTCGGTTTCTTACGCGACGACTTGATCAGCTTTGCTGTTACTTAATTTTTATGAGCAGTTGTGTCACTAAGTTATGCAACTACTTCTACTAACATCAAATTCAACCTTATTTCTTGCTTATTGCTGTAAAAAGTCACCTTCTGACTAATTAAATGGGAATGAATGGGAGAAAATGGGAATTTGGCGGTGGACATTTCCTTGGGTGGCTCCTCTTGTCTTCTGTTTCCGGGTCGAACTGGAATTTGGAGTGTTGGTTTATGAGGAGAGAGGGAAACAAAAGGATCCGGAGAAAAACCCTCGGAGAAACAACAGCACTCTCAACCCACGTGTGACGCCTTGGATTGGGGCCACAGTAGCGGGAAGTGAGTGCTCTCATCACTGCACCAACCCCGCTAATTCTATGTCAGTGGATGAATCTTTTCATGCTTTCGTCAGACTGACTGCACAGGCAGTAGTACTAGTGAGAAATGTCTTATGTTTTAAACTTTGTTGTCACAAGCTACGTGGACTAGAAAATGAAGGTTTTAAAAACAATTTAAACTTCTTTAACTTACTATCAATGGTAGCGAATCCCAGGACGCTTGAATGTCCGCGAACGCCGACAGAGAAATTTTACCAATACTTACGAAGGAGAGTTGCTGCCTCCATCTTGAGGTATTTCGAATATATAGCGACGAGAACTAGCATCCGGTCAAACATGCACTTAACTTATCACTGTAGGTTGAAAAGCTGTCAGCAAGCTGTCGCGAAGGAAAAAGGTCATTGAAAACCAACCAAGAGTAAAAAAGGAGTAATTACGCTCCTACGAAATGAAGGAGCAAGATTTCTCTTATAATATGCAAACCTATGCACTATTTCGACGTCGTCAGGCCTGGGCATGTGAGCACTCTTTTCTGATTGGTGGAAGCTCGTCTTTTGAGGCGTGAAAATCACGTGTATCTTGCCCACCATCCACTGAAATCCTTGCATATGGTTTCGCAGGTCACAACACGACTTTGACCTTCTAGGAAAGTCTTGTTTTGACAGACATATGGTTTTACAGTTTTAAAATATTTCGAATTTTTTACTTTATCTCGGTTTGCATTCATTGTTTATTTTGTCCTTGTGTGTATATCAAAAACTTTTCTGACGGATATTAATAAATCCACCTTAATCTGTTTTCTAACCTTGTTTTTCCAACCGATTATTTACTTACTTTTTTTTCGCGGAAAGGAAATCTCGTTTTAATGATCGACATTACAAAATGATTTTTCATAACGGTATTTCATAGGTCTTCTCCACATAGAGAAAGATGTTTTTCATCATGCGCGTAGGGCAATGAGTCCCCCTGAGGAATCGAACCTCAAACCGTCGGATTCCGCGTTTCGATGCTCTATCACTGAGCCACAGAGACTCTATGGTGAATGAGGCCATCACGAAGTTATTACGTGACACGCGTCCTGCATACTGCTAGGATCAGCGATGTCGATAGCGTCTGTTTGTAAATATAATGAGAACGATGGTAAGTTTTGAACTCGGTAGAGAAAATTAAATAAAAACACCTTTGTTTATTTCTTTACCAAGCTCAAAACTTACCATTTTTCGTATTCTTCTCTTCGTGTTCCAATGGTGATACGAAAGCTCAAATTTACTTTTGTCCTCTATTGACCTTTGGCAAACTGGGACAAAAAAATAATCCAAATTTGCTTTTTAACAGCCCTTTACATCAAAATTTCATTTCAAATTCTGTTTTATCTTAAAGTCTATTTAAATCAAAATAAAAAGTTCAGAGTTACATCGAAAATCTGTCAAATGTTGATATGATGATAGCACAGGTCGCCCAAGCTCGCGCTATAAGCCTCTTCAAGTATGTCAGTTCTCGTTGCGCAATTGGGATTTATCAGGATTTTTATGGGAATAAATGGTCGAAATCTCAACCTAAATGTCTAAAAAGTTTTGAATGAAAAAGAAACTTACCTCGCTTAAGTGGTCGTTCTTTTGCATTGCGTGGGTTTTGTAGGCTGACTAAGGCCTTTGAGCTCGGTTTTCTCGCCCTCTATCATATAGAGGGAAAAGCAGATTACGTATCGAGGACAGGCGGTGTAGTGTATCAGAGGAACACAATATGCTTAGCTGGTTCTTAACTCCTAGTGGGGTGACATGGGGTCATGCATTCTGCTGACAGAATGATTCTTTATCTTTTTTCTATCAATCAGATCCGCACGTCTAAAGATTTAAAAATATAGGCTGAACAATAGTATATGGAAACAAATGTATCGAGATGTGTGAAGATTAATTGTCTTTTCTATAAACCAATTTTTTAATTGGACAATTGTCATTCATCAGTCAAAAAGGTTTCTGCAATTGATGATGATTCTGCGAGATGTGGGAAACCACAGGTACCCCAAGCTTTTACAAAGGCCTCAGTAAAGATTAAATATGATTACGTTGCGCAATGGGCGAAATATAAGGATTTACATGGGCGCTTGAGCTACCTGTGGGAAACAAGTTATTATATTAACACTGACCAACAATAAATTGTTGGCTTTTCTTTTCGTGCTCTTTCCAGTTTCCACCGAAAATAACCAGAAAAAACATCCACACAAATCGAGTAAATAGATTAACAAAATAGGATGAACACAAAATACAGTTGCACAAATTGATGACAGTAAATTTTCTACAGACTTTAAATGAACTATAAGTTCCACCTAGCTTGAAATTGCATTAATTGTGTAAGGAGATAATATGCTCTTATTGACTGAGTGGGACGGCCGGCCAAGAATGTTTTCGGCTCGAAGTCATGACCGTACGAACCGACAGCAGTGAGGTCCGTGCGTTGAGGATCGAGGCCAGATATTTTCCCATTCGGCCCGACCTGACTCACTCAATAAGCATTTTAACATAATTTTTTTCGCGAAGTGTTGAAAATTACGAACGTTTTGTTGTAGGACGTGCATGCATTCAGAAGAAGAACGCGACTGGACAGCTGCTAAAAAGATTAAACAGTGAAAACTTTTTTTTTTTCTTCGAGTCAGAAGACACTCCTAACTGATCGAGGAGCGCAACTCATTTCTTCGTTTGTTTTATTCTGAGTTGGAGTCCAAAATTTCAATCAGAGTTAACGGTAAATGCCAAAGAGTCGTGTCAGTGCAGAACCTAACGGCTTGTTCCGGACCGGCTCTCGTCAAACCGTCCAGCCCTGCACACGTCAGCTACCTTGGGATTGCGTGCTGGAGGCCGCAGGGTCGTTTGACAATAGCTGACAAATTCTTCATAGAGATACTTTTGCTTTATTTGTTTCCCACCCAGACCAAATAGTTAGTAAATATAAGAAGTATTTGGATCAATATTTCATGAATTTTGTCAAGTATTTCTTAAGTTTTGGTTAATTTTTTAATTATTCATTAACTAACTTATGTTTTCCTTCTATCACAGTTTTAAGCAAATGTCCCGAAATTTCTTCAAACGTAACCTTGGTGCGTTGTGGCCATCTAAACGCGACCAAAGATCAGTGTTTGAATTGGGGATGCTGTTGGAACGAATCTTCCGATGCTAACGCCACAGGGTGTTATGGGATCGCAAATAATCAGTCAGTGGTAAATGCAACGGTTCCCATGACAACAGTCAAGACTCCACTGACCAGAGTAAACACATCTACTGTAGATAAGTAAGTTTTCATTACTAAGAGTCTAATGATTCATTACTGACGGAACTTACACAGGATTATGTAGATTAGTTTTAATTGAAGTATTTTCCGTGCCTCAATTAAGCGAAATACGAGCCCTTGCCAAGTAACCTCTGCCGTTGGAGACACTGTTATAGTGAAGCGTACCACAATATCAAGTTAAGACTCGAACAAAGACTTCTAGATCCGGAACAGAAATGGCGCTGAACATTAGCCCAACAATTATTACGTTTGGAATAAGTAAAGAAAAATAAATGCATAACGGGAACAAGAAATTTGATATTTAACAATTGTTCCACGAGCGCTCTTTAGATATGAGATGATTGACGGCCAACGAGGCTCGTTGAGCCGAGTTGGCTATAATTACCTCATATCCAACGTGCGCGAGCGGGATAATTGTTTTATTAACAACGCCTCAAAATAGAGGTAAATTTTCCGAACTTTATTTTGTAAGAACAAACGGAATGTTGGAATGTTTAAAAACATTTTCGATTTAAGTTGTCTTCTTGCGTGCGCGTGGTATGATGGCTTATAACCCATGATGGCTAAGCAAATGAAAACTCTTGAATTAAATCATCCAATGATCCAGTATTTGATAAGTATGTAGAAATCGTATTCATAAGTCTGACCTGTTCTTTTAAAGACGCTTTTGAGTCGTTGACTCTCCCAGGGTCTCTTATAACTGTGATTCCAAAATACTGATCGAATAATTTAGAGGTTTTTGGCGAAATGGGCGCATCCGGCTAACGTGTTTACCTCCTTATTGCTACTGCCAACTCAGGTCATTCGATGATTAATCTGGGAGGTTACAACTCTTCTAATTGCACCTACTCCAGTACACTTAGCCGGGGGTTAAAAATTATACAATTGCAACCTGCTAACGGATTCATGACATGATCTAATTGGGTGGCAACAGCTGAGTACGTCTTAATACATACACTGTAGCCTGCAAAGCTGGCGTAATTTTGGCGAGAGACTGCTCAGTATTTTTTTTTGGTACGGATATAGCTGGGGAAAGAAAGAAATTTGTACCAAGGGGGTAAGAGACGATCAAAAAGAAGAAGAGGGGAAATTCTTTTCGCCTGTCCTCACCTGCTCCCCCTGCCGTCCACTCCATCTCTAGTCAAACGTGACAGGTTGAATAAATGATCGCGAGCGTGTAACGTTGACTTGCCTTAACAAGACACCTGTACTGCGAGCTTTTTACGTTGTTGTTACTTGTTTTTTCCACACATATGCAAAGGGACCATGGCCTTCAGACATTCCTCTCTCTTCTTACAGTTGCTTATTTAGCGCAGAAGTTTACTGATTGACTTTTTTTTAACAGAGTGAATTTTAGATCCTTCGTTTTGAATTTTTCCTTATTTTACTTTCAGGCATGAAGGCTTCTGCCATGTGTACCGTGCTGGGGCATGTGATCGATGGTTGAACTACACGATGCTGGAATACCGCTGGACACCCAGATTTATTGATTACAGATTCGGGCTGAATGGAACTGAGAATTTGATATTAGAGTTCATGAAAGTGATCGGAAGGATTAAGGGACAGGAAAGATGTAGAGAAATTTTGAAAACCCTCTTGTGTGAATATTTTCTGCCGCCATGTAACGAAGCAAATGAACCGTACAAATTCTGCAGAGAGGACTGCGAAGCTGTTTTCAAAACATGTCATACTGCTATAACGGAATTGGTCGGAGCGGCAAAATACTTTGTCGAAGAACTGGGCGATAATCTAGGGCATGCTGAGGTTCCTGATTGTGAAAAACATCGCTATTCTGCAGAGTATAAGGCTGAGAATTCCACCTGTGTTCACTTTGGATTGTTTAGTAAGTCTACTACAATTGCCACTCTCATCATACTGATAACGATAGCGACAACGTAGAACGTCAATGTCACGATCACGATCACGATCACGATCAAGTTCACACTCACATTCTTTTTCACGGTCACGGTCACGGTCACGATGACAGTAACTATCATGATTACAATCAGGGTCATGGTCACGGTCACGGTCACAATCACGGTTGCGATCACGAAATCGATAAAGATGATGACAACTATCACGACAACGAAAATGGCAACAGTCGCCATGAAGACTAGACGATAACGATGTCGATAAGCATAACAATGTTGACTCCGACTGTGCATGAGTTTACGCGCTCTTTTAACCCTCCAATTTTACCAATACAGACCCCTTTAAGTGATTTTTGGAATACGAGAAGCTGATTTTTAAACTTTGGAGTAAAAAGGAAACTCTTATATAATCCCTTCATAGGTTAGTTTTATCATCGCCTACATTGGAGCTAATGTATCATTTCCTTTCCCTTCTAAAAGGACAATTGTATCATTTGTAATTTTTTTTCTGTGGTTTTTCGGTTGGTTAACCTGCACTTTGTGTTTATATCTCATTGGTTGGTAGTATTTGTTGCTGGATTTTTATTGGCTGTTATACTGTCCTAGTTGACACGCAACTTTATTGATGTTGGCCTTCTCGCCATGTCTCGCTCTTGTGCTGACTTTGATATAGTTTCTCTATGGGAAAAAGGCTCAGAATTTCTCTTTATATTTCCTCCCAAAGCCTTCTCTCCAACTGTAGAAGTCAAGGATGAAGAGAAGGAAACATCATCTAAGCTTAACATTATCGCTTTAGCTAGTGCTGTCGTGGGAATCGTACCTGTAGCTGTAGTTATCCTGATCATCGCTATTGTTACCAAGAGGCGAGGCAAAGTTGTGTCCATAAAGAACAGAGTGCAAGTGGAGAAGCACCGGGCTTCTGAAGAGGACAAAATCGCGAGCCTTTTTAAGCCTGATGACGTCAAACAAATACCGCTGACAAGAATAGAGTATATCAGGGACCTGGGATCATGGAACTTCGGCTCAGTATTTTTGGGTACGTATATTTATCGGGAGAAGGGGGTGCGGAGGTCTTTAGAAGGATCACGTGGTTGTCAGGGGAACTGAAGGGGGATCAGTGAGGGAAGGGAAGGGAAGTGGTTTCATAAGAATATTGCAGAGCCTTACGTGGGGGGTCAGGGGAGAGTTTGACGCAACCAAACTCCCCTGACCTCAGCCCCACCATTCGATAAATGGCGAACGGTCTCTCAGGATAAACGTCTTGCGATAGTCAGGTTGATTGTCGTCGTAAAATATTTCCCGATTCCTTGAAAAAGAGAGGGAGAGAGAGGAGGTTGGATTGCATCCCAGCGTCCTTTGTTTGTCCAAATAAGGAAATAGTGCTCACCGACGCTTAGGCAATGATGTACAGCAATGCAAGAAGCAGAGTGAAAAGAAAGGGTGAGATATTATTAAAACATTCTTTTCATAATTTGAACTTTTTCCCCTTTTTTTAGGAAGAGCACATACTTTGATCAAAGGAAAAGACGATGCAGGGGTGAGGGTCGCTGTCAAGACTTTGGCCAAGGAAAGCTCAACTGAGACAAAGGAGAATTTCATCGAAAAACTTGCGTTGATGTCTCTTTTGCACCATGAGAACATTTTGGAATTGCTGGCTGTCTCTACCGTGGAGGAACCTTACGGAATGATATTCGAGTATATGGAATTAGGAGACCTTGCTCAATTCCTGAGGAGAGCTGGACCTGGCTTTGAGGGTGAAGAAAAAGAGAGGGGTAAGATAGTAAACTATTAGCTTTACCCTTGGAACTATTTATCCTCAAAGATATTCATTTGCCTTTTGATGTTCACTTGACCTTTTAACTCCCATGAGTGACCAAGACAGAATTTCTCCTTACAATATCAATACAATGTCAATCAGACGAGTGATGAGAATAAAGAAAAATACAAATTTGGGGATAATTAGTTGATCCAATACAAAATTCTCTGAACTAACATTATAAGAATTGTATGGTTGGCAGTAAGGAGGATTACAAATTTGATCTGGGAGTTAAAAGTTAAAAGTCATTCTACCAGGGTGGATATGGGAGTCACATTTTCTATTAGTTCTGTTATTTCTTTAGTTGTAAGCTCTGAGTAAACTGATATTTTTTTTCACAATATGGCTCCGTCCAGCCAATCAGGAGGCTGGGAATTCAATAACCGTGTTTTGAAATCAAAATATACCGAATTCATTTCTGATCTGTGAACGCTCCTTTGATATCTTGCTCGAGATTCGTTGTGCTATCCTTAGCCACCGGCTTAATAATAACTTGTGGAAAGAGAGGCTAACACAGTTATTGCAATAGGTAAATAGTTTAAAGAAAAAAAAAAAAAAGAAAATTGCGTCGTGAAATAACTTCAGTTGCTAAAGTAGTTTAATTCTATACTCTAATGTTTGTGCAATGGTACGTTTAATTGAAGTGACATAATTAATTTTTGTCATAACAGTCTATCTTACGCAAGAGGACCTGGTTTCTATCTCATTCCAATGTGCCGCTGGTATGGAGCATCTTCAGAGGCTAAAATTCGTTCACAGTGACGTGTCCTCAAGGAATTGCCTTGTGGGTCATGGGCTTACTGTGAAGATTGCTGATCTTGGCATGGCCAGACACGTTTACGTCTCAGACTATTATAAGGTATATGTTTTCCATTGTCATACATTTATGTCTCAGTTAGTGCGTGCACTATGATTGGTCGATGTAGAGGGACGTACAGCGAAATACGGCCTGCCAAAAAAAAGATTTATTATAAGATATGATAAGAGGTATCACTATTTATTTACCTCAAGTTGGGTATGTTTTAATCTAAATAGGGGTTGAGAGAGATTCTCAAGATTTAACTGTTTCAACCTATTAATCTTGTTACTTGGCTTAGTTACAGTGCGAGTTTCTTATACATATAAACCATCTGCTCTGATCGTTCGCTTATTAGCAGGTCTATCGCTCAATTCCTAATGGACGGCTTAAACTTTTTCCTTTTAAAAAACTTTTGAAAAATCATTCCGAAATATTTTCTTTTGTTGCAAACCACATAAAATGAAAGGACATCCACCCCGGTGGGACTCAAACCCACAACCTTTGAATTAGAAGTCCAACACGCTAATCCATTGCGCTACGGGGGCTACGCCGAAAAAGCACAAAATTTTTTACCACTTGCTGATTCTTGAGAATTACAATCTCGAGAAGTTTGGAAATCATCAGATTAAATCAGATGATGCATCAGTCTGAAACATAAAATATGATAAAACAGAGTTTTTATTGCTAGGAACGAGAAAGTAACCAAGATAAATACTGCGTAGAATTATTGTTAGTGAACATGACATTGATCCAGGTCTGTGCGCTAGAAATCTCAGCGTGTGGTTTGATAGTCAGTTAAATATGTCAACACATGTTACCAAAATTTTTTTATGCAGCCCTCTATTATTCACTTAACATTAGTTGTATTTAGAGGTATTTATCTTGTGATTCTTTACTGACACTCACTCGTGCATTAGTTACTAGTCGCACAGACTATTGCAACAGTCTGTTGTACGGTTTACCTAAATCATAGATCTTAAAATTACAACGTGACTTGCTATGAACATCGGCGAGCATTCCAATGTTACACCAGCGCTTCATGATCTTCACTGGCTGCCAGTTCGCGCTTGTATTCATTTTAAGATTTTAGTCTAAGCTATTAAGGTAAATCATGGACTATTTATTAAACTGGTGATTTAATTAATGTTAGTGCAAAATCCTCTTACAGTCTTAGATCTAATGGCACCTTTTTGCTGGAGCCGCCTAAAGAAAAAATACTTTCTACGCTTAGTGATAGATCCTTTTATGACGCTGCGCCATGTTTGTGGAAAAGTTTGCCAGCTGAATTGAGTGCTATCCCATCATTGACAATTTTTAAGCGCAATCTTGAGACCTACCTTTTTGGTTTTTTTCTTTTTGATTTTTCTTTAACCGTTTTAGACTAGAAATTTTTTTTTGTTTAAGTTTTTATATGTAATATTTAATATGATTAGTTTTATTGTGAGTCTTATTTACATTTTACATGGTAAACCTTTTGCGCTATAGAAATACTAGAATTGTTATTATTATTATTATTTTTTTTTTTTTAGAACAAATTTCGTTTGGAGACCACGTTTCTTCAAAAGCAAACAAAAAATTCCCAATATAATTTCCCGTTTTTCCTCTGGTCCTTAAATCAGCCAATAGCAAACTAGATACATCCTTTTTATAGAAAAAAAAATTCACGAAAATTTAATATTTTTGTGCGAGCAACTGAAACGTAACTAGCTTAAGTTGAATTCTTATTCATTTTTGTTCGTATAAACCTGGTTATAACCTGTTTATTATCAGTTTGCCCTTTGACCTTTAAGGATGACCAGCATCTTATTTCTCCTAACACTATCGCCCCTGAATCACACATTAAGGTCACGAGAATAACGGAAAGGATCACCAACTAAAGGAACTCTTGATTGTTAAACAAATTCTCCTTGTCAGCGCTTTAGAAAATGTATAGAGAACAGTATAGAGAATATACATACTGATGTTCGGTTGTAAAGGGTTAATGCACTACTAAACTTTGATTTGATCAATTTCCTTTCTTAAATTCCCCAGATTGAGGGCCGAGGTTCATTACCAATCCGATGGATGGCTCCTGAAGCCTTGTTTCTGAGAAAATTCTCATTGGAGTCTGACGTTTACTCGTTTGGTGTTCTTTTGTGGGAGATCTTCACACTGGCGCTACAGCCTTACTATGGGTACAGTGACGAGGAAGTGATCGAATTCATTAAAGAGGTTAGTAAAAAGAAATGTAAAACATTTTCCGTGGAACCCTATACACCGTGTCAGAAATCATGCGACGGCACGAAATTTCTTTTTGCGGATTAAGGTTGGAAAGAAAAGGAACTTGTAGTCTAAAGAAAAAATTCCCTTCGCGTAGAAGTAAAGAGCACCTTTTTTCAAGGATGCACTTAGGATGTCAGCCGTGAATACATTAAAACCGTTTGAAAGTAATGAGCAGAACTCAGACTTCTCGAACGCTATCTTCTCAACATCCGCAGCAGGTTATTGAGAAGTTTGACGATTTTATAGAACAGCTATGCGCTTATCGGTACAAGCGACGAAACGTTTTTGACCAATCAGATCGCGCCCAAATTGTTATGGGTGTACCAAAGCGCGAGGATCCCCTGTGGATTAACCAAAAGAGTGTGAAGCGATGTCACTAAAATTGCTGGAATGTTCCACAGGGTGTCCACCTTGGAAAAACTGATTACTGCCCTGATCATGTGTTCGAAATAATGAAGAGTTGCTGGAACCAAGAGGCTTCAGAAAGACCAAAGTTTACCCTGATAATGGCGGAGCTTAAACCGAAAATGACGTCAGACTATGACTCATTTCGTTATTCACAATCAATTCCTGACCAGGAACCGCTGTACCAAAGAATTGGCAGCCCGATAATGGAACTGAAAGGTAAGTTGAAGGTGGATTCTAAAAAAAGTTAAGTATCTATCTCCTCTGGACCTGAGTCTTTTGAACAGTGCCGCGACATTCAGTAAAACATGAAGCATACAAAACCCCTCTCGATTATTATTACTGTTCGCCCCAGCTAAGTCCTCCTGGCTCTGATCATTCCCAGTGCCCTCAGCCCCGGTTGTGAAAGCTGGATAACGATGTCCATCTGCCTGGAAACAGGCTCTATTAGGTGCTCAGCACTAGTAACGATGCCGCAAAAGATGAGCTGGAAAACGACAAAAGCCAGGTCCATCGGTCGTTCGACGTTGGCTTCGTAGCGCTTGCGCTTCGGAAGACGTGCCGTGGTGCAATTCGCCAGACAGAGTAGATATTATTGTTGCACGTCTTCATCAAGAGTTCAGGAGCTCATGTTCTTTTAAGAACATGTATTTCTTGGATGACAATTTTTCTGGTGAAAGGAGAATATTATATGGAAGTGCGGAGGTACGAAATTCCTCTTCGAATGTTGAAAATATTTTTCAACACTCGTAGAGAAATTTCGTAATTCCAAACGGCCTGTAATATTATATTTATTATACAAACACCATGAAATACATAGAGGATATTGCATGGCCGCGCGTATATACGAAACCATAGCAACATGATCTTTTCACGTGAGATAACAAGTTATCTTCACGCGTGAAGATATCCTCTTTTCGCGCGAAAGCTCACTTGGTATTTCACTGGTGTTTATATAATAAATAGTGTTATCTAATCTACGAGCCTGTCGTCTTATTCCTGTTATTTTGCCCCGGAAAAAGCACGAAAATCACGTGTGTTCAAATTAACAGCTAAATGTTCCTTTTCGCAGAAGTTGCCACTCCTACCCACCAAGTCACCCTGGAAATGTCCAAGCAGGCCCCAGATACTCCACCTCCTTCTATGCACCAACCTGGGCCAGCTTATGAGAACGTCGTACGCAAACTCAGTTTCCATAGTGACGAGGAGGAAGGTTTTTTTGAGTTAGATATTGAGCAGGAAGCTTACTGATTATCGTACGTTTCTTTAATCAGTTGACTTGAAAAATTCTTACTAAAGGTTCCCTATGTATTAAGACGTTAACTTCGCCAATACCCCTATACATGCGGCTGGTTGATATCACAACCGCATTATGCCTTAGTCCAATTAAAAGTATGGCCAAAAAAAAAACAGTGTGACCGAAAGAAAAAAGCCAACAAACAACCAGGAAATGACAGATGGGCCAAAAGGGGTAGCTTCGAAGGAAACTTGGAAAATTTGGGGATAGCTTTCAGTTAAAAGCATTGTCTTCCGATCTATTAGGATGGAATTCATTGTATCTTAAGCCTTTCGCAATTTCCAAGATTGTTTAAGCACATCATGCGTTGCTTCTTTAAACAGATATAAGTGCAAACTAAGGAACTGCAAAGCGAGAGTTGATTTTCATTTTCTATTTTGTTTTTTCTATTCTGATTTTCTTGAGCTGGTATCCAATTTCTCTTAGTTATTCGATATTAGATATTCGATGAGACGGGAAAAATTTAGTTCCCGTTGAAATGCGCTGTCCAACGACAACGTGCTGCGACTTATGCTCGCAGACTTCTGTTAAATACAGATATCGTCAATAAGGAACTCGAAAAATGTATCCTAAAAGTTGTAAAATGACGAAACGTCGTTAAAAAGGAAGTTGCTGAAAGAACGGCGCGAACTTCTTTGACGCAAAGTTTTGTTCGGTTAAAGGAACGATGACCTTTAAGTTGGTTTGATATACGTAACTTCGTTTCATGGAGTCTGTAATAAAATCGTTTTGGGAATTTTCAAGCATATATACATACTTAAAAGTATGCATACTTAAACTTACTTTCAAGGATCTCTACACGCGAACTGGTAAGGGCAATTGAAAACGATTCCACCAGATGAAGAACCCAGCAAATGATTCAATATGTTAGTATTTTTACCCACCAGATGATTTTCTTCCTCTATGAAATCTAACAAGGGATAAGATCGACAGACCGCGTTTGGTCAAACGCCTGCGCATGTGCAAACTTCGTGGCGTGCTTTCAAGGTTTCAACCACAAAAGCCGACAAAACGCGGTTTTTTTTTTAAAAGCGTATAACTTTTTTAGTAAAGCTCAAAACAGAATAAAGAGGATACCCGTACTTAAATGCCCTTCATGTTCGAGAAGTCTCGAGTTTTCCCTCTTCGGTCTTCTTTGCTTCCTTTCACAGATTTCTGTGAACTTTCAACAATGATTTCGTTCGAAATTTTTGCGGGAAATTAGCGTGCAGCCGGCCAGAATCCGCTCGCGCATGCCCGACGTTTAACCACTGTGCCCGACTAATAAATTTCACCATATGATTTGTTTTGTCCAATACGAGTAGAAATAAGGGAGGGAGGGAGGCTAACTATGTTAAAACTACTATAAGTTTGCCAGAATATATTCAATCCACTTTGAATCAGGGCGTTTCTTTGTATATTACTTTTTCTTTTGATAGGGCGAAATTGAACGCTGTTTACAATTTACAATTCCAAATCAAACTGTTTACAATTCCATATCAGTCTATTGTCCCATGTACCAGGAACAAAGATTTTAAATTTTGATAAAATTTCGCGTGTTACAGTTTCATCGCCTGCTATTGCTAAATGATAAACACTAAAAAGCTTCATGAAACTTTACCTTGCAGTTAATGTAGACACTTGTTTTATGGCATCCATGAAAATGCAGTTAATTTGTTGTTCCAAATATACGCTTTATTGAGCGCTTTACAATCGAGTGTCGGAAGTTGCTTCGATTTTGCTTTATTTCACCGTGATTGGTCCAGAAAACTCGCTCCATCCTCTCAACCAATCAGATGTAGAAAACGGGAGTTAGTCACTCGCGTTTTCCCGCGCTTTAAGCAATGAAATTTACTTGTCTGTACTTTGCATTCTTGTAATGTTTTTATTTTCTCTGACTGCTTGATGTCGTTACCTCGGTTTTGGTATAATGATACTCAATGGAAATAATTTCTATGTACCCTTAATAATTAAGGAATTCCTTTTGCGAATCATTAGTGCTCTCCGTTATCACGAAAGAACGCAAAGTAAGCTGATACCACAGTCATAAATTCTGTGAAAGAAAGAAAAATCTACGACACTCGATGGAAATGAGCTATAAGTCGCAATAAAATGGAAATGAGTCGTAATGTAGCGAAACGATAATAGAGAATAATTTCTTAGATTGTAGATTGTAGGACTTAGTTTCTTGTTAAACAGGAAACTGGGTTAATGATCATATTAAAATATTTGTATCAGCAATTTTGAATAATTTTGTGATAATGTGTTTTGGAGTTTACTATCTTTGTGACGACGTGAGTTCGCTCGTTAACTTCCTTCTTTTCACGGTGTGGGGGGGGGGGGAAGTCATGATAACACTCACCTAATTCCCCTGACTAATCCCCCTAATCCCCCAAATCCCCCTCTGCAGTATGCAATATTCAAATGACCCCACTAATTACCAGTCGGTTTTCAGCGGTCTCCTCTTTAACACTCTCTGAGCAACGACTGATCCTCTCTGTTTCCCCCGAAAATCACGTGATTCCTCTAGAAGCCTCTCATTCAAGGCAATAAATACTGGCTGGCCTAAAGGGAGATCTTCTTTTGTGGTTTCCCGATTCGTTAGTCATTACGAGAAGTGATTTTACTACTAAAAACAACAGCGTTGATGAGGGGTTTCACTCCCACTGTTTTGCCGGAAGTTTATTGGATAGCTTCGACATCAAATTCTCGACCTACCTTTCCTAGATCGTGTCTAAACATAGCGAAGTGACTCAGCTTAATAAGCTGCCAGCTTTTTTTTCATGTCTTTAAAAGGGGTCAGGGTCTGAAGCCCTCAGTCGGCACACTCCCACCAAAACTTCGCGGAAGGTGCCTCACCTCAGCCCCTCCCCTCACACTCAGAAAAGAAAAGCTACATCATTGGGAAAATCATCTAGGGAAGCAAGAGTACGAAAAAAAGATGGCCTAAATTTTGCAGCCCATGTCACAGACGCTTTCTCGATGGCTGACCAGAAACGCCTGTACAGGGGTCTGTGCCCGTCTCTCACACATTTCCTGTCGGCTACGAGGTCTACTAGATTATGATTCAGACGAGAGAAATTCTGGGTACTTTAGGAAGTGTTCCGAAAATTCAATTTTTAGATCATTAAATGTGTTCTGGTGTCTCGCTGTTTAAGAAAGAGCATTACACCCTTTAGTTCTCAGTACTGCTAACTAAAATGTTTTTACAAACACTGGAAAACTCCAAGGCATTGGGTCCTATCATATCACACAAACAAAGTTTTACAAATATTATCATCTCCTTAGACTTAATGGTCAAATTTCTGTAAAAGAATATTACCAACTCCAAAATCAACCAGTATAAAGTTTGATCAGCAGATCTCCCTGGTTAAAACCAAGGAGTTTATATTTAACAGAATCGCACAACCTGAAATTTAAGTAGGTTTTTCCTGCTGCGCCCAGATTAACTATTATTATCAATTACGTGAGGTGAGCGACACGATTTCTGAGAAGCGCTTACACATCTTATGAACACATTATCGCACATTTGTTGACTTAAACCTTGAAATCGTCTGTGTTAAGCATTTTGGAGACATCTGACGGTGTTTACTCTCACTGATGCAACGCTGAAGTCGATCAACGAGCAACACAATGTTTTGGAACGTGTTGTTGTTGTTGTCGGTTTATGTCTTAACACATTTTGCTTTCGTGAATGGTGATGTTCAAGGTATGTTACTTGGGTTATGATTTTATTTTGGCTTTAGAGACACACTTTGTTCGTTTCATCAGGGGAAATTTTTTCGGTTGTAGAGGGAGATAGTTGCTTTCGTAAGGTACTGTTTAAGTAATCAATTGTAGAAGCAGGAACTGGGTTAATCGTGAGTTGTTGTTACCGGTTCCCTTTTTGAACGTTAACCGAACTGACCTTGGAGGGTATGAATGGCTCTTTAAATGTTTGTAGAACATTTGCACATTCCCAAATATTACAGTAGTTGAGTAACGCGCCATGAGTCTAAAATCATTTTGGTTAAAACATAGGTCATTGTCAGATTAACGTTGTTGAGTGAAAGGGATCCGATCGCATCACAGCTAGTTGATTCACATTACGTGTACAATTTACTTGCAGTAAGGAGCGTCCTCTTTTGCGGTTTTATCGCACCTTTTCCTTAGCCATTTTAGCTGACAAAAGAACTCACATATATCCAATTCAGTTTGGCTTTGCTCTGGATTCTCGTGTGGGAATCCATTAAGTTTTAGTCAAATATTATGTCGCCGATGACGGAAGTTAAAAGTTTGGAGCTTTCGAGTTAACTTACTACGAATTCGCTGAAACTCGAGAAAATCTCCCAAGGGGAAACAAATCGGAATCACTAGAATATTAAGTGTATTTTGCGGCGCACGAAAGATGGAAAGGAAGTCACGAATATATTAAAATAGAAAATTAAAATAAGTGATATGTCGCATGGATGTAGTTATTTATTTCTGTTTATTCAGGGATCGTAAAGCCACCCTAAGTAAATGTGTGAAAAAAGTTAATAAAAACGTGATTAAATTAATGAATCAAAAAATAATTAAATAACCCGCCCCGTTAGCTCGTGTTACCTCACCATTTTTACAAGGTTGGTGGAAATCAGTTCAAACTGGTGACAATTCTTCTTAGGAGAAAAGAAAGGCCTATTAATCGGTGCGAAATCAGTCACAATTTGCAGTGTTTACTGTCTGAAAAATGAACATATTCAGGGACAAATCCTAGAATTACAGGGTGGGGGTGGGGGGGGGGGTGGGGGATCCAGATATTGAATACATAATATTTTTTCAATACGGCCTAAATAAGCTTAGAAATACTTATGGATAAGCATATCTTGAATATTTCAAGTCGAGTAGTAATATTAGTAATATGCGATCCTGTCTTTGGAAGAATTTTAGTTTCAGACAAGGGATAAAAACATCCACAGGTCTCACGGGGGGCAAATTCCAGTCATCCCTACCCCCTTTCTGACTGTCCCCCTGATGTGATGTTTATTGCTTGTTTGTTTGTATTGTTTTTCTGTTTAGCGAGAACTTGTGCCCAGATCCCTGTAGATGCAAGGCTGTCTTGTGGACATGTCAACCAAACAGTTTGTGCCACGCTTGGTTGCTGCTGGAATAAACGCGAATTTTATCCTTCTCTGCAATGTTTTAAGGAAAGGTAAAACCAATTAATAGTTCCCAATCCTGACAAAGGCAAATTTTAGAAACTGCGTGAAATACACTAACAGCTGATTTATAGATTTGAATCAAAATTTGTTGGATAAAGCAAGTTTACGAGTTAAGTCCATGTTTTTATCCTGATTAGCTCTTGGGTTGATGAAAGTAATCGATCACTGATTGTTACTATGTGGCCAATCTTTGCAAAAATGACAGATTCATTCACTCATTAACTTATCTGTAATTATAACCTGACCCTGCCCTCCTTTGGTTGAAAGCCAAGTTTTAAGTTTTATTCACATAGAAGTAAAAAGAAGGTTAAAAGAATTCATTATTTAAAGAATAATATCCACAACTTATATATAGTCTATTTGTCTAATTTTGTTCTAGTTAACAAGGGACAGGTATAATGTTCCTAGAATTAAAGAATAATCACTTTATTCTGAAACAATTTAATTTTGTTTACCTATTCAGGAGAGACGAAGTACAACTCAGAAAAAAAAAAAAAAACATGAAACTAGAAAAGGATAACTTTTTGTGACAATTTAATGTTTCTCAATGGAACCTATTCGGTGATATCCTTAAGATATAAATTGTTATTGCCCCTCAAACTGCATTCACCTTTTAATTTTTTTTTATCAATCATGCATAAATGATGAGCAGCTTCAAGAGTTTGCAACAACCCAAGCTTTGCAACAACCCAAGCTTTGCAACAACCCAAGCTTTGCAACAACCCAACCCAGTTACAAGAGAGTAATTCGCGATTCACTTACTTCTTTTCTGACTTTCTTCAATTCAACAGTTTATTTTGAGCTGGTTTGAATAAATTTTCCATTCCTTCCACAGTAACGACATATCCTCTCATCAAAAATACCGAACGCCGCGCAATTTTTTAGCTCGAAAGTAATGCAACGAGGGCTACTCAACCCAAGAACAGATAGAAGAATTACTCGGGCTTCCAATCCTTTCTTGGGCCAAGTTTGCTTATAAAAAAAAGAATTTCAAAATTTTATTTCTTTTCTTGCGACATTGTTAACAACTCTCTCTCAATTGAGCCACTTACCAAGACTTCTACAACGTGGAAAATAACCTTGTTGAAGACCCATTTTTTCAAAAGCTTAAAGATTCATTCACTCATTAACTTATCTGTAATTATGTGATAAATGTTTGTCAATTCAACAGTTTATTTTGAGCTTGAATAAATTTTCCATTCCTTCCACAGTAACGACATATCTCTCATCAAAAATACCACAATTACCTGTGCCTATTACAAGGGCCAAGTTTGCAAAAAAGCTTTCTCTACAACTCTCTCTCAATTGAGCCACTTACCAAGACTTCACAACGTGGAAAATAACCTTGTTGAAGACCCTTTAAAAGCTACAGTGACGATTATCAATAAAACTGTCACGCATTCCGAATGCAGAGAATCGTTGATTGCCTTGTTGTGCCATCGCACTATGCCACCATGTCACGCAAACAACGGCGTTACACAGCTCTGTGTTGGAGTTTGTAAAGAGTTGTTTTCAAAGTGTGGGCATTATGTGGATCAACTAGAAACTGCCATTAATCGCATACCGGGTGGAATGAAGTCCAAACTGTCATTTCCAGGTTGTTTTGGGGTGAACAGCACCGACCAAAGTGAAGAAGAAAATGGGACATGTATTAAGCTTACCTTGGGTGAGTAAAATAGCGCTTATTCTAATTTTTGAGACAGACGAAGGCTGGTGGGTAAGGGGCTTAATCCTTTTTTCGTCGATTAAAATGTATTCAGAAAATAAAAATTAAATCGAGTGGTTTTTTTTTTACTTCTTTGCTGATATTATCATCAGCGTTTGTCATTAACCCACAATGGCATTGGCTTCTTGAATGAATAAATGAAAGAATGAATGAATGAATGAATGAATGAATGAATGAATGAATGAAAGAACGAATGAATGAATAAATAAATGAATAAAAGAGTGAAAAAATTAATTAATTAATTGATGGACACATAAGTGACCATTGAATGACTCACGAAGCTCTGTTGGTATAGACCATTTTTTCTCTTTCGTAAAACTTTTCCCATTTTCAGATGCAAAACAGCCAATAAAAGTTCCTACGATCCATCCTACAAAAAGGCGCACTCCAGTTTTTGCAGGTATGTCCAAATGAATTATTTCGTGCTATTCTTGAAACTTACTTCCCACACTTCCAGTCATTATTTCTCACTAAGCGTTGATTTTCGCTCGTGATGTCCAAAGGGAACTATCTTTTTCCCTTTAAATGATACATTAGATCTCAATTCCAAATCAAGAGGTAACAATTTCCAAACAAGAAATAGGACGTGGACTATTTTGAGAAACGTATCATGTAGAGTATTTTGAATCATGACTGTAAGTTGCACGAGAATGTAAAAGGCGTGGAGGCAATAAATGTTATATTTACAATTTGGATATTCGCTGCAACCTACGCTTCATCGCTTGAGGTTTAATTCAACATGATATTTCTGGCGTTTTGCCATTTGTGCATCACGCAAAATTTCTCTGTCGATCTTTTCCGTCCATATACCAACCTAGTTTAAGTTCCCTTCATGTTGAAGGTGATGTAATGCAGTTGTTAAATGGCTGAAAATAACGTGACATATCTACTCAGTGGCCTACTACTGACTACATGTGGGAGGCCATTACACACTCACCTCTTACAGGATATAAATTTATAAATGTTGCTGTTTGAAAAACGAAATAGATATCGGGTCTGGTTTGAGTTACACAGGGTGATATTAATGTCTAAGAAGACTTGAAGCATAATCGGGCTTGAGGTGATGACGTTACAGACAGAACGAGATTAGACAGATTTCTGTCTAATCTCAGCTGGTAAACGATACTTTCGATACTTTTTTTGTCCTCGCTCTCGAATCCTTCATTGAACCCTCACGTTTTTTTAAATATTTTGATTTGTGAGGTCGTCCTCTGAGCGAGAAACGAAGGTAAACGTGGAACACAATTAATACCACGATAAAAATACAGGAGTTACGAGAAACTGTTTCGTAACTCCCACGTAATAAATTGTCATGTCTTCGTTTTTCGTTTAACTTGCATCCAGTCCTCCTCTCTTATTTCCGGTTGACTGATATTCTAGTTAGTCACTAACAATTTACATGCGAGCGTTTCCGTTCTGCGAACCATCGAGTCATCACGCCACTTTGGAGCACGATTTGCACGTAGCTTTACTAATTTATCGGACGAAAATGGTAGAAATTTAATAACACATCTTTTTAGTGGATAAATTATCGCTACTGCGTTTAAGGAAAATATAGGACTTCGCAACTTCACGAACCGTAACACAATCAACTTCACAAATTTTCGTCATCATTAATACACAGTATGGAAAAGATTTCGAGTCCAGTGGTTTTGTTTGTTGTTCTGAGCTTATTCATATGCGCTACCACTGTATCTGAAGGTAAGGTTTAAATTTTCTGTACATATGTTGTAATTTGCGCTGGAAAGCTTTTTCATTGCGTAGCGAAATATGATAGATTGGTTGGGAACATGAGACAATATTCCTTTAACTTCATCGGTAAATGATCAATGGCTTTAAACTGCGAATTTTATTAACTAGTTATTTTGAAATCGTTTTTTAAAGAAAATATGAAATGTAAAAGTATGCTTCTTTGTGCCTTCATATAACATAATATCAGTCCAACAGAGTAGACAAAACATGTGGCTTTATGTTTCGACCGAGGCAATTTCTGACTTTCAATTACCGATTATTCCGCGAGTGCAACTTGCTCAAATTCCATCAGGGTCAGGTGAAGAAGACCGGTACCTTGAAAATTCAGTGATAATTGTCTTTGAAAATAGAAGATGAATATTATTTTAGGACTTGATCATCTAAGACCGCTTTGTAAACAGTAGGCTGTCGGCGTCGCTCGATATTCGCGCTTGACTGACATGAATCGAAGTTACTCGAAACTTGCATGTTTTTTAACTGTAAGACAACGTAACTGTACATGAGTTCGCCACTGACTTTGAAAAGAAATAAAATTAACGGAAGAATTAGGTGAAGCTTCATAGGTAAAATGGACAGGATCGACTATGTAAAAAGTGGTATATTAATCAAATAACGTAAGCGAGTAAAACTATTACAAACTAATCGTGTGGCACCAACTCAATGAGTATTGTTAAGCGTTAACTGGTTGTGTTACAACTTTTTCTCTATGGGAATACACCGAGATTTTGAAACCCATCAAGAATTCTTATATAAACTTTCAGTCATCTCAAGGTTGTGCGCGTTTTAAACAATATCATCCGTTGCTTCTTCGCCCAACTGGCATAGTTACCTCAACTTCGTCACACTTGGTTAAGTTCGACACAACTTTTTAGTTCCTTTTACAAACAGAACTTTATTTTGCATAACAACAAGACCCTCGGGCAATAAAACACTGATTTATGCAGAATAACAGACACGTTGTTTTGTTAAATGAATTACACAATGAAGATCAAAACAAGCAAGGCTGTTTTGAAGTTGAAACGTGCATGAAAACTCAACTTCTTTTGGAGCTTTAAAACTCAGGCTAAGGTCACGTTTTATGAAGTGAACCAAAATATTTCCACCGACAAAATCTCATATTATTACTGACAGATCTAGTCAAGTCTCTCTAAAAGGGTCGTCTCAAAGGCGAAGGGAAAGAGGCGACTATGGAGGGGTGGCAAAAATATGGATTGTCGGCTTATGTGGGCGGCTCGGCGAATTTTGTTACACCGTTCGTCAGTCAGTGACTTGCATGTTCTGGCCATTGTAGAGAGGTCATGAATGAAGTGAGGTATCACGTTAACGGAAAAAAAAAAAATGAACTGTGATTTGACTTACTTTTCGTATAATTCTTAGAAGTATGTTATAGAAAAATAGTAAAAAATATATTATTCATCGTAAATTAAAAATATTATCACTTGCTTGCGAAACGACCAGATGCAGATGGCAAAAAGTACATTTTTTCTTGCCGGCTGCTGTTTCCAGTAAACGTAATTTTAACTTCTCTGTTTTTGACATTGAGAACGCGTTTTAACGAATTTTTGCCGAAGTGGAGAGGTGTCTTTCCGATTAAAAGGCAATCCTGAACCAGACAAAGCGAAGAAGCCCCATTTAAAATACCAGTGGTGGGTACATATTTTTTTTTGTGCGGGTGGAAAATACATTTTCAGCATGAAGTATTGCTTCCTTTCACAGCAGCACCAAAAAACGTTTCTATCAACGAGTAGGTGAATATTTAAGGCCACTGTTGGCGAATTCGCGCGCCAAAAATATCGCGAGCATTTCCCGTTCTTGCTGCCACATACTGGAAATGGTTAAGTGTATGTGCTATTCTCTTTTGTTTACAGGGACGATGCCGTCCCCACGGGTAAAGTGCAATCAAATCGCTTCGCATGAGAAAGTGGGGTGCCTAGTGCCGGAAAATACAAACATGACCACGTGTCTTTTTCTTGGATGCTGCTGGAATGATACGGAAGCAGATTCTGCAAAGAAATGTTACACCAAAAGGTAAAAGAAAACAAAGTTATTTTTAGATAAGAAGAGATAGCAGAAACTTACCATAATCGAAGGAATGAAATTAGTAAATTTGTCCTGTTCCCTTTCCACCCTTTCATTTTTAACAAAGACCAACCTCTGATTTCTCCTTACAATATCACCCACTGAATCCCACATAAAGGTGATAAGAATTAAAGAAATGATCACCAACTTACGAAGTTCTTGATTGTCAAACTCATTCTCCTTGTGAGCAACGTAGGAAATATACAGAGAACAGTATGGAGAATATGCACACTGATGTTGGGGTGTAAAGGCTTAATTCAAGACGAAACAAGAAAAGAAACGAAAACAAAACAAAGACAAAAATAAACAAACTCAATAAAAAAAAAAGTGGAGATAGTTACACAATTCGCAAAAATAATTTTTTTAAATCGGTGTGAGTGTGGGGAATATTAGTAAGGAACCCACACTGTCGCTTTTTTCTTCCAGATTTTGATTTTTTAGATCCTTTCGCATACACAAAAAATTATATCTCAGACTGACTAAAAAGCTCCAATCAATTGTTTCTTTATCTTATGGACACACCTTGATCAAACGTAAGCTGATTGGCTATGAAAACCTTTCAGACAAAAGATAAACAAACTTATTCATTAGAGCAGACAGAACGTACGCTTGATTTCCGGCCAGATATTCCACAATCATTACAACTTTAGCTTAAATCAATACTAATTATCCTGTTTCCGACATGAAGAAGCAGGAAGAGTTTGGTCTCATTTTGTGCAAAACTGTTCAAAACCAACCACGCTAATGATTCTACCCCAAAATGAATCTTAGCACAGTTGATACGCGATCTCGCAATTCAGTGTTAAGTTAAGCAAAATTGGCAAGTGAAATTACATTTCAACTGCCCAAAGGGAAGAAGAAAAGTTATTGCACGTAGAGTCATATTGATGGTGAAGCATTTCTTTTTTAAAAAACATTTATTGCCACATGTTAACAGGTACATTAAATCCACCCAGATATTTACGTCGTATCGATGAACAACTGGTGTAGAAAATGAAAACAGTGAGATATATTTTTGTTTCGAAGAAAAGCAAGATAAAATAAGTATAATAGAATGACAAAATTTCACATCTGAAGCCCCCGTGGCGCAATGGACTAGCGTGTTGGACTTCTAATTCAAAGGTTGTGGGTTCGAGTCCCACCGGGGGTGGATTACCTTTTATTTTTCCCTGGAAGTGAGTGTTATAACATATTTAGAATTTCGAGTTAGCCAATTTTTCCAACTTTTTTGAGCCAAAATTTCTTTCCTTGACTCACCGAGTGGTATTTTAGAGGGGAAATCCTGCGACTTGTATACCAAAAATATGCTAAATAGTCTTGCGCGTGCTGGTTGGATACGTTGCCATTGGCCTGTTGATGGCCTCTGTTTAGACAACGAAATTCCATGTTCATGAAGGAATTTTGTTGTTCTCAAGATGTAGTGGCTGCGATGAAATCCTTTTGAGCGCATATTCATGGTCTTCTTACTCCGATGGCTTTGACTTTCCACGCATTACTTCATAAAGTATTATACTCCGCTGGGATTGGTTGGTTTCCAACAGCTGTGAGTGGTGTATGTCAATTATTTGTCCCTTAGCGGGCCGATCAAAGCAATATTGCAAAGAACTGACTACGAGGTCATTAACACTTGTTTTTGTATCTCTCTTTGTACTTCCCCAATGATTGGCTGACCATATTTCACAGAACGGCCCGCTGAATTCCAAATTGAGTGTAAATTGAAATTCTATCCCTCCATTTGGACCCATTCTTTTCAGTTCGGATTTAAGGCCCGCGCGCTTCGAACCTGGGCCAAAAATTCGAGCAGACAAAAAAAAATACGGTCCGTAACTTACAGTACTCGGTTGATAAGAAGTAAAAATAGCGGTTTGATCAAGATATAGGAAGTTCAGTACTAACCTATTTCTATTTTTTCTTTGTTTAGAGGAGGATCCTGCATGCCCTATCGAGGAAAAGTTTGCCAAGTGTCATTCAACTCGACCCTCCCAACTTACCGCAACAGTGACCGTTTCTTTGACAACAAATTCGGCTTGCCAGCCACCGAAGAATTTCTTTCCAGGGGTCTACAAATAATCAACACGCTTGTGAAGGACGACGAAAAGTGCAGATACATCTTAATAAATATGCTTTGTCATTATACTGTGCCTCCATGTTACCCGGATGGCACAGACATAGAGTACTGTAGGGAGGACTGTGCGGCCATTTTCAAGGAATGTAGCGCCCCCCTGAATCAAGTGATTGGTGCCGTGACGTTGCATGTGGCGGCGGAAAAGATTGATTTTATACATACAAGTCTACCGAACTGTTCCGGGCACCATAAGGAAGGACACTTTGAAGACAAAACAGGAAAGATCTGTATCAAGACAGGCTTTTTCAGTAAGTGAACATTTATTAAGTAATAAGAAACTTTTGTTGTGACATCAACTTCTCCGTGTGTTGCACATGGAAATATATGGCAATTTGGCAGAATCTCGCAGCCTCATAAATTCCCTAAGGCTTTTTCAGCGCCCACTATAATGCGTAACTAAAAATTTATGTCGGTTTATTGCCGTAGTAATCCATGATTGATAACAGTGTTTTTAGAGAGCAAAATAAAATATTTCGTGAAAGTCAAGCAGAAGTAAAGTGGTTCTTAAGATTTAGAATATTGTTCAATCATGGCAAGTGATTATTACATATTTTCCATAGCTGTAGAAATTCTCGCAAGCTCATTGGTCGAGAATTATTGTAAATAAGGTTATACGCGACAAAAATGACGTGGCATGTAACTCAACGCTCGGCATCCTCGCCATGTCGGAGAAAACACTTATCTCCTAGAAGTTATTGAAATTTTCTGAGATATTGACGGTAAGAATATTCCGGATTTTAAGATCGATATACTTAGAAAAATGTCTGAAGAAGAACTTGTCGAGATGGAAGAAAAAGCGGGGGAAAATCTTCAGAGTTCTGTTCGCAAAGTTGATAGATGGATAACCTCGTAGAAATACTTGCCGATACCGTAGCAAACGGCGCAAATTTTTTAAACTAAGTGGGCAATAAAAAAACCATTCGGGGCTACTGAGTCTATTGCCATCTATTTCTTAGTGGTATTTCACTGTACAAGTTATTACACAACTCAAGTTAAAACAAACAACGAAGCAAGGATCGATCATGTCACGCGCGCGTAATTTTTCGAAAACTTTGGCGTATTCAGCTGGCACAAAAATTTCAGTGTTATTGTAAAAAACAAATTGATCACAATTTTCCATTGTCTATAACCTTGTTAGTCATAGAAATGACGTCAGCAATACTCAAAACTGTGCAGTGAAACCACTCGATTGCCCTTCGTGGTTTCACTTTAGTTTTGAACATTGTTGAATTCTTTTCTATGATCAATAGGGTTGTAGACAAAAGAAAAATTGTGGTCAATTTGTTATGCTGAATCCATAGCCTGTGAGCAAGCCCTCGTTAATAGGGCTGCCGCCCATGGAAAGATTTGAGAAAGCTAGGGACCTGGCACTAATAAAAAGCCTTATTATCAGTGCCAGACCCCTGGCAGACCTCTCGCCTCAGGGCCTTATACTTTCCCGCGGTCGCGCTAAAAGTGAGGGCCTGCTCGCACCGCATCTTCAGAAATTAAATTGCAGTTTTTTCGCTTTTATGAAATACCATCATTGATGTTTCAGCTTTGTGTGATTTTTCCGGAGTAATATATAGTGATATTTTAACCATGCAGAGAGAGCAGAGTCTGGCAGTTATTTAAAAATGTTTATAGTAAGTCATTTTGATTTGCTCAGAGCAAGTACTTTTAAACTAATATTCAACCATAGAAGCTAACCCCCCCCCCCCTCCCAAAGGAGGAACGATAGGTACGATAGAAAAGCGCCTTCTCGTACATCATGATGTTAATTTACAGATACAGATGTTAGTCTGCTACAGTACAATTATTTCATTGCAAACAATTTTCGTTTCAACCGATCCAATAAGTCGACCTAATCTGTGTTTTTCTTATCCTCAGATTACACGGAGACCACGATGGGTGCAAACACTGAGAAACCAACCCTACAACCTGGTAGTAAACTGGTAATTATCCTTCCAATTGTCATAGTTGGCCTTTGCATCATTTTGCTATGTGTCATCGTGGTCGTTCTTCTTCGAAGACGTCAGAAAATGAGGGACGCTGTGGATAATGGGCATGCGCTATCCCACAAAGGTTCCATCACCATGAGGGACAGGTTACGAGCGGAGTCCATGAAGAGCCTGGACTCGCGCTTGTTAGGACTTTATGACCCGAAAAAACTGAGGCAATACAATTTGGACCATGTACAGTACGTGAAAGATTTGGGAGAAGGTTTCTTTGGAAAAGTTTTTCAAGGTACTCTCTACCTAATTAAAATTCTACAAGTTTATTTCATCCTTTGGCTCTCTGTAACTCTTTGCGCATCTCTTCCACATACAATTTGCTATGACTTTGTTTGACTCAGGAGTAAATAAGATAGTTTTGTCAGGCAGGAGTAAATAAAAAAAAAAGCTAAATTATATTTCAATAGGAAACTACCGTGAAGTTTAGAGTGAGATAGCGAACGGCAGTACACGCAATTACTTCTAATTACCCTCTTCTTAAGAACCGGAATCAATTCATTAGTTATTTTTAGCCCATTGAATGTGTAACGAGAGCGAGGAGGTGGAGGTAAGAATGAGGCGTATATCCCCAGTCCCTTCAAGTTTTTTCCTCAAATTTTTTTTTAAGAGTATTGTACCTTAAAACCGCAATTTCATGATGCAGGTTCACTCGCATATCAGTTTTATTCCTTGAATATTTGGTGGAAACAAATTGATAGGTTGTGCAGATATTACGGGGGACGTGAGGTATGGTCCTGAACTTAAGGAGGCAGGGACAGGATATGTCACAGAACATTGAAATACTCAAATCGAAGATGTAGTATGACTCAATATGCCGTTTAGGATCACATCTGGTTTTCAAATCATGACATCAAGACAGCAGAAAGAGACAAAGCACAAAAGATGTTTAAGGTGCAACAACCAAAAACAAAAACAAAGCAACGAGGAATAGTTTTGTTTCGAAGAAAAACACGATGAAGTAAAATTAACAGAATGAAGATAAAGGACAAAACAAAAAATGAAAAAAGGGAAAAAAATGGAAGATAGTCAAACAATTTCGTAAGAACAATTTTTTGAGAACGATGTGAGAAGATAGGAAGGGTTTAATCTCACTTTGTGCAAAATTCTTCAATAAAAACCACACTCATGATTCTGCCTCGAAGTTAATCTTAGCATCTCGTAATGGTCAAGTTAAGCAAAAATAAAACTATCTCAATTGCCCAAAGGGAAGAAATAATATCCTTGTATGTAGAGTCGTATTAATAAAGAAGCATTTCTGTTTTTTTACAATTCATTGCCAAATGTTAACAGGTACATTAAATCAACCTGATGTTTACGTCACGGCAATCAACAATTGTTGTAGAAAATCAAAGCAGCGAGGAGTATTTTTGTGTCGAAGAAAAACACGATGAAATAGATTTAATAGAATGAACAACATTGGTATCTGAAGCCCCCGTGGCGCAATGGACTAGCGTGTTGGACTTCTAATTCAAAGGTTGTGGGTTCGAGTCCCCCCGGGGGTGGATCTTTTTTTTCTTTTGGCATAATATATGACTGCTATTTCTTACTTGGATGTTTCCAATCAACTCGAAGTGAATATAATCACACATTTAGGAATTGTTCATGTCATCAGCTTTACTTAACTCTTTGGAGGCAAATTCCTTTCCTAACTTAGGCATATAGAGATTCATGTCGGCTCTCCATTTACATTTTAGGTCGCGCTTCGGGTCTGAATGATAAACAACCCAAAAAGGTTATTCCTGTGGCGGTGAAGGCGCTGAAGGACGAAGCGTCCAAGGAACAGAAAGAAGAGTTTTACCGAGAAGTAACTCTGATGTCCATTCTTACACACCCAAATATTGTTCAGCTTCTAGCTGTGTCAACCGAGGAGGAACCCTATGGAATGCTGTTTGAGTTCATGAGTGGCGGGGATTTGAATCAATATTTGAGGAATGCACTACCAGCGGAAACATCGCTTGAATCCAGCGAGAAAGGGAAAGGTAGGTTTTTCCATGGACCAAGTCGAGAGAATGGAGCAATATTACCTTATCTTGCGTAGAGTTGTTGCTGTTTAAGAATGCAAGTGTACCACAACTCTAACGCGATATATATGATTTAACGCCAACTTCAAACGCTCGGTAATTTGCGTTTTAGTAACTCGACATGCTGCGTTCACGTTGTGCTAAATTAATGGGACAATACATTTGCGATTTTCGCCAGCGAGACACACATCAAAACTAGTTTTGCTCGGGTCTAGTGACTTCACTGCGATGGAAATCTTTGTCTATACCGGTATTAATTTCGAGATTCAGGCAATCAAATTTCCGGTTTTCGCACTAATTCTTATTGCCCGTGATGTAATTGTAATCTAATAGGTGATCAAACTGCCTGGTATACTTTTGATGCACACATAGTTGCAACAACTCAAAACCGGCGAAAAAAACTTAAGAACTTGCAAACGGTAGATCTTCAACTTAACTGTGCCTTCTTGTCTTCTTTTTCGTCAGTTTATCTCTCTCAAGAATCCCTTGTGTCTGCCGCAACCCAGATCGCTGCTGGCATGCATTATTTAGCCGAGATGAAATTTGTTCATAGGGACTTGGCGACTAGGAACTGTTTAGTTGGAGATGACTTCGTTGTGAAGATTGGAGATTTTGGAATGTCACGTGATATTTATACTACAGATTACTATAAGGTATGCTAAACAAACGAGTTTTCTTGTAGAGAGAGAGATGTTTTCTCATCTTGTCAAGAGCGTGGGACCAGCAAAAAATTCTGAGTCCCCATGACGAATCGAACCTCACACCTTCGGATTCCGTACTTCTATGCTCTACCACTGAGCCACAGAGACTCTATATTGAGCAAGGCACATTACGAAGTTTATATATGACACGCGTCCCGCATACTGCTAGGATCAGAGGATCAGCAATGTCGTTAGCGTCATATTTCATATATAGAATAAGAAAGCTGTTTAGATTTGAGCTCGGTAAAGAAATAGAGAAAGTTAAAGTTGTTAGACGGTTTCAGCCAAAGCGTTTACATCCGCGTTAATACCCAATCCAGATCGTGTGATGATTCATTCACGAGGATACCATTGTTTTACCTTTGTTTTTCTTTGACCAGAGGTGTTTGTCAAATTGCACATTTTAAACATCCCTAAGGAATAAACGTAGTATTTATCCTTTGATCTGTACGAGTCACTAGCATCTAATTTCTCCTTATAATATCACACATTGAGGTAACACATGCAGGTCAGGAGGACGAAGGAAATGATCACTTGCTAAAGATGCTCTTTATCGTTAAAGAGACCATCCTTGTCGGCACAATAGAAATTTATGGTGAACAATTTGAAGAACATGCATGTCAGGGTGTAATGGGTTAAGATCTAAACTGGGTGGCAAAAGGATGTAAACACGTTTACCGAATACTTCTATTGTCGAAAATTTCAAAGGAATTATGAGCGAGGCTCTTCATTAGAACCTGAAACTCAGTATTAAGATGGTTACAAAAAACATACGTTCATCTATTTCTATTTCATTTATTTTAAATGCTGTAAAACAAGTTAAGAATGAGTTAATTACCATGATCTGTTGGAACAAACAGCACTGAGCCAGTTATTAGCTGGCAGTGACCGACACACAGACAAACCAAAATATGAAATATGTGTTTCAAACACACATCATTACCAGATTTAAATCGCACTATAGAGGAAGGAGAATATGAACCTTTTTTTGCACATTAGGAACAACATCTTATTCACGCAGTGCGAAATTTAAATACACCCACATTAAACAATCGATCAAATGATGATAGTATTCTACATGATTCAACGGCGCGGGAGGCTTTGGACGTTAATACCAGGTTACACATGCTCTCATTGCCTTTGCATCGCATAGTGAGCTTCTAATTAAATGTATCTTTCGCCTGTGTTAAGCAATATAAAGGAAAGAACTGTGACATCTCTTTACTTCAGGTACGAAAGCAACAGTCGCCCAACCATTCAACCCACCATGAATATTAGCTTCCTAAAAAATCTACCAGAATCACCCCCCACGGGGAGGATATGTCTTATCGTCAGTTTTGCGGATGGTTTAAATCTGGCGCTCGTATGATAATCGGAAATTTTGAAAATCCCGCGTGTGTTTTGAAGCTGTTTCCGCCATGGTTCCAAAGTGGCCTTATACGGTCATTGTTAATCATTTAACAAAGCCTGCTGTAATCTAAGTTGATCCACTTTTCTTGATACGTAAAGTCAAGCAGGGAACAGGAACTAGTCCGGACGAGGAAAGAAACAACAGAAAAAATAAGGAGATATGTTTTTAACTTGGTGCAAGGGTGGGAAACAACATAAAATGTGGCGTGTTGGAAGAAATGTAAACATGTTTGATTCTGAATGCATGGGAAATTGACGGAAATATATGTTAGAATTAGTCCAAACTCTTCGTGAAGTCCTTCAAAATATTTCATAAGTCTCATGTCTAAGATAGTTTTTTAATCTTTGCATACTTTCAGATGAGTAAAGAAACATTGTTGCCCATCCGCTGGTTGGCTCCTGAAGCTTTTCTGTACGGCAAGTTTAGTCTCCAGTCGGACGTATACGCATATGGCGTGGTACTCTGGGAGATTTTCACGTTTGGTCTTCAGCCGTATTATGGTTATACCAATAAAGAAGTGATGGAATTTATTCAAAAGGTATTGTGCTCATCGAAAAAAAACCTTTCATTTTTATGAGAATTTGCGGCATTTTTTTTAAACAGATGATTGTAAACCATGAGGTAGGGGCGTCCCGCTAGTTCCTTTTGGAATGTAGAGGAATACCGTAAAGTTTTTTTTCATTTGAAATTGTCACTTTTTTGGTGTTGCTGCTTCCGATGACCTCCACACTATCTATCACTCTTGTAACTGACCCAACCATTCAACCAACGGACTTACATTTACCTCTTCTATGAATCTTTGTCTAGCTGTAAGTCTTTTTATCCGTCTGTCTGTCCTGTCTGTCTATCTCACTCAGTCTGTCTTTCCATTCTGCAGGTCTATCTGTCCGTCTACGTGTCCGTCTGGCCATTCATCTGTCTGTTAGTCGGCTTGTCTATCTGCCTTCCTATCCGTTTGTCAATCTGTTCGTGTGTTCGACCGTCCGTTTCCGTTTGTTCAGCTCGCTATCCACTAACTGATTTAGTTACTAACTTGTTCCTTCGAACAGGGTATTCATTTAGGGAAACCAGACAACTGTCCGGACTTCGTATACGCTATAATGAAAGATTGTTGGAAAAAAGAACCAGAGAAGCGTTTGGAATTTACAGCTATAGGCATGCGTCTAAAAGACCCTTACCACGCTTATGACATGCCTCCCGCTTCAGAATCTGAGGAAGAACTCGAGCAAAGGGAGGAAGCAAAAGAAGGCGACGAGATCTTGTCATCAGGTATATTGCAATTCAAGTAATGGGGGGGGAATAGGACACTGCTGTCGCCGCAAAAACCGGATTTAAGCGCTTGGAGTCATGAGCCATGTGTGTCTTTAAGTTATTTAACTATTATTGTAACATTCTTCTACCTTTAGTGGAAGTTGCGCCTCCTTAAATTACGCGCAAACAGATACACTTACCTTATCGTTGTCCTAATTTCAGACACTGGAAACTACGACATCCCCAGAAATTCTGCCTCAAGTGATTACGATATCCCGCGTGCGATAACGCTAGAGTCAGATTACGACGTACCGAGATCAAACGAAGATATTCGAATGAGCACTGCCGATAACGACGACGACGACAACGACGACGAGGAAAAAGAAGCTCCGAAAGATGTTCCAGTTTAATTTGTTTACCACCACATTAGAACAATCTCGTCGTTATACAACTATCAAATGGACCATACATGAATTCACACTAGGCATGTAAACTACGTTGTTAGATTTTTTGACTAGTTGCTTTAGGAATTATAAAACTCGACGCAGTTTACCGTGACATCATTTTTGCAATATGTTGTATCTTGTATGTCATATCTACCCATATTTAGTGATGTTTTGGTGACTGAAATTATGAGATTCCGTGGGGCCTTCTAGACCTCTCTTCAGCCGCATCTGCACCTGCAAAAATTGCCTTTGCTGAACCAATGCTTCGTTGAAAAATTTTTTATGGCAATTTCTTGTCAAGGAGAAACTTTTCAAAGACGCAATTTGTCAGTGTAGATAACTTGACAAGGAAAATGGAGAGGACTTCAGAGAAATTTAATCCTACTTCAATAAGCTTGTTCAACGCTGAGGACAAGGGTATTTTTTTACGGCTTGACAAGTGCATTGGCAAACAGAATTTGCTCGTTTTAATGCGGCTTTTCTCATGCTTGATGGATTTATCAGTCAGCAACGCTCACGTGGTAATAAATAATTTCCAAAAAAATATTTATAATCTTGCAAAATCAACAGACGTAAAAAATTCTACCTGTTTTGCCTTAATCTATTTAAAATTCATCTCGAGGAATTGATTGCCTCTTAATTTCATATATTTACCTTGAAATTAAATTCAACTCCAGCCACCCTTAACAGTTTGTTTTTTATTTGATACCAAAATCTCGAATTACAGTGCAACAGAATCGTTTCTCTGTCAAAACATTCGCAAACTTTGTGAAGTTTTTCTTCTTTCTCTTATTAATTATAGTCGTTATGAATAGATGCTTATGATGTTTCGTGTTGTTTGGACCAAATACATTGTTAACTGCATACAGAAACGATGCGTTTCCATGGCAGTTAAATCCTAGTAAGTGAGCTCACTTAGCATGGACCTGAGAAATACCTTGTTTTAACATTTAAATTACAAATTCTGACCAAAAATATTGGACAAAAACCCCTCTTGACCACTATACAAATTGTAACAGTGTATTATCAGGCCTAAGGTAATATGATACACAAGTAAAACTTTAGATTTTGTTCTTTCATAAAATTTTTGCACTAGGTTCGTGATCAAAATTCGATCCATGTAATCATTTAGTGCGGTCTTTTTTTTCATTTCTGTTATTTCCTATAACTTGATGAAGGTCAGAAAGGAAGCTAATAGATGGAGAATTTAAAGAAGGCATTAAAACACTTTATATTCTCTATCAGGACGTAGTTGTAGAGACATGAAATCAAACTGACCAACGACTCCATTAATATACCTAAAAACGTTAGCGTATCACTATTAACAAAGTAATTCTTTTGGAATATTTTATTCAAACCTACACAGTTGTCAAATCTTGTTCTGTGATAGTTGAAATATGAATTAGATCTCAAAAATAAGGCAAGTGTAAAACATTTTTGTATGTTAGTATAGTAATTGTATTGTCAGAAGTATTGAATAAGAACATTATTTTAGGAAGTGCGATTGATTACCTTTATTTTTTTTCCGAAACGGGGCGAGTGGTAGCCACATTCACATTCGATCTCCAGCAAGTGTAGGCGGAATGTTCATACAGACGAACCCGCAGTGAGCACCGTATTAAGCGGTCACCCTATCGGTTATTAAAGTCCCAATATTTTCTCCCCTAAATTACTGTAAGTTTCACCTCAATTAGGCTATCGTCGTCACCCCTTACTGAGTCCTGAAGGCCTGTTTATATTGCCTTCCCCCTGAATTGAACAGTCAGTTAAAGTGGAACACTGGAAAAAAAAAAAAAACTAAATCAAAATTATTCCATATTTATCTTCTAAATCAATGTCAGCCCTTTGCGTTCAAATATCTTTAACGCATTGTGCATTATCTTTATTCTAAGGACCGTTAAGACGAAATGTCGCCGGGTTTAGATCGCGTTTGGCCCCTATTCTTTGGAACCTGTATGTGGTCATCCCAGTGGAAGTGGTCAGCCCACCATGCCCCGTGGGTGATCACTTAATCCTTTACACCTTAACATCAGTATATATTTTCTCCGTATTGTTCTCTGTGCATTTCCTAAGGTGCTGACAAAGAGAATTTGTCTAACAATCAAGAGCTTCTTTAGTTGGTGATCATGCCCTTTATTCTCATGACCTGGATATTTGTTTTAGGGGTGATAGTAACAGAAGAAAATATTTACAAATCACTCGTGGGGTTTAAAGCGTTAATACAGGTTGGACTGTATGTAAAGAGACTTCGAGAACGGCTTGGTGGCATGAACAGTGTGTTCATTATATGCATATTTAACGGGAAAGCGAAATACTGACCTTGCCCCATTCACAGCCGCTACAGTGATCATTTCTGAAAATATCATTATTAACAAATTCAGTTTCGCTGGAAAGTGGAAAAGAAGTGAGACTAAAAAATTAATGTTTGAGACCTCGCCATAGCTGGAGATATTGTCGATCATGTTTCACATTTTATTTCCGTGTGTAGTCTTACTTTGTGTTCAATTCTTTGATAAGCTTGGGGTCGTTGACAGCAAACAAGGTAAGCTGTAACGTTACACATTAGTTTACTAGAAAAATACTTCAAGTAAATGAACCTTTCGATAGCCAAGGGTTACCTGTAGTAGTCAAAGTGATTTGATAGCTGCTAAATCGATACGCGTTGCAATTTAAAGAATGTCAGTTTGTCAGTCACATGGGAATCCTCCGTTTAAACTGAATATTTATACATTACGTGCCTATTACTGACAGATCTAGTCAAGTCTCTCTAAAAAGGTCGCCTAAAAGGCAAAGGGGAATAGGCGACTGTGGAGGAGTGGATTGTCGGCTTATGTGGGCGGCTCAGCGAATTTTGTTACAACGTTCGTCAGTCAGTGACTTGCATGTTCTGGCCATTGTAGAGAGGTTATGAATGAAGTGAGGTATCACGTTAACGGAAAAAAAATGAACTGTGATTTGACTCACTTTTCGTATAATTCTTAGAAGTATGTTGTAGAAAAATAACCAAAAATATTTTTTTTCATAGTAAATTAAAAATATCATCACTAGCTTGCGAAACGACCAGATGCAGTTGGCAAAAAGTACCCTTTTTTCCTGCCGGTTCCTTTTTCCAGTAAACGTAATTTTAACTTCTCAGTTTTTGACATTAAGAACGTATTTTAGCGAATTTTTGCCGAAGTGGAGAGGTGTCTTTCCGATTAAAAGTCAATCTTGAACCAGACAAAGCGAAGAAGCCCCATTTAAAATACCAGTGGTGGGTTTTTTTTTTTTTTTTTTGCGGGTGGAAAGTACATTTTCAGCATTAAGTCCTGTTTCTTTTTACAGCAGCACCAAAAAACGTTTCTATCAACGGGTAGGTGAATATTTTAGGCCACTGTTGGCGAATTCGCGCGCCAAAAATATCGCGAGCATTTCCCGTTCTTGCTGCCACATACTGGAAATGTATAAGTGCATGTGCCATTCCATTTTGTTTTTAGGGACGATTCCGCCGCCACGGGTAGAGTGTAAAGATATCGCTCCGAATGAGAAAGTGGGGTGCCTAGTACCGGAAAATACAAACATGACCACGTGTCTTTTTCTTGGATGCTGCTGGAATAATACGAAAGCAGATTCTGCAAAGAAATGTTACACCAAAAGGTAAAAGAAAACAAAGTTACTTTTAGATAAGAAGAGACGGCAGACACGTTCCATAATCGAGGGTATGAAATTAGTAAATTTGTCCTGTTCCCTTTCAACTCTTTCATCTTTAACAAATAGCAACCTCTGATTTCTCCTAACAATATCACCCACTGAATCCCACATAAAGGTGATAAGAATTAAAGAAATGATCACCAACTTACGAAGTTCTTGATTGTCAAACTCATTCTCCTTGTGAGCAACGTAGGAAATATACAGAGAACAGTATGGAGAATATACACACTGATGTTGGGGTGTAAAGGCTTAATTCAAGACGAAACAAGAAAAGAAACGAAAACAAAACAAAGAAAACATAAACAAACTGAATAAAAAAAGATAGTTACACAATTCGCAAAAATAATTTTTTTTAAATCGGTGTGAGTGTGGGGAACATTAGTAAGGAACCCACACTGTCGCTTTTCTCTTCCAGATTTTTAACTTTTTTAGATCCTTTCGCATACACAAAAAATTATATCTCAGACTGACTCAAACGCTCCAATCAATTGTTCCTTTATCTTATGGACACGTCTTGATCAAACGTAAGCTGATTGGCTATGAAAATCTTTCAGACAAAAGATAAAAAAATTCATTCATTAGAGCAGACAGAACGTACGCTTGATTTCCGGCCAGATATTCCACAATCATTACAACTTTAGCTTAAATCAATACTAATTATCCTGTTTCCGACATGAAGAAGCAGGAAGAGTTTGGTCTCATTTTGTGCAAAACTGTTCAAAACCAACCACGCTTATGATTCTACTCCAAAATGAATCTTAGCACAGTTGATACACGATCTCGCAATTCAGTGTCAAGTTACGCAAAATTGGCAAGTGAAATTACATTTGAACTGCCCAAAGGGAAGAAGAAAAGTTATTGTACGTAGAGTCATATTGATGGTGAAGCATTTCTTTTTTAAAAAACATTTATTGCCACATGTTAACAGGTACATTAAATCCACCCAGATATTTACGTCGTATCGATGAACAACTGGTGTAGAAAATGAAAACAGTCAGGAATATTTTTGTTTCGAAGAAAAGCACGATGAAATGAGGATAGTAGAATGACAAAGTTTCATATCTGAAGCTCCCGTGGCGCAATGGACTAGCGTGTTGGACTTCTAATTCAAAGGTTGTGGGTTCGAGTCCCACCGGGGGTGGATTACTTTTTATTTTCCCTGAAAGTAAGTGTTATAACATATTTAGAATTTCGAGTTAGCCAATTTTTCCAACTTTTTTGAGCCAAAATTTCTTTCCTTGACTCACCGAGTGGTATTTTAGAGGGGAAATCCTGCGACTTGTATACCAAAAATATGCTAAATAGTCTTGCGCGTGCTGGTTGGATACGTTGCCATTGGCCTGTTGATGGCCTCTGTTTAGACGACGAAATTCCATGTTCATGAAGGAATTTTGTTGTTCTCAAGATGTAGTGGCTGCGATGAAATCCTTTTGAGCGCATATTCATGGTCTTCTTACTCCGATGGCTTTGACTTTCCACGCATTACCTTATAAAGTATTATTCTCCGCTGGGATCAAAGCAATATTGCAAAGAACTGACTACGATGTTATTAACACTTGTTTCTGTATCTCTCTTTGTACTTCCCCTATGATTGGTCAATTTAGCTGACCATATTTCACAGAACGGCCCGCTGAATTCCAAATTTTGTGTAAATTGAAATTCTATCCCTCCATTTGGACCCATTCTTTTCCGGTCGGATTTAAGGCCCGCGCGCTTCGAACCTGGGCCATAAATTCTAGTAGACAAAAAAAATTTGGGTCCGTAACTTACAGTACTCAATTGATAAAAAGTAAAAATGGCGGTTTGATCAAGATATAGGAAGTTCAGTACTAACCTATTTCTATTTTTTCTTTGTTTAGAGGAGGATCCTGCATGCCTTATCGAGGAAAAGTTTGCCAAGTGTCATTCAACTCGACCCTCCCAACTTACCGCAACAGTGACCGTTTCTTTGACAACAAATTCGGCTTGCCAGCCACCGAAGAATTTCTTTCCAGGGGTCTGCAAATAATCAACCAGCTTGTGAAGGACGACGAAAAGTGCAGATACATCTTAATAAATATGCTTTGTCATTATACTGTGCCTCCATGTTACTCGGATGGCACAGACATAAAGTACTGTAGGGAAGACTGTGCGGCCATTTTCAAGGAATGCAGCGCCCCCTGAATCAAGTGATTGGTGCCGTGACGTTGCATGTGGCTGCGGAAAAGATTGATTTTATACATACAAGTCTACCGAACTGTTCCGGGCACCATAAGGAAAGATATTTTGAAGACAAACCAGGGAAGATCTGTATCAAGACAGGCTCTTTAAGTAAGTGAACATTTATTAAGTAATAAGAAACTTTTGGTGTGACATCAACTTCTCCGTGTGTTGCACAAGGAAATATATAGCAATTTAGCAGAATCTCGCAAAGTCTCATAAATTCCACAAGGCTTTTTCAGCGCCCACTATCATGCGTAACTAAAAATTTATTTAACAAATAGAGAAGCCTTGACTGTGCTCTGTTCTGTTATAAAGCACGCAGGAAGCGGCTAGAGCACGAAAGAAGTGTAGGGAGAAACACGAGACGTAGTCGAGTGTTTCTCCCCACTTCTTGAGTTGTTAAATGACTGAAAATAACGTGACATATCTACTGACTATATGTGGGAGGCCATTACACACTCACTTCTTACAGGATATAAATTTATAAATGATGCTGTTTGAAAAACGAAATAGATATCGGGTCTGGTTTGATTTACACAGGGTGATATTAATGTTTAAGAAGATTTGAAACATAATCGGGCTTGAGGTAATGACGTTACAGATAGAACGAGATTAGACAGATTTCTATCTAATCTCAGCTGGTAAACGATACTTTCGACAATATTTTGTCCTCGCTCTCGAGTCCTTCCACAAACCCCCACGTTTTTCTTAATATTTTGATTTGTGAGGTCGTCCTCTGAGCGAGAAACGAAGGTAAACGTGGAACACAATTAATACCATGATAAAAATACAGGAGTTACGTGAAACTGTTTCGTAACTCCCACGTCATAAATTGTCATGTCTTAGGCAGTTTTCGTTTAACTTGCATCCAGTCCTCCTCTCTTATTTCCGGTTGACTGTTATTCTAGTTAGTCACTAACAATTTACCTGCGAGCGTTTCCTTTCTGCGAACCGTCGAGTCATCACGCCACTTTAGAGCACGATTTGCACATAGCTTTACTAATTTATCGGACGAAAATGGTAGAACTTTAATAACACATCTTTTTGGTGGATAAATTATCGCTACTGCGTTTAAGGAAAATATAGGACTTCGCAACTTCACGAACCGTAACACAATCAACTTCACAAATTTTCATCATCAATCACACACAGTATGGAAAAGATTTCGAGTCCAGTGGTTGTGTTTGTTGTTCTGAGCTTATTCATATGCGCTACCACTGTATCTGAAGGTAAGGTTTAAATTTTCTGTACATATGTTGTAATTTGTGCTGGAAAGCTTTTTCATTGCGTAGCGAAATATGATAGATTGGTTGGGAACATGAGACAATATTCGTTTAACTTCATCGGTAAATGATCAATGGCTTTAAACCGTGAATTTTATGTGCCGATTTGGAATATAAATTTTTGTTCTAGTGTTTTACGGCTTTCCGAACTGCCTAGATGTAAGGAAAGGCCGCAAACTGCCATATGCTGTTTAGAATGATAAGGAAGATTAAAGTGTCTAGCGACTGGTTTGGATGCGTCCTTGTCATTTCTTTCCACATCGCGAAGGTGTTCTCGGAATCGGGGTGGCAAAAATATGGATTGTCGGCTTATGTGGGCGGCTCAGCGAATTTTGTTACACCGTTCGTCAGTCAGTGACTTGCATGTTCTGGCCATTGTAGAGAGGTTATGAATGAAGTGAGGTATCACGTTAACGGAAAAAAAAAATGAACTGTGATTTGACTCACTTTTCGTATAATTCTTAGAAGTATGTTGTAGAAAAATAACCAAAAATATTTTTTTCATAGTAATTTAAAAAAAATATCATCACTAACTTGCGAAACGACCAGATGCAGTTGGCAAAAAGTACCCTTTTTTTCTGCCGGCTGCTGTTTCCAGTAAAACGTAATTTTAACTTCTCAGTTTTTGACATTGAGAACGCGTTTTAGCGAATTTTTGCCGAAGTGGAGAGGTGTCTTTCCGATTAAAAGGCAATCTTGAACCAGGCAAAGCGAAGAAGCCTCATTTAAAATACCGGTGGTGGGTACATATTTTTTTTGTGCGGGTGGAAAGTACATTTTCAGCATTAAGCCCTGTTTCTTTTTACAGCAGCACCAAAAAACGTTTCTATCAACGAGTAGGTGAATATTTTATGCCACTGTTGGCGAATTCGCGCGCCAAAAATATCGCGAGCATTTCCCGTTCTTGCTGCCACATACGGGAAATGTTTAAGTGCATGTGTCATTCCCTTTTGTTTTCAGGGACGATTCCGCTGCCACGGGTAGAGTGTAAAGATATCGCTCCGAATGAGAAAGTGGGGTGTTTAGTACCGGAAAATACAAACATGACCACGTGTCTTTTTCTTGGATGCTGCTGGAATGATACGGAAGCAGATTCTGCAAAGAAATGTTACACCAAAAGGTAAAAGAAAACAAAGTTACTTTTAGATAAGAAGAGACGGCAGAAACGTACCATAATGAAAGGAATGAAATTAGTAAATTTTTCCTGTTCCCTTTCCACCCTTTTTAACAAAGACCAACCTCTGATTTCTCCTTACAATATCACCCACTGAATCCCACATAAAGGTGATAAGAATTAATGAAATGATCACCAACTTAAGAACTTCTTGATTGTCAAACTCATTCTCCTTGTGAGCAACGTAGGAAATGTACGGAGAACAGTATGGAGAATATGCACACTGATGTTGGGGTGTAAAGGCTTAATTCAAGACGAAACAAGAAAAGAAACGAAGACAAATCAAAGACAAAAATAAACAAGCTCAATAAAAAAAAATGGAGATAGTTACACAATTCGCAAAAATAATATTTTTAAATCGGTGTGAGTGTGGGGAATATTAGTAAGGAACCCACACTGTCGCTTTTCTCTTCGAGTCCCACCGGGGGTGGATTACCTTTTATTTTTCCCTGGTAGTAAGTGTTTAGAATTTCGAGTTAGCCAATTTTTCCAACTTTTTTGGGCAAAAATTTCTTTCCTTGACTCACCGAGTGGAATTTTAGAGGGGAAATTTTGAGCGCATACTCATGGTCTTCTTGCTCCGATGACTTTGACTTTCCACGCATTACCTTATAAAATATTATTCTCCGCTGGGATTGGTTGGTTTCCAACAGCTGTGAGTGGTGTATGTCAATTATTTGTCCCTTAGCGGGCCGATCAAAGCAATATTGCAAAGAATTGACCACGATGCTATTAACACTGGTTTTTGTCTCTTTCTTCGTACTTCCCCTATGAATGGTCAATTTAGCTGACCATATTTCACAGAACGGCCCGCTGAATTCCAAATTTTGTGTAAATTGAAATTCTATCCCTCCATTTAGACCCATTCTTTTCCGTTCGGATTTAAGGCCCGCGCGCTTCGAACCTGGGCCATAAATTCGAGTAGACAATAAAATTCGGTCCGTAACTTACAGTACTCGGTTGATAAGAAGTAAAAATAGCGGTTTGATCAAGATATAGGAAGTTCAGTACTAACCTATTTCTATTTTTTCTTTGTTTAGAGGAGGATCCTGCATGCCTTATCGAGGAAAAGTTTGCCAAGTGTCATTCAACTCGACCCTCCCAACTTACCGCAACAGTGACCGTTTCTTTGACAACAAATTCGGCTTGCCAGCCACCGAAGAATTTCTTACTAGGGGTGTAGAAATAATCAACACGCTTGTGAAGGACGACGAAAAGTGCAGATACATCTTAATAAATATGCTTTGTCATTATACTGTGCCTCCATGTTACTCGGATGGCACAGACATAAAGTACTGTAGGGAAGACTGTGCGGCCATTTTCAAGGAATGTAACGCCCCCCTGAATCAAGTGATTGGTGCCGTGACGTTGCATGTTGCTGTGGGAAAGATTGATTTTATACATACAAGTCTACCGAACTGTTCCAGGCACCATAAGGAAGGATATTTTGAAAACAAACCAGGAAAGATCTGTATCAAGACAGGCTTTTTTAGTAAGTGAACATTTATTAAGTAATAAGAAACTTTTGGTGTGACATCAAATTCTCTTTGTGTTGCACAAGGAAATATATAGCAATTTGGTAGAATCTCGCAGTCTCATGAATTCCCTACGGCTTTTCCAGCGCCCACTATCATGCGTAACTAAAAATCTATATCGGTTTATTGCCGTAATAATCCATTGATAGCGGTGTTTTAGAGAGCAAAAGAAAATATTTCGTGAAAGTCAAGCAGAAGCAAAGTGGTTCTTAAGATTTAGAATATTGTTCAGCCATGGCAAGTGGTTATTACATATTTTCCATAACTGTAGAAATTCTCGCAAGCTCATTGGTCGAGAATTATTGTAAATAAGGTTATACGCGATAAAAATGACGTGGCATGTAACGCAACGCTCGGCAATCCTCGCCATGTCGGAGAAAACACTTATCTCGTAGAAGTAATTGAAATTTTCTGAGATATTGACAGTAAGAAACTTCCGGATTTTAAGATCGATATACTTAGAAAAATGTCTGAAGAAGAACTTGTCGAGATGGAAGAAAAAACGGGGGAAAATCTTCAGAGTTCTGTTCGCAAAGTTGATAGATGGCCAACCTCGTAGAAATACTTGCTGATACCATGGCAAACGGCTATTCAGGGCTACAGAGTCTACTACCATCCATTTCATACTGGTATTGCATTGTACAAGTTATTACGTAACTCAAGCTAAACAAACAACAAAGCAAGAGTCGATCATGTCACGCGCGCCTAATTTTTCGAAAACTTTGGCGTATTCAGCTGGCACAAAAATTTCAGTGTTATTGTAAAAAACAAATTGATCACAATTTTCCATTGTCTATAACCTTGTTAGTCATAGAAATGACGTCAACAATACTCAAAACTGTGCAGTGAAACAACTCGATTGCCCTTCGTGGTTTCACTCTAGTTTTGAACATTGTTGAATTCTTTTCTATGATCAATAGGGTTGTAGACAAAGGAAAATTGTGGTCAATTTGTTAAGCTGAATCTATAGCCTGTGAGCAAGGCCTCGTTAATAGGGCTGCCGCCCGTGGAAAGATTTGAAAAAAGCTAGGGACCTGGCACTAATAAAAAGCCTTATTATCAGTGCCAGACCCCTGGCAGACCTCTCGCCTCAGGGCCTTATACTTTCCCGCGGGGCCTGCTCGCACTGAATCTTCAGAAATTAAATTGCAGTTTTTTCGCTTTTATGAAATACCATCATTGATGTTTCAGCTTTGTGTGATTTTTCCGGAGTAATATATAGTGGTATTTTAACCATGCAGAGAGGGTAGAGTCTGGTAGTTATTTAAAAATGTTTATAGTAAGTCATTTTGATTTTCTCAGAGCAAGTACTTTTAAACTAATATTCAACCATAGAAGTTAACCCCCCCCCTCCCAAAGGAGGAACGATAGGTACGAGAGAAAAGCGCCTTCTCGTACATCACGATGTTAATTTACAGATACAGATGTTAGTCTGCTATAGTAAAACTATTTCATTACAGGCAATTTTCGTTTCAACCGATCCAAGAAGTCGGCCTAATCTGTGTTTTTCTTCTCTTCAGATTATACAGAGACCACGATGGGTACAAACACTGAGAAACCAACCCCACAACCTGGTAGAAAACTGGAAATTATCCTTCCAATTGTCATAGTTTGCCTTTGCATTATTTTGCTATGTGTTATCGTGGTCATGATGTTAATTTACAGATACAGATGTTAGTCTGCTACAGTATAACGATTTCATTACAGACAATTTTCGTTTCAACCGATCCAATAAGTCGGCCTAATTTGCGTTTTTCTTCTCTTCAGATTACACAGAGACCACGATGGGTGCAAACACTGAGAAACCAACCCCACAACCTGGTAGAAAACTGGAAATTATCCTTCCAATTGTCATAGTTTGCCTTTGCATTATTTTGCTATGTGTTATCGTGGTCATGATGTTAATTTACAGATACAGATGTTAGTCTGCTACAGTACAACTATTTCATTACAGACAATTTTCGTTTCAACCGATCCAATAAGTCAGCCTAATCTGTGTTTTTCTTCTCTTCAGATTACACAGAGACCACGATGGGTGCAAATACTGAGAAACCAACCCCACAACCTGGTAGAAAACTGGAAATTATCCTTCCAATTGTCATAGTTTGCCTTTGCATTATTTTGCTATGTGTTATCGTGGTCGTTCTTCTTCGAAGACGTCAGAAAATGAGGGACGCTGTGGATAATGGGCATGCGCTATCCCACAAAGGTTTCATCACCATGAGGGACAGGTTACGAGCGGAGTCCCTGAAGAGCCTGGACTCGCGCTTGTTAGGACTTTATGACCCGAAAAAACTGAGGCAATACAATTTGGACCATGTACAGTACGTGAAAGATTTGGGAGAAGGTTTCTTTGGAAAAGTTTTTCAAGGTACTCTCTACCTAATTAAAATTCTACAAGTTTATTTCATCCTTTGACTCTGTGTAACTCTTTGCGCATGTCTTCCACATACAATTTGCGATGACTTTGTTTGCCTCAGGAGTAAATAAGATAGTTTTGTCAGCCAGGAGTAAATGAAAAAAAAAAGCCAAATTATCTTTCAATAGGAAACTACAGTGAAGTTTAGAGTGAGATAGCGAACGGCAGTACACGCAATTACTTCTAATTACCCTCTTCTTAAGAACTGGAATCAATTCATTAGTTATTTTTAGCTCATTGAATGTGTAACGAGAGTGAGGAGCTGGAGGTGAGAATGAGGCGTATATCCCCAGTCCCCTCAAGTTTTTTCCTCAAAATTTTTTAAGAGTATTGTACCTTAACAACGCAATTTCATAATGAATGTTCACTCGCATATCAGTTTTATTCCTTGAATATTTGGTGGAGACGAATTGATAGGTTGTGGAGATATTACTGGGGACGTGAGGTATGGCCCTGTACTTAAGGAGGTGGGGACAGGATATGTCACAGAACATTGAAATACTCAAATCGAAGATGTAGTATGACTCAATATGCTGATTAGGATCACATCTGGTTTTCAAATCATGACATCAAGACAGCAGAAAGAGAGGTCTTGTAAAGCACAAAAGATTTTTAAGGTACAACAACCAAAAACAAAACAAAATAAAAGCAACGAGGAATAGTTTTGTTTCGAAGAAAAACACGATGAAGTAAAAATTAACAGAATGGAGATAAAGGACAAAACAAAAAGTAAACAAAGGGAAAAAATGGAAGATAGTCATACAATTCGCAAGAACAATTTTTTGAGAACGATGTGAGAAGATAGGAAGGGTTTAATCTCACTTTGTGCAAAACTCTTCAATAGAAACCATACTCGTGATTCTGCCTCGAAATGAATCTTAGCATCCCGTAATGGTCAAGTTACGCAAAATGAGCAAATAAAACTATCTCAATTGCCCAAAGGGAAGAAATAATATTATTGCATAAAGAAGCATTTCTGTTTTTTTACAATTCATTGCCACATGTTAACAGGAACATTAAATCAACCTGATGTTTACGTCACGGCAATCAACAACTGTTGTAGAAAATCAAAGCAGCGAGGATTATTTTTGTTTCGAATAAAAACACGATGAAATAGCTTTAATAAAATGAAGCCCCCGTGGCGCAATGGACTAGCGTGTTGGACTTCTAATTCAAAGGTTGTGGGTTCGAGTCCCACCGGGGGTGGTTTTTTTTCCTTTGGCATAATATATGACTGTTATTTTTTACTTGGATGTTTCCAATCAACTCGAAATGAATATAATCACAAATTTAGGAATTGTTCATTTCATCACCTTTACTTAACTCTTTAGAGGCAAATTCCTTTCCTAACTTAGGCATATAGAGATTCATGTCGGCTCTCCATTTACATTTTAGGTCGCGCTTCGGGTCTGAATGATAAACAACCCAAAAAGGTTATTCCTGTGGCGGTGAAGGCGTTGAAGGACGAAGCGTCCAAGGAACAGAAAGAAGAGTTTTACCGAGAAGTAACTCTGATGTCCATTCTTACACACCCAAATATTGTTCAGCTTCTAGCTGTGTCAACCGAGGAGGAACCCTATGGAATGCTGTTTGAGTTCATGAGTGGCGGGGATTTGAATCAATATTTGAGGAATGCACTACCAGCGGAAACATCGCTTGAATCCAGCGAGAAAGGGAAAGGTAGGCTTTGCCATTGACCCAGTCGAGGGAATGGAGCAAGCTTACCTTGTCTTGCGTAGAGGTGTTGCTGTTTAAGAATGCAAATGTACCACATATCTAACGCGATATATATGATTTAACGCGAACTTCAAAAGCTCGGTAATTTGCCTTTTAGTTTTTTTGCTGCGTTCACGTTGCGCTAAATTAATGAGACAATACATTTGTGATTATCGCCAGCGAGCCACACATCAAAACTAGTTTTGCTCGGGTCTAGTGACTTCACTGCGATGGAAATCTTTGTCTATACCGGTATTAATTTCGAGATTCAGGCAATCGAATTTCTGGTTTTCGTACTAACTCTTATTGCCCGTGATATAATTGTAATCTAATAGGTGATCAAATTGCCTGGTATACTATTGATGCACACATAGTGGCAACAACTCAAAACCGGCAAGAAAAACTGAAGAACTTGCAAACGGTAGATCTTCAACTTAACTGTGCCTTCTTGTCTTCTTTTTCGTCAGTTTATCTCTCTCAAGAATCCCTTGTGTCTGCCGCAACCCAGATCGCTGCTGGCATGCATTATTTAGCCGAGATGAAATTTGTTCATAGGGACTTGGCGACAAGGAACTGTTTAGTCGGAGATGACTTCGTTGTGAAGATTGGAGATTTTGGAATGTCACGTGATATTTATACTACAGATTACTATAAGGTATGCTAAACAAACAAGTTTTCTTGTAGAGAAAGATGTTTTCTCATCTTGTCAAGAGCGTAGGACCAGCAAAAAATTCTGAGTTCTCATGACGAATCGAACCTCACACCTTCGAATCCCGCACTCCTATGCTCTACCACTGAGCCACAGACTCTATATTGAGCAAGGCACATTACGAAGTTTATATATGACATGGGTCCTGCATACTGCTAGGATCAGCAATGTCATTAGCGTCATATTTTATATATAGAATAAGAAAGCTGTTTAGATTTGAGCTCGTTAAAGAAATAGAGAGAGTTAAAGTTGTTAGACGGTTTCAGCTAAAGCGTTTACATCCGCGTCCAATCCAGATCGTGTGATGATTCATTCACGAGGATACCATTGTTTTCCCTTTATTTTTCTTTAACCAGAGGTGTTTGTCAAATTGCACATTTTAAGCATCCCAAAGGAATCAACGTAAAATTTATCCTTTGATCTGTACGAGTCACTAGCACCTGATTTATCCTTATAATATCACACATTGAGGTAACACATGGAGGTCAGGAGGACGAAGCAAATGATCACTTACTAAAGATGCTTTTTATCGTTAAAGAGATCATCCCTGTAGGCATCATGAAAATTTATGGAGAATAATTTGAAGAACATGTATGTCAGGGTGTAATAGGTTAAGATCTAAACTGGGTGGCAAAAGGACGTAAACACGTTTACCGAATACTTCTATTGTCGAAAATTTCAAGGGAATTATGAGCGAGGCCCTGCATTAGAGTCTGAAACTCAGTGTTAAAATGGTTACAAATACATACATTCATCTATTTCTATTTAATTTATTTTAAATACTGTAAAACAAGTTAAGAATGAGTTAATTACCATGGTTTAAATCTGCCGCTCGTATGATAATCGGAAATTTTGAAAACCCGCGTGTATTTTGAAGCTGTTTCCGCCATTGTTTCAAAGTGGCCTTATACGGTCATTGGTAATCATTTAACAAAGCCTGCTGTAATCTAAGTTGATCCACTTTTCTTGGTAAGTAAAGCCAAGCAGGGAACATGAACTAGTCCGAGCGAGGAAAAGAAACAACAGAAAAAATAAGGAGATATGTAGTTAACTTGGTGCAAGGATGGGAAACAACATAAAATGTGGCGTGTTGGAAGAAATTTAAACATGTTTAATTCTGAATGCATGGGAAATTGACGGAAATGTTTGTTAGAATTAGTCCAAACTCTTCGCCAAGTCTTTCAAAATATTTCATAAGTCTCATGTCTTAGATAGTTTTTTTATCTTTGCATACTTTCAGATGAGTAAAGAAACATTGTTGCCCATCCGCTGGTTGGCTCCTGAAGCTTTTCTGTACGGCAAGTTTAGTCTCCAGTCGGACGTATATGCATATGGTGTGGTACTCTGGGAGATTTTCACGTTTGGTCTTCAGCCGTATTATGGTTATACTAATAAAGAAGTGATGGAATTTATTCAAAAGGTATTGTACTCATCGGAAAAAAACCTTTCATTTCTATGAGAATTTACTGCATTCTTTTAAACAGATGTTTGTGAACCATGAGGTAGGGGCGTCCCGCTAGTTCCCTTTGGAGTGTAGAGGAATACCGTAAAGTTTTTTTCATTTGAAATTGTCACTTTTTTGGTGTTGCTGCTTCCGATCATCACTACACTATCCATCACTCTTGTAACTGACCCAACCATTCAACCAGCGGACTTACATTTACCTCTTTTATGAATCTTTGTCTATCTGTGAGTCTTTTTATCCGTCTATCTGTCCTGTCTGTCTATCTCACTCAGTCTGTCTTTCCATTCTGCAGGTCTATCTGTCCGTCTACGTGTCCGTCCGGTCGTTCATCTGTCTGTTAGTCGGCTTGTCTATCTGCCTTCCTATCCGTTTGTCAATCTGTTCGTGTGTTCGACCGTCCGTTTCCGTTTGTTCAGCTCGCTATCCACTAACTGATTAAGTTACTAACTTATTCCTTCAAACAGGGTATTCATTTAGGGAAACCAGACAACTGTCCGGACTTCGTATATGCTATAATGAAAGATTGTTGGAAAAAAGAACCAGAGAAGCGTTTGGAATTTACAGCTATAGGCATGCGTCTAAAAGACCCTTACCACGTTTATGACGTGCCTCCCGCTTCAGAATCTGAGGAAGAACTCGAACAAAGAGAGGAAGCAAAAGAAGGCGACGAGATCTTGTCATCAGGTATATTGCAATTCAAGTAATTGTACGGAAAAAGGAAAAAGAAAGCCGATCGCAAATTGACTCAAAATGCCTCTCTCCACAGAGGGTTCCATAGAATTGTTATAGCAACTCAACAAAATGCTTATAGTTATCACTGATGGAACAACAACTCATTCATCGTAAGTGGGGGAAGAGGACATTGCTGTCGCTGCAAAAACCGGATTTAAGCACTTGGAGTCATGAGCCATCTGTGTCTTTAAGTTATTTAACTATTATTGTAACATTCTTCTACCTTTAGTGGAAGTTGCGCCTCCTTAAATTACGCGCAAACAGATACACTTACGTTGTCGTTGTCCTAATTTCAGACACTGGAAGCTACGACATCACGCGTGCGATAACGCTAGAGTCAGATTACGACCTGCCGAGATCAAACGAAGATATTCGAATGAGCACTGCCGATAACGACGACGACAACGACGACGAGGACAAAGAAGCTCCGAAAGATGTTCCAGTTTGATTTGTTTACCACCACATAAGAACAATCTCGTCGTTCTACAACTATCAAATGGACCATAAATGAATTCACACTAGGCATGTAGACTACGTTGTTAGATTTTTTCACTAGTTGCTTTAGGAATTATAAAACTCGACGCAGTTTACCGTGACATCATTTTTGCAATATGTTGTATCTTGTATGTCATATCTACCCATATTTAGTGTTGTTTTCGTGACTGAAATTATGAGATTCCGTGGGGTCTTCTAGACCTCTCTTCAGCCGCATCTGCACCTGCAAAAATTGCCTTAACTGAACCAATACTTCGTTGAGAAATTTCTCTTGGCAATTTCTTGTCAAGGAGAAACTTTTCAAAGACACAATTTGTCAGTGTAGATAACTTGACGAGGAGAATGGAGAGGACTTCAGAGAAATTTAATCCTACTTCAATAAACTTGTTCAACGCTGGGGACAAGGGTATTTTTTTCCAGCTTGACAAGTGCATCGGAAAACAGAATTTGCTCGTTTTAATGCAGCTTTTCTCATGCTTGATGGATTTATCAGTCAGCAACACTCACGTGGTAATAAATAATTTCCAAAAAATATTTATAATCTTGCAAAATCAACAGACGTAAAAAATTCTACCTGTTTTAATCGACTTAAAATTCATCTCGAGGAATTGATTGCCTCTTAATTTCATATATTTACCTTGAAATTAAATTCAACTCCAGCCACCCTTAACAGTTTGTTTTTTATTTGATACCAAAATCTCGAATTACAGTGCAACAGAATCGTTTCTCTGTCAAAACATTCGCAAACTTTGTGAAGTTTTTCTTCTTTCTCTTATTAATTATAGTCGTTATGAATAGATGCTTCTGATGTTTCGTGTTGTTTGGACCTTAATACACTGTTAACTGCATACAGAAACGATGCGTTTCCCTGGCAGTTAAATCCTAGTAAGTGAGCTGACTTAGCATGGACCTGAGAAATACCTTGTTTTAACATTTAAATTACAAATTTTGGCCAAAAATATTGGACAAAAACCCCTCTTGACCACTATACAAATTGTAACAGTGTATTATCAGGCCTAAGGTAATATGATACACAAGTAAAACTTTAGATTTTGTTCTTCATAAAATTTTTGCACTAGGTTCGTGATCAAAATTCGATCCATGTAATCATTTAGTGCGGTCTTTTTTTTCATTTCTGTTATTTCGTATAACTTGATGAAGGTCAGAAAGGAAGCTAATAGATGGAGAATTTAAAGAAGGCATTTAAACACTTTGTATTCTCTATCAGGACGTAGTTGTAGAGACATGAAATCAAACTGACCAACGACTCCATTAATATACCTAAAAACGTTAGCGTATCACTGTTAGCTAAGTAATTCTTTTGGAATATTTTATTCAAACCTGCACAGTTGTCAAATCTTGTTCTGTGACAGTTGAAATATGAATTAGATCTCAAAAATAAGGCAAGTATAAAACATTTTTGTATGTTAGTATAGTAATTGTATTGTCAGAAGTATTGAATAGGAACATTATTTTAGGAAGTGCGATTGATTACCTTTTTTTTTCCGAAACGGGGCGAGTGGTAGCCACATTCACACTCGATCTCCAGCAGGTGTAGGCGGAATGTTCATACAGACGAACCCGCAGTGAGCACCGTATTAAGCGGTCACCCTGTCGGTTATTAAAGTCCCAATATTTTCTCCCCTAAATTACTGTAAGTTTCACCTCTATAAGGCTATCGTCGTCACCCCTTACTGAGTCCTAAAGGCCTGTTTATATTGCCTTCCCCCTGAATTGAACAGTCAGTTAAAGTGGAACACTGGAAAAAAAAAACTAAGTCAAGTTTATTCCATATTTATCTTCTAAATCAATGTCAGCCCTTTGCGTTCAAATATCTTTAACGCATTGTGCATTATCTTTCTTCTAAGGACCGTTAAGACGAAATGTCGCCGGGTTTAGATCGCGTTTGGCCCCTATTCTTTGGAACCTGTATGTGGTCATCCCAGTGGAAGTGGTCAGCCCACCATGCCCCGTGGGTGATCACTTAATCCTTTACACCTTAACATCAGTATATATTTTCTCCGTATTGTTCTCTGTGTATTTCCTAAGGTGCTGACAAAGAGAATTTGTCTAACAATCAAGAGCTTCTTTAGTTGGTGATCATGCCCTTAATTCTCATGACCTGGATATTTGTTTTAGGGGTGATAGTAACAGAAGAAAATATTTACAAATCACTCGTGGGGTTTAAAGCGTTAATACAGGTTGGACTGTATGTAAAGAGACTTCGAGAACGGCGTGGTGGCATGAACAGTGTGTTCATTATATGCATATTCAACGGGAAAGCGAAATACTGACCTTGCCCCATTCACAGCCGTTACAGTGATCATTTCTGAAAATATCATTATTAACAAATTCAGTTTCGCTGGAAAGTGGAAAAGAAGTGAGACTAAAAAATTAATGTTTGAGACCTCGCCATAGCTGGAGATATTGTCGATCATGTTTCACATTTTATTTCCGTGTGTAGTCTTACTTTGTGTTCGATTCTTTGATAAGCTTGGGGTCGTTGACAGCAAACAAGGTAAGCTGTAACGTTACACATTAGTTTACTAGAAAATACTTCAAGTAAATGAACCTTTCGATAGCCAAGGGTTACCTGAAGTAATCTAAGTGATTTGATAGCGGCTAAATCGATACGCGTTGCAATTTAAAGAATGTCAGTTTTTCAGTCACATGGGAATCCTCCGTTTAAACTGAATATTTATACATTACGTGCCTATTACTGACAGATCTAGTCAAGTCTCTCTAAAAAGGTCGCCTCAAAGGCAAAGGGGAATAGGCGACTGTAGAGGAGTGGATTGTCGGCTTATGTGGGCGGCTCAGCGAATTTTGTTACAACGTTCGTCAGTCAGTGACTTGCATGTTCTGGCCATTGTAGAGAGGTTATGAATGAAGTGAGGTATCACGTTAACGGAAAAAAAATGAGCTGTGATTTGACTCACTTTTCGTATAATTCTTAGAAGTATGTGGTAGAAAAATAACCAAAAATATTTTTTTTCATAGTAAATTAAAAATATCATCACTAGCTTGCGAAACGACCAGATGCAGTTGGCAAAAAGTACCCTTTTTTCCTGCCGGTTCCTTTTTCCAGTAAACGTAATTTTAACTTCTCAGTTTTTGACATTAAGAACGTATTTTAGCGAATTTTTGCCGAAGTGGAGAGGTGTCTTTCCGATTAAAAGTCAATCTTGAACCAGACAAAACGAAGAAGCCCCATTTAAAATACCAGTGGTGGGTACATATTTTTTTTTTGCGGGTGGAAAGTACATTTTCAGCATTAAGTCCTGTTTCTTTTTACAGCAGCACCAAAAAACGTTTCTATCAACGGGTAGGTGAATATTTTAGGCCACTGTAGGCGAATTCGCGCGCCAAAAATATCGCGAGCATTTCCCGTTCTTGCTGCCACATACTGGAAATGTATAAGTGCATGTGTCATTCCATTTTGTTTTTAGGGACGATTCCGCCGCCACGGGTAGAGTGTAAAGATATCGCTCCGAATGAGAAAGTGGGGTGCCTAGTACCGGAAAATACAAACATGACCACGTGTCTTTTTCTTGGATGCTGCTGGAATAATACGAAAGCAGATTCTGCAAAGAAATGTTACACCAAAAGGTAAAAGAAAACAAAGTTACTTTTAGATAAGAAGAGACGGCAGACACGTTCCATAATCGAAGGTATGAAATTAGTAAATTTGTCCTGTTCCCTTTCAACTCTTTCATCTTTAACAAATAGCAACCTCTGATTTCTCCTAACAATATCACCTACTGAATCCCACATAAAGGTGATAAGAATTAAAGAAATGATCACCAACTTACGAAGTTCTTGATTGTCAAACTCATTCTCCTTGTGAGCAACGTAGGAAATATACAGAGAACAGTATGGAGAATATACACACTGATGTTGGGGTGTAAAGGCTTAATTCAAGACGAAACAAGAAAAGAAACGAAAACAAAACAAAGAAAACATAAACAAACTGAATAAAAAAAGATAGTTACACAATTCGCAAAAATAATTTTTTTTAAATCGGTGTGAGTGTGGGGAACATTAGTAAGGAACCCACACTGTCGCTTTTCTCTTCCAGATTTTTAATTTTTTTAGATCCTTTCGCATACACAAAAAATTATATCTCAGACTGACTCAAACGCTCCAATCAATTGTTCCTTTATCTTATGGACACGTCTTGATCAAACGTAAGCTGATTGGCTATGAAAATCTTTCAGACAAAAGATAAAAAAATTCATTCATTAGAGCAGACAGAACGTACGCTTGATTTCCGGCCAGATATTCCACAATCATTACAACTTTAGCTTAAATCAATACTAATTATCCTGTTTCCGACATGAAGAAGCAGGAAGAGTTTGGTCTCATTTTGTGCAAAACTGTTCAAAACCAACCACGCTTATGATTCTACTCCAAAATGAATCTTAGCACAGTTAATACACGATCTCGCAATTCAGTGTCAAGTTACGCAAAATTGGCAAGTGAAATTACATTTGAACTGCCCAAAGGGAAGAAGAAAAGTTATTGCACGTAGAGTCATATTGATGGTGAAGCATTTCTTTTTTAAAAAACATTTATTGCCACATGTTAACAGGTACATTAAATCCACCCAGATATTTACGTCGTATCGATGAACAACTGGTGTAGAAAATGAAAACAGTCAGGAATATTTTTGTTTCGAAGAAAAGCACGATGAAATGAGGATAGTAGAATGACAAAGTTTCATATCTGAAGCTCCCGTGGCGCAATGGACTAGCGTGTTGGACTTCTAATTCAAAGGTTGTGGGTTCGAGTCCCACCGGGGGTGGATTACTTTTTATTTTCCCTGAAAGTAAGTGTTATAACATATTTAGAATTTCGAGTTAGCCAATTTTTCCAACTTTTTTTGAGCCAAAATTTCTTTCCTTGACTCACCGAGTGGTATTTTAGAGGGGAAATCCTGCGACTTGTATACCAAAAATATGCTAAATAGTCTTGCGCGTGCTGGTTGGATACGTTGCCATTGGCCTGTTGATGGCCTCTGTTTAGACGACGAAATTCCATGTTCATGAAGGAATTTTGTTGTTCTCAAGATGTAGTGGCTGCGATGAAATCCTTTTGAGCGCATATTCATGGTCTTCTTACTCCGATGGCTTTGACTTTCCACGCATTACCTTATAAAGTATTATTCTCCGCTGGGATCAAAGCAATATTGCAAAGAACTGACTACGATGTTATTAACACTTGTTTCTGTATCTCTCTTTGTACTTCCCCTATGATTGGTCAATTTAGCTGACCATATTTCACAGAACGGCCCGCTGAATTCCAAATTTTGTGTAAATTGAAATTCTATCCCTCCATTTGGACCCATTCTTTTCCGGTCGGATTTAAGGCCCGCGCGCTTCGAACCTGGGCCATAAATTCTAGTAGACAAAAAAAATTTGGGTCCGTAACTTACAGTACTCAATTGATAAAAAGTAAAAATGGCGGTTTGATCAAGATATAGGAAGTTCAGTACTAACCTATTTCTATTTTTTCTTTGTTTAGAGGAGGATCCTGCATGCCTTATCGAGGAAAAGTTTGCCAAGTGTCATTCAACTCGACCCTCTCAACTTACCGCAACAGTAGACGTTTCTTTGACAACAAATTTGGCTTGCCAGCCACCGAAGAATTTCTTACTAGGGGTGTAGAAATAATCAACCAGCTTGTGAAGGACGACGAAAAGTGCAGATACATCTTAATAAATATGCTTTGTCATTATACTGTGCCTCCATGTTACTCAGATGACACAGACATGAAGTACTGTAGGGAGGACTGTGCGGCCATTTTCAAGGAATGTAGAACCCCCCTGAATCAAGTGATTGGTGCCGTGACGTTGCATGTGGCAGCGGAAAAGATTGATTTTATACATACAAGTCTACCGAACTGTTCCGGGCACCATAAGGAAGAACATTTTGAAGAAAAACCAGGAAAGATCTGTATCAAGACAGGCTTTTTTAGTAAGTGAACATTTATTAAGTAATAAGAAACTTTTGATGTGACATCAACTTCTCCGTGTGTTGCACAAGGAATATATATATATATATATATATATATAGCAATTTGGCAGAATCTCGCAGTCTCATGAATTCCCTAAGGCTTTTCCAGCGCCCACTATCATGCGTAACTAAAAATTTATATAATATAGTAATCCATTGATAGCGGTGTTTTTAGAGAGCAAAATAAAATATTTCGTGAAAGTCAAGCAGAAGCAAAGTAGTTCTTAAGATTTAGAATATTGTTCAGCCATGGCAAGTGGTTATAACATATTTTCCATAACTGTAGAAATTCTCGCAAGCTCATCGGTCGAGAATTATTGTAAATAAGGTTATACGCGATAAAAATGACGTGGCATGTAACGCAACGCTCGGCAATCCTCGCCATGTCGGAGAAAACACTTATCTCGTTAAAGTAATTGAAATTTTCTGAGATATTGACGGTAAGAAACTTCCGGATTTTAAGATCGATATACTAAGAAAAAAGTCTGAAGAAGAACTTGTCGAGAAGGAAGAAAAAGCGGGGGAAAATCTTCAGAGTTCTGTTCGCAAAGTTGATAGATGGACAACCTCATAGAAATACTTGCCGATACCGTAGCAAACGGCGCAAAATTTTTAAACTACGTGGGCAATAAAAAACCTATTCGGGGCTACAGAGTATATTGCCATCCATTTCTTACTGGTATTTCACTGTACAAGTTATTACATAACTCAAGTTAAAACAAACAACAAAGCAAGGATCGATCATGTCACGCGCGCGTAATTTTTCGAAAACTTTGGCAAAAAAATTTCAGTGTTATTGTAAAAAACAAATCGATTACAATTTTCTATTGTCTATAATCTTGTTAGTCATAGAAATGACGTCAACAATACTCAAAATTGTGCAGTGAAACCACTCGATTGCCCTTCGTGGTTTCACTCTAGTTTTGAACATTGTTGAATTCTTTTCTACGATCAATAGGGTTGTAGACAAAGGAAAATTGTGGTCAATTTGTTAAGCTGAATCTATAGCCTGTTAATAGGGCTGCCGCCCGTGGAAAGATTTGAGAAAGTTAAAGACCTGGCACTAATAAAAAGCCTTATTATCAGTGCCAGACCCCTGGCAGACCTCTCGCCTCAGGGCCTTATACTTTCCCGCGGTCGCGCTAAAAGTGAGGGCCTGCTCGCATTGAATCTTTAGAAATTAAATTGCAGTTTTTTCGCTTTTTTGAAATACCATCATTGATGTTTCAGCTTTGTGTGATTTTTCCGGAGTAATATATAGTGATATTTTAACCATGCAGAGAGAGCAGAGTCTGGCAGTTATTTTAAAATATTTACAGTAAGTCATTTTGATTGGCACAGAGCAAGTACTTGTAAACTAATATTCAACCATAGAAGTTAACCCCCCCCCCTTCCCAAAGGAGAAACGATAGGTACGGTAGAAAAACGCCTTCTCGTACATTAGATGTTAATTTGCAGATACAGATGTTAGTCTGCTACAGTACAACTATTTCATTGCAGACAATTTTCGTTTCAACCGATCCAATAAGTCGACCTAATCTGTGTTTTTCTTCTCCTCAGATTACACAGAGACCACGATGGCTGCAAACACTGAGAAACCAACCCCACAACCTGGTAGTAAACTGGGAATTATCCTTCCAATTGTCATAGTTGGCCTTTGTATTATTTTGTTATGTGTCATCGTGGTCGTTCTTCTTCGAAGACGTCAGAAAATGAGGGACGCTGTGGATAATGGGCATGCGCTATCCCACAAAGGTTCCATCACCATGAGGGACAGGTTACGAGCGGAGTCCCTGAAGAGCCTGGACTCGCGCTTGTTAGGACTTTATGACCCGAAAAAACTGAGGCAATACAATTTGGACCATGTACAGTACGTGAAAGATTTGGGAGAAGGTTTCTTTGGAAAAGTTTTTCAAGGTACTCTCTACCTAATTAAAAATTCTACAAGTTTATTTCATCCTTTGGCTCTGTGTAACTCTTTGCGCATGTCTTCCACATACCCTCTTTTTAAGAACTGGAATCAATTCATTAGTTATTTTTATCCCATTGAATGTGTAACGAGAGTGAGGAGCTGGAGATGAGAATGAGGCGTATATCCCCAGTCCCCTCAAGTTTTTTCCTCAAAATTTTTTAAGAGTATTGTACCTTAACAACGCAATTTCACAATGAATGTTCACTCGCGTATCAGTTTTATTCCTTGAATATTTGGTGGAGACAAATTGATAGGTTGTGGAGATATTACGGGGGACGTGAGGTATGGCCCTGAACTTAAGGAGGACAGGATATGTCACAGAACATTGAAATACTCAAATCGAAGATGTAGTATGACTCAATATGCCGATTAGGATCACATCTGGTTTTTCAAATCATAACATCAAGACAGCAGAAAGAGAGGTCTTGTAAAGCACAAAAGATGTTTAAGGTACAACAACCAAAAACAAAAACAAAAACAAAAACAAAGCAACGAGGAATAGTTTTGTTTCGAAGAAAAACACGATTAAGTAAAATTAACAGAATGAAGATAAAGGACAAAACAAAAAATAAACAAGGGAAAAAAAATGGAAGATAGTCACACAATTTCCCAAGAACAATTTTTTGAGAACGATGTGAGAAGATAGGAAGGGTTTAATCTCACTTTGTGCAAAACTCTTCGATAGAAACCATACTCGTGATTCTGCCTGGAAATGAATCTTAGCATCTCGCAATGGTCAAGTTTCGCAAATGATCAAATAAAACTATCTCAACTGCCCAAAGGGAAGAAATAATATCATTGCATGTAGAGTCGCATTGATAAAGAAGCATTTCTGTTTTTTTACAATTTATTGCCACATGTTAACAGGTACATTAAATCAACCTGATGTTTACGTCACGGCAATCAATAATTGTTGTAGAAAATCAAAGCATCGAGGATTATTTTTGTTTCGAAGAAAAACACGATGAAATAGCTTTAATAGAATGAAGGACATTGGTATCTTAAGCCCCCGTGGCGCAACGGACTAGCGTGTTGGACTTCTAATTCAAAGGTTGTGGGTTCGAGTCCCACCGGGGGTGGTTTTTTTTTTCCTTTGGCATAATATATGACTGTTATTTCTTAATTGGATGTTTCCAATCAACCCGAAATGAATATAATCACAAATTTAGGAATTGTTCATGTCATCTCATTAACTCTTTAGAGGCAAATTCCTTTGCTAACTTTGGCATATAGAGACTCGTGTCGACTCCCATTTACATTTTAGGTCACGCTTCGGGTCTGAATGATAAACAACCCAAAAAGGTTATTCCTGTGGCGGTGAAGGCGCTGAAGGACGAAGCGTCCAAGGAACAGAAAGAAGAGTTTTACCGAGAAGTAACTCTGATGTCCATTCTTACACACCCAAATATTGTTCAGCTTCTAGCTGTGTCAACCGAGGAGGAACCCTATGGAATGCTGTTTGAGTTCATGAGTGGCGGGGATTTGAAGCAATATTTGAGGAATGCACTACCAGCGGAAACATCGCTTGAATCCAGCGAGAAAGGGAAAGGTAGGTTTTGCCATTGACCCAGTCGAGGGAATGGAGCAAGCTTACCATGTCTTGCGTAGAGGTGTTGCTGTTTAAGAATGCAAATGTACCACAACTCTAACGCGATATATATGATTTAACGCCAACTTCAAACGCTCGGTAATTTGCGTTTTAGTAACTCGACATGCTGCGTTCACGTTGCGCTAAATTAATGGGACAATACATTTGTGATTTTCGCCAGCGAGCCACACATCAAAACTAGTTTTGCTCGGGTCTAGTGACTTCACTGCGATAGAAATCTTTGTCTATACCGGTATTAATTTCGAGATTTAGGCAATCGAATTTCCGGTTTTCGTACAAACTCTTATTGCCCGTGATATAATTGTAATCTAATAGGTGATCAAACTGCCTGGTATTCTTTTGATGCACACATAGTGGCAACAACTCAAAACCGGCAAGAAAAACTGAAGAACTTGCAAACGGTAGATCTTCAACTTAACTGTGCCTTCTTGTCTTCTTTTTCGTCAGTTTATCTCTCTCAAGAATCCCTTGTGTCTGCCGCAACCCAGATCGCTGCTGGCATGCATTATTTAGCCGAGATGAAATTTGTTCATAGGGACTTGGCGACAAGGAACTGTTTAGTTGGAGATGACTTCGTTGTGAAGATTGGAGATTTTGGAATGTCACGTGATATTTATACTACAGATTACTATAAGGTATGCTAAACAAACAAGTTTTCTTGTAGAGAAAGATGTTTTCTCATCTTGTCAAGAGCGTAGGACCAGCAAAAAATTCTGAGTTCTCATGACGAATTGAACCTCACACCTTCGAATCCCGCACTCCTATGCTCTACCACTGAGCCACAGAGACTCTATATTGAGCAAGGCACATTACGAAGTTTATATATGACATGGGTCCTGCATACTACTAGGATCAGCAATGTCATTAGCGTCATATTTTATATATAGAATAAGAAAGCTGTTTAGATTTGAGCTCGTTAAAGAAATAGAGAGAGTTAAAGTTGTTAGACGGTTTTAGCTAAAGCGTTTACATCCGCGTCCAATCCAGATCGTGTGATGATTCATTCACGAGGATACCATTGTTTTCCCTTTATTTTTCTTTAACCAGAGATGTTTGTCAAATTGCACATTTTAAGCATCCCAAAGGAATCAACGTAAAATTTATCCTTTGATCTGTACGAGTCACTAGCATCTGATTTATCCTTATAATATCACACATTGAGGTAACACATGGAGGTCAGGAGGACGAAGCAAATGATCACTTATTAAAGATGCTTTTTATCGTTAAAGAGATCATCCCTGTAGGCACCATACAAATTTATGGAGAACAATTTGAAGAACATGCATGTCAGGGTGTAATGGGTTAAGATCTAAACTGGGTGGCAAAAGGACGTAAACACGTTTACCGAATACTTCTATTGTCGAAAATTTCAAGGGAATTATGAGCGAGGCCCTGCATTAGAGTCTGAAACTCAGTGTTAAAATGTTTACAAAAAACATACATTCATCTATTTCTATTTAATTTATTTTAAATGCTGTAAAACAAGTTAAGAATGAGTTAATTACCATGGTTTAAATCTGCCGCTCGTATGATAATCGGAAATTTTGAAAACCCGCGTGTATTTTGAAGCTGTTTCCGCCATTGTTTCAAAGTGGCCTTATACGGTCATTGATTATCATTTAACAAAGCCTGCTGTAATCTAAGTTGATCCACTTTTCTTGGTAAGTAAAGCCAAGCAGGGAACATGAACTAGTCCGAGCGAGGAAAAGAAACAACAGAAAAAATAAGGAGATATGTAGTTAACTTGGTGCAAGGATGGGAAACAACATAAAATGTGGCGTGTTGGAAGAAATTTAAACATGTGATTCTGAATGCATGGGAAATTGACGGAAATGTTTGTTAGAATTAGTCCAAACTCTTCGCCAAGTCTTTCAAAATATTTCATAAGTCTCAAGTCTTAGACAGTTTTTTTATCTTTGCATACTTTCAGATGAGTAAAGAAACATTGTTGCCCATCCGCTGGTTGGCTCCTGAAGCTTTTCTGTACGGCAAGTTTAGTCTCCAGTCGGACGTATACGCATATGGTGTGGTACTCTGGGAGATTTTCACGTTTGGTTTTCAGCCGTATTATGGTTATACTAATAAAGAAGTGATGGAATTTATTCAAAAGGTATTGTACTCATCGGAAAAAAAACCTTTCATTTCTATGAGAATTTGCTGCATTTTTTTAAACAGATGTTTGTGAACCATGAGGTAGGGGCGTCCCGCTAGTTCCATGTAGGGGAATACCGTAAGGTTTTCTTTTCATTTGAAATTGTCACTTCTTTGGTGTTGCTGCTTCCGATCACCACTTCACTATCCATCACTCTTGTAACTGACCCAACCATTCAACCAGCGGACTTACATTTACCTCTTTTATGAATCTCTGTCTATCTGTAAGTCTTTTTATCCGTCTGTCTGTCCTGTCTGTCTATCTCACTCAGTCTGTCTTTCCATTCTGCAGGTCTATCTGTCCGTCTACGTGTCCGTCTGGCCATTCATCTGTCTGTTAGTCGGCTTGTCTATCTGCCTTCCTATCCGTTTGTCAATCTGTTCGTGTGTTCGACCGTCCGTTTCCGTTTGTTCAGCTCGCTATCCACTAACTGATTCAGTTACTAACTTGTTCCTTCGAACAGGGTATTCATTTAGGGAAACCAGACAACTGTCCGGACTTCGTATATGCTATAATGAAAGATTGTTGGAAAAAAGAACCAGAGAAGCGTTTGGAATTTACAGCTATAGGCATGCGTCTAAAAGACCCTTACCACGTCTATGACATGCCTCCCGCTTCAGAATCTGAGGAAGAACTCGAGCAAAGAGAGGAAGCAAAAGAAGGCGACGAGATCTTGTCATCAGGTATATTGCAATTCAAGTAATGGGGGGAGGAAAAGGACACTGCTGTCGCCGCAAAAACCGGATTTAAGCACTTGGAGTCATGAGCCATGTGTGCCTTTATTGAAACATTCTTCTACCTTTAGTGGAAGTTGCGCCTCCTTAAATTACGCGCAAACAGATACACTTACGTTATCGTTGTCCTAATTTCAGAAACTGGAAACTACGACATCCCCAGAAATTCTGCCTCAAGTGATTACGACATCCCGCGTGCGATAACGCTAGAGTCAGATTACGACGTGCCGAGATCAAACGAAGATATTCGAATGAGCACTGCCGATAACGACGACGACGACGACGACAACGACGACGAGGACAAAGAAGCTCCGAAAGATGTTCCAGTTTGATTTGTTTACCACCACATAAGAACAATCTCGTCGTTATACAACTATCAAATGGACCATACATGAATTCACACTAGGCATGTAAACTAAGTTGTTAGAATTTTTCACTAGTTGCTTTAGGAATTATAAAACTTGACGCAGTTTACCGTGACATCATTTTTGCAATATGTTGTATCTTGTATGTCATATCTACCCATATTTAGTGATGTTTTGGTGACTGAAATTATGAGATTCCGTGGGGCCTTTTCGACCTCTCTTCAGCCGCATCTGCACCTGCAAAAATTGCCTTTGCTGAACCATACTTCGTTGAGAAATTTCTCATGGCAATTTCTTGTCAAGGAGAATCTTTTCAAAGACGCAATTTGTCAGTGTAGATAACTTGACAAGGAAAATGGAGAGGACTTCAGAGAAATTTAATCTTACTTCAATAAGCTTGTTCAACGCTGAGGACAAGAGTATTTTTTTCCAGCTTGACAAGTGCATTGGCAAACAGAATTTGCTCGTTTTAATGCGGCTTTTCTCATGCTTGATGGATTTATCAGTCAGCAACGCTCACGTGGTAATAAATAATTTCCAAAAAAATATTTATAATCTTGCAAAATCAACAGACGTAAAAAATTCTACCTGTTTTGCCTTAATCGACTTAAAATTCATCTCGAGGAATTGATTGCCTCTTAATTTCATATATTTACCTTGAAATTAAATTCAACTCCGGCCACCCTTAACAGTTTGTTTTTTATTTGATATCAAAATCTCGAATTACAGTGCAACAGAATCGTTTGTCTGTCAAAACATTCGCAAACTTTGTGAAGTTTTTCTTCTTTCTCTTATTAATTAACGATGTATTATCAGGCCTAAGGTAATGTCATACACAAGTAAAATTTTAGATTTTGTTCTTTCATAAAATTTTTGCACTAGGTTCGTGATCAAAATTCGATCCATGTAATCGTTTAGTGCGGTCTTTTTTTAATTTCTGTTATTTCCTATAACTTGATGAAGATCAGAAAGGAAGCTAATAGATGGAGAATTTAAAGAAGGCATTAAAACACTTTATATTCTCTATCAGGACGTAGTTGTAGAGACATGAAATCAAACTGACCAACGACTCCATTAATATACCTAAAAACGTTAGCGTATCACTATTAACAAAGTAATTATTTTGGAATTTTTTATTCAAACCTACACAGTTGTCAAATCTTGTTCTGTGATAGTTGAAATATGAATTAGATCTCAAAAATAAGGCAAGTGTAAAACATTTTTGTATGTTAGTATAGTAATTGTATTGTCAGAAGTATTGAATAGGAACATTATTTTAGGAAGTGCGATTGATTACCTTTATTTTTTTTCCGAAACGGGGCGAGTGGTAGCCACACTCACATTAGATCTCCAGCAGGTGTAGGCGGAATGTACATACAGACGAACCTGCAGTGAGCACCGTATTAGGCGGTCACCCTGTCGGTTATTAAAGTCCCAATATTTTCTCCCCTAAATTACTGTAAGTTTCGCCTCTATAAGGCTATCGTCGTCACCCCTTACTGAGTCCCGAAGGCCTGTTTATATTGCCTTCCCCCTGAATTGAACAGTCAGTTAAAGTGGAAACACTGGGAAAAAAAAAAAAAAAAACCTAAGTCAAATTTATTCCATATTTATCTTCTAAAATCAATGTTAGCCCTTTGTGTTCAAATATCTTCAACGTATTGTGCATTATCTTTCTTCTAAGGACCGTTAAGACGAAATGTCACCGGGTTTAGATCGCGTTTGGCCCCTATTCTGTGGAACCTGTATTAAGTGGTTACCATGCCCCGTGGGCGATCACTTAATCCTTTACACCTTAAAATCAGTATATATTTTCTCCGTATTGTTCTCTGTGCATTTCCTAAGGTGCTGATAAGAGAATTTGTTTAACAATCAAGAGCTTCTTCAGTTGGTGATCATGCCCTTTATTCTCATGACCTGGATATTTGTTTTAGGGGTGATAGTAACAGAAGAAAACATTTACAAATCACTCGTGGTGTTTAAAGCGTTAATACGGGTTGGACTGTATATAAAGAGATTTTGAGAACGGCGTGGTGGCATCAACAGTGTGTTCATTATATGCATATTCAACGGAAAGCGAAATACTGACCTTGCCCGATTCACAGCCGCTACAGTGATCATTAATATGCGATTTCTGAAAACATCATTATTAACAAATTCAGTTTCGCTGGAAAGTGGAAAAGAAGTGAGACTGATAAATTAAAACTTTGTGACCTTTTCGCCATAGCTGGAGATATTGTCGATCATGTTTCACATTTTATTTCCGTGTGTAGTCTTACTTTGTGTTCGATTCTTTGATAAGCTTGAGGTCGTTGACAGCAAACAAGGTAAGCTGTAACGTTACACATTAGTTTACTAGAAAAATACTTCAAGTAAATGAACCTTTCGATAGCCAAGGGTTACCTGAAGTAATCTAAGTGATTTGATAGCAGCTAAATCGATACGCGTTGAAATTTAAAGATTGTCAGTTTGTCAGTCACATTGGAATCCTCCGTTTAAACTGAATATTTATAGTTTCGGCCAAGGTACGCGAATAACTCATGTGTTCCATTTACACACATCGCCTTATATTTTCAGAGAGAGAAAGATTTAAAGTTATTGACTTGGTTTCATTCTTTTGAAGTGGATCAGAACGAAACTTAGTTGGCTATCATAAGTATATACCCAGTATCTTAAAAAGTTACCATAAAGGAAATTTTTACTTTTGCTCTGATAAGTTCCGCTATCCATTCCAAGTGGAAGGAAAACTAATGCAAATGCCGATAGATATCGACCTTCGTTTTATATTTCAGCAGAAAAACCCTTATTGAACAGTTGAAAGTTATGAAATTTTGCCGATAAAAAATTCAGTATCTTCGCATCTGTGTGTGGGGGATAAATCAGTGAAACTAAGCCTCATAATTGGGCACGAGTCAAAAAGGTATTGATCGAATTAAGTTAATCTATGGTTTCGAGCTGGCTAATCATAAATGAGTTTCCTACCATTATTTTTATCCGAAGTGAAATGTGGCATAGAGGAATGTCTCGGTTGTATTCAAGCAAATTTGTTTTAGGATGTGGACGAACTCTGAAGTCAAGAATATTTCCAATGACTGTATTGTAGAAAAACAGGCCTAAACTAATTTTCAAATTGAAACTTTATTTGTTGTTTTAAACTTTTCAACCTCATTTATCGGAATATCTCAATCAAAACTTGGATACATTGCGACTTTCATTTTCTAAGCCTTCGGTGTTGTCTGCGAAAAACACGATAATGGCCGAGATAATTAGTCTTCCTTGGAGCAATTTTCAATTGAGTATCGATAGTGATCGATATTCCTTTGGTTTCACTTTTCTTCCATCTGTGATTGGTCCAGAAAACTTGCGCCACTCTCTCAAACAATAACATGCAAAGCTAGGACCAATTCGAGTCACGGTCGCCCGCGTTTTCCCGCGCTTAAGGCAGTTTGGTTGTTTTTACTTTGAGTTCGATTCTCATTGGCTCTTTAAAGTATTTCCTTTCACGTGATTGGCCATTGTATTTTATTTTTGTTTAAGTTTTTCGACGCTCTATCGAAATGCGCTCCAAACCGATGAGCCTTCTCTGTATTTCACCACTACAAATTTTCCCAATCATTGATTATTTAATCTTAGTTTCAAGGCGGCGCCTGTATGGAGATCCTATTGAGACTTTCGACGCTTGAAATCTAAATCCGTCTCCGATCACAACTGTTAGAGGCATACTTTTTAAAAGCTCTCTATGCCATTAAGAAATGTTCATTTTACATACATTAACGCAAACCTAATGCGTTTACTTCAGCTAAATAGTATTATCTATTATGTAGGATTGATACCTATGAGCATTTAAAATAGCTGGCAAAATTTTTCTTTATGCCGTAAAGGATATAGAAATATAGACTTCCTATAATGCAAAGGCTTCTCGTCAAACGCTTCGCAGGAGTAGCTGGGTACGAGTGTGATTCGTCTATCAAGATGCACATCGTAGCTTTTAGGAAAAAGTATTCGTAAAGGGGGAGAGGAAGGGGTAAGGAATGGCCTTAAAAAAGGGAGGTACCCTGGTAAATGACAAAAGACTGAGAGAAAAAAGGAGAAATAAGGATCACCCTGTAAGGGATCGTTGTGGAGAAGGAGAAAAATTGGTCAAACAACCAAAACAAGTTATAAAATAAACCCCTATTTTCTGCTTCATTATCGGATTAAAAAAAAAAGACTGTCGAGGAATGTGGTCAAGGCAACATTAAATTTGTCGATTGCTTTATTTCTTTTGTTCCAAGGAGCACCTCAGAGGCCTAGATGGAACTGTTCTGCAATCGCTACTAATGAGACAGTTGGATGTATGGTGCCAAAATATGTAAACTCTACCACGTGCATGTATCTTGGATGTTGCTGGAATGATACCCAGGCCGATGCTACAGACAAATGCTATACAAAGCGGTAAGTTCCATGCTTAATCATCGTCGTCACCATTATCACTCGCTTTCACTTCCATTTGAAGAAAATTCACTGCTCCTCTTGAGAAAGATCGAGTTCTGTATGAAAACCCGCACTGTATAGTCATTATGACTTTGCAAGGAGACCCTCAGACATTTCGCAGTAGAGTTTTTAGTGGGTCCAGCACCATTTTCAAATTTTTTTTTTTTATCTTCTCTGACCCTGTTTTTCACTATTGTTTTCTTGAAATGTAATTATCAGATTTGTTAATTTAGAATTAATTAAAAACTAGGAGGAAATGAACTCAGCTCAGCTTAGATAAATCAAACGTATATCGGGCCAGGAAAAGCACGTCGAGCAAATTGCAAATATTATGACGTTGCTGGATTATTAAAAAAATGGTTTATGATGGTATTATAGCAGCTGTAATGAAATCAAACTTTAATGGTTGGTGGGGTGGATGCACACAAGCAGCGCAAGTGCACTTTGTGTAACTTCTGAGCGTAAAGGTCGTCATTAGGAATGTTACATTCTCTTAATATACGTGTTCGTGATACACATAATATCTATTAGCTCACATAATCATAACCTGTCCCGAAGTAAACGGCGCGATAGAAGCAGAGGAGTGAAAAAAATGAGGGAGTGTTGAGTCGGGTCGCGTAATGAACGTGTTCCGTACGCGACCCGACCCGAACCTTTACCATTTTCGCTCCCGCGCTACCATCGTGCCGTTCACTAATTCGCTTAATTTTTACTAATTAAGCCCCGTGGAACAGTTCAACATAATCATCACTACTACAATTACGGGAGCAAATTTCCCGCCTTGTTGTGTGCACAAAGCAGCTATGTGCACAAAAATTTTTGTTTACCATCAAGTAGTTTTAATATTGGCTTTGTATTTCTGTTAGGGGAGGCGCCTGTTTTGAATACGAAGGAACAGTTTGTAACGACTCCTTTACAACACTACCCGAGTACAGGGACACCAAGCGTTTCTTTGACAACAGTTTTGGACTATCTGGGACCGAGCAGTTCCTTGCAAAAGTTATTGGCATCATCAATGACCTCGCTGGTGACAATGAAAAATGCAGGTACATTATGGTGAACATGCTGTGCCATTACACCGTACCGCCTTGTTACTCAGATGGCACGATACTCGACTTTTGTAAGGAAGACTGCCAAGAAATTTTTAACGAGTGCAGCGTAACCATAAATCAAGTGATTGGGGGAGTGAAGCTCTATGTGTATAATGAACATATTGACTTTATACATCGAGGAATTCCTAACTGCTCCAAGCATCATCCTCGGTCGTATTACGAGCGCTTACCTGGGAACAAGACTTGTATCAATTCTGGATTTTTCAGTGAGTGAAACTGCTTTAATTTTGAGAAAAGGAGCGGTGTCTTTAAGAGCAAATCTAATTTGAGTGACGAAAGTGATACTGGACTACTTTTTTTTCTTCACTTTGCTCTGAGATTGGTCCAAAATAACGCCACCGTTTAAACCAATCAGATGCAAAATAAAACCAATCCCAATTTGGTCACTCGCGTTTTCCTACGCTTCAAGCAGGTTTCAATTCGCATTGGTTTACAAACTCATTATATCAGAGAATCCTAAATCTCATTATCAGAACCATGATCATATTGGTCAGCACCACGAATCGTTAGGCTCTGCTCGTATTTGTCCATACGAATTTACGCAGGCACTCATATTCAATTTATTTCGGTGATTTTACCAGCCAATTTAGTATTATATTAGACTTGACAAGAGCATTTGGCAACCGTTCAATTGGACTAGAGTCAGGACTGCCGGGAACGAAATTACTTCTATGGAATATTCTAGCGCGCATGCGCAGGTTACGTATGGTAAATCTGTTTAAAATAGATTTATTATTAAAATTCGCAGAATTCGAAGAAAAACGAAAACTCAAGCCTAGTGTAGAAACGAAAGAGACGAACCAAGGCAGTGACGACGACAATCTTCGCATCTTTCTACCCACTGTCACAGTCAGTTTGCTCAGCATTGTGGTGTGCATTATTATATTTTTGCTTTGGCGAAGACACCGAGATGACATGCAGACATTGGTCGAGCCGCCGGCTTTTTCAATGAGAGATAAATTACGAGCAGAGTCCTTAAAAAGTTTTGATACATTGTTGTCGCGGTATTTTGATCCAAATAGATTAAGGCAGTACAGATTGGACCACGTACATTATGTAAAAGACCTGGGAGTAGGCTCTTTTGGCAAAGTTTTTCAAGGTAAGCTCACCTTTCTGTGCACGCTGCATCTACACCCTTTTGAGATTGTTTTTAACGTGGATATACCGCATATTATTTTTAACGTGGATATACCAGGCAGCTGCTAATCGTTCTTCACAAAATGTTTCGAGTAACACTTGAGTTCAAATTACTCTATTCTCCAAGGTCCATCTGCCTCCTGTTAGTGATTGACAAACTTTCTCGAGTTCCGGCGCGGCAACTACCCGCGTAGATTTTTACGCCGGCAAACCGATAGAAAGTGTGGTATATTGTTAAAGTTGGCTAGACAACTCCCGTCAGTGACTATGCACAGCTAGTGGCTGTTCACGTGAGCCAAATTGTCGTAAGCGACCAAGTCCAGCTGATATCGAAAACCTTTTTCGCTATTTACAGATGAGAACATACGAGATACTTCATTATATCAGTGTTTTCTAGGTCGTGCAGCTGGTCTTACAGGCGAAAAGCCCAAGAAGGAGATTCTAGTTGCTGTTAAAGCGTTGAAAGATGATCCATCTAAGGAACAGAAAGACGAGTTTTTCCGAGAAGTGACTCTAATGTCCATTCTCACACATCCAAACATTGTTCGACTCCTGGCTGTATCAACCGAAGAGGAACCTTATGGCATGATCTTTGAGTTCATGAGTAGTGGGGATTTGAACTATTATCTGAGGAATGCCTTTCCGGCTGCTGAAACCCCCCTGGAATCACAGGAACCAAATAAAGGTACTATCCGTTCATCCGTTTTTCCATCCATTTATCCTCCAATCCATCCATTTGTCTAACGATATGTGAAAATCCCCACTTAATACTACTAATAATTTCACTTTATTTTTCTCACCAGTCTACCTTGCCCACGAAGACCTTCTCCAAATCTCGACCCAGATCGCTGCTGGCATGCAGTATTTGGTCAAGATGAAGTTTATTCACAGAGACCTGGCAGCGAGAAACTGTCTGGTCGGGAATGACCTTGTGGTGAAGATTGGGGACTTTGGGATGTCGCGCGACATTCACACCTCAGATTATTACAAGGTACTCTTACAATACCAAACTGCAATGAATGACAATAAAGTAGGTACTTGTGTTGTTCAAGATTAATTAAAACACTTATGATATAGAAAACGAGATAATGATCAAGTCACCATGTTCTAGGCCACTTTACCGCCTTCTTTCCATCTACAAGAGACATGCTTGATTTTTTTTTCTTTTTTAAATTTTACGGAAGGGACCTTTCATTTCAGTTCTTTGATTTTCAGTTGAGCAAGGAAACTGCTTTGCCCATCCGCTGGCTTGCTCCTGAAGCATTAAATTACGGCAAATTTAGCTTCAAGTCAGACGTGTACGCATATGGCGTGCTACTTTGGGAGATTTTCACATTTGCTCTTCAACCGTATTACGGCTATAGCAACAAGGAAGTGATACACTTTATACAAAAGGTAATCACAAAATTCACCGCGAGATCTACTCGTTTGGTAGGGGTAGGTTTGGGTACTAAAACTACGATATAGGACTCAATTTTTTACATATTTAACCCTTTCTACTCTAACACCACAGGTGGCAAGTTCTCCATACTGTTTTCTATCCAATTGTTATGGGGCTTATAAGGAGAATTTGTCTAACAATCAAGAGCTTCTGTAGTTGAATTCAGGGGGGTGACGTTGGGAGAAATAAGATGCTTATCACTCTCAGGGGCCTGGGGCCAAAGGGTTAAACAGTAGCTCTCTCCTGACGAAAGAGTTTCGTAGTCTTTACATGCTTAGACTTTACCGCTTGTTGTCAGGAGAAGAGAAGAAAATCGTTTACAACAAGATCAGCTTTCGTCTCTATGGTCAGCCTTTTTGAGGGCCTTTTCACATAGATCAGTAACCCAGGTGTTCATGTTGTAGGCGGGACTAATTTACGGTCTTCTGTCCATATGGCAAACTTTAATTCTTTCATTTTACAAGTTGATTTTTAAGTCCAGTCCTTAGTCGTTAAGTAAAGCTACAGCTCAGTTACAGATTGAACAAGAAGCCAGCTTCAAAGTTTTAAACCTAGGTTATTGTGCTTGTCAACTGAGCCATACGTGTTACTCTAACACATCGCAAATTTTCCTAATGAAAGGAGAGGTTAGGCGAGAGTGCTGAATACCCCTGTGTCGGGTAAACAGTAATTAAAATTCACAAATTCAAATACGAACATTGACCTCGAGAAAAGGGGAAGGTAAAGTCAAATATTCTGGTTTCTTGACATAAACGCCTGTTGACCTCTGCGCCAAGTTGGAGATCTGGGCACCAACACGCGGTTCTTTCTTAGGGTACTCTTTGGGGACGATTGAGTCATTCCTAACAGCAAGCGGTTTCCTTCATTGCAGGGCATTCATCTGGGCCAGCCTCGTGACTGTCCAGACTTCGTGTACGCTATCATGAAAGATTGTTGGCATGAGGATCCCAAAAAGCGTTTAGAATTTTCTGAGATACAGACACGCTTGAGTGATCCATTTAACAGCAACTATGGAAGTTGTGCCGAGTCAAACAACCAGCTCCTGTCTGAAAACATGAGCGTCTCACTGTCTGGTAACAATCGTTTAACTTTTCTTTCCCCTCTATTTATCACAGAGAAGTAACACATCCTTGAAAAATGTCATGTGATCACATGTTGAAACAAAAGGAGTGTTTTAGATGGAAAATTAGCGAAATGAACAATTTTTCTTTCAAGAGCAGGGTCAGGGTATTCATAGCTTCGGCTCCAAACCCACTCAAAGTACTCTATAAACCCTCTGGGTTCTCCCCCCCCTCTCTCACCTCACTCCTAGAGCGTCAATGGCACTTTTCCTTACCATTTTCCACGCTTTGACGTTTGAAGTCCTCAAACCTGTTCGTAATCTTTTAGCCTGAAAAGTGCCACTTTCGAGAGGAACACCTCGATATACTCCTCTATTGAAAGTGCTCCAATAAATACGTCCCAGTGTTTTTTCCATGTACTTATTCATTGATTTTTTTTTGCGGGGTTCTCGCTTGATTTTAAAGACTCGTCCAGTTGTCCATTTCGTTAAGGCTCCGTGTTTTCTTAACGACATGACGGAAATAGGCAAACGCCTTAGTTCATATCCACTATTGCTATTTTCAGAAATTGTTTTGGAAACCTACGACGTTCCCAGAAGTCATACCAAAGGCGATCGCAAATTTTCACGAGTGTTCGAGTTCCATGAAAATTACGACGTGCCCCGATCGACGACGACGACGACTGAAGAAGTCAGAATGAGTGATACGGACGGAAGCCTTGAAATATAGATCGGTTTTGGGTGTTGAAATTTAAATTGCAATCGTCAGGATTGTTCACGCCCACTCTACCCCCACCATCCACCCCCCTCTCTCTATTATATTTCAATATTGTAGTCACGTTTCTCTAATTTACACTTCGCCGCGGATTTATCATTAAGCCTTAGACAGTGTTAAAGGGATTTTCGATGAAGTTTCGTACAATCAAAACTTAAGTCATCAGGACGGCCAATCTGAAGAAAGGAAAATACCTTAAGAGCCAATGAGCGCAGCCAAGCAAAACAGTGTAATCCTGGATTTTTTTCGGAACTCTTTTGAAAATTGCTTTAATAATCCTTGAACCGATCAGAGTTAGCTTAAACACTCAAAATTGATAACCTACTCACGAGGGAAAACATTGACTGAATTTCACACGCCGGTTCTCCATTTTCCTTCGAGTTTATCCGTGCCCCACCTTAAACAAGATAGAGGGTACAAATCGAATATGACCCACTGGATGCGAAATTGCACTTGCGAGAGGAAACTCAAATGCTTCGCGAAACCCTTCCCTAATCTAACAGAGTCAATTTTGACCAGTATGATTACGCATAAGTTCACACAACAAGTGCACAAATAACCTTTAATTACAATTCATATTAGAACTTATTAAATTTGGAAACAACAATCGTTTTTTGAGTGCCAACTGACAAAATCTTTTTTTAAGATTTACCTGAATAATCCCATACTAAACTTCTTCAAGAAAAACGTCAAAGTCCTAGTTCCTCAAGCTTGTGATACCCAAAACATAGCCATCCTCTTTCTTTCCTCCCACATTTGTTCTAATTGGCTACTGTAATGTGTTTTAGGAAAATGTATTCTACGTTTCCCACCTGAAAGGGGCAATTTTCTGATGACTTAACTCCTTCAGAAAGTATTTCTTTAATTTTTACGCTCGACGAACAATCTTGTTCAAATTTCGTGTTTTATAAAACTGGGTAACAAACAAAATTGAACGTTGCAACGCTAGCTTCTACCAAACAACACAGTAAATCCAAGTACCAGTATATAAATTATTATTATTTTTTCTTTGGAGGAAAGAACTTTGATTCTTTTCCAAAGTGTCTCGTTTCCCTTGTAAAACGAACACACGAAGACAAAATCCTACATTTCCTCTTGGCTGAATATTTTTCAATATAGGCAAATGACGTTTAGAAATGTTTCTCAATTTTCTGTTATTTAGTTTGATAATTTTTAAGAACGTGTAATCTGAGGAACCAAAGACGAAGTAACTCATTCATTGTTGCCGGAACTGATGCAATGAATTTAAAATTCTTAATAAAATTAATATACACTATCGTTAAAAATGGGCACCATTCTACTTCTGTTTAGAATGCCTAGTTTTTCGTTTAACATCAATAAAGCTGATGCAGTTAGATTCTTTTGTATTTCACGTAAGTTCTTCATCGTCCAATTCTGTGTCGTCCGTGTTTGGCTGTTTTGTGTCCTGTTTTGTTTCATTCTCGTCGTGGTTATCAGACCCGTCTTCATTTTCATCGTCATCATTATTCTCATCATCTTCATCATTCTTCTCAAAATCGTCATCATTCTCCGCGTTATCGTCGTCCTCCTCTTCCTCGTCGTCATCGTCATCACCTTCATCGTCGTCTTCGCTGACCTCTTGTCCAGCCTGTTTCGCTAGTTTCTGCGTAAATGGGAAACGACAAAGGTTTTTCACCCTTTAACACCTTATAGTGACAGCATCTAAATTCTCCTTACCATTCACCCCTGAATCACATATTAAGGTCACTAATACAAAGGAAATGAACACCGATTAAAGAAACTCTTGATTGCCAAACAAATTCTACTTGCAGCAACTTAGGAAATGTAAAGAGAACAGTGTGGAGAATATGCATACTGATGTCAGTGTGGAAAGGGTTAATACGAGGCCTTACAGCATCGGTAAGAGTTGACTTTACGAGGCCCTTTTTACAGATTTCCATACTTTTAACCCTGTTCCTCCCAAGAGGGAGAAAGATCAACTTTTCCTTACAATACCACTGCGCTACTAAAAGACAGGCAATGACGAAATATCAAGAATGGAATACCGTTTGATTCATCACCAAATTCTCAAACCTCAGTTGTTTAAAATAAATGCCTGAGAGTATGGAAAACTGACATTCAAATCTAAGAACGAAGGTGTCAAATGCAGTTACATTCATTCAAATAATGTCAAAGCCATTCAGGCAAAAAGGGAGAAAGAGCCTTTCCCTTCTTCGATATGTAACTCCGAACCACTCTCAGATTTGAAGATTCTCTAGTTCTGGGCATGAATCTACATCACATATAAAATTACCTTATATTTCATAATTTTGTTATCTTGTTCAGTTAGCATAACCAAAAGATCTTCGTGTTCCTTTTCCAGATCTGCCTTTTCCTCTTTCATTCTGCTCATTTCATTCTCCGTGGTGGCTAATTTTTCCTCTAACAGTCTTATTTTGTCGTGGCTTTCCGTTCTGGCCCTCTCCAGCTCAGCTTTCACTTCATCTGTGCTATTCGTTGGCGTATCGATCCCCTCTTCTCTCTAAACATAATTCAAATGACGAAAAACAATGCAACTTTCAATAGAGATTGCATCTCAATGGGTTTTCCTTTGACCACATCAAATTTTTCTGTTGGTCACAGAAAACACTTAAATGATGTCGGTTGTGTTGTTCATGAATTCGACTCACGATTAAAAAATTACTCGTAAGTCAGTGCAATTTTTCCCGTCTTTTTACTTACCATCACTTCCATTTCGTTTTCAAGTTCTGTGTTCAGATTTCTAAGCACGTCTAACTCCTCTTGCTGTGATATCACTTTTCGCTTCAGCTGCTCTAATTCTTCTAGTTGCTGACTTGTAAGGCTCAGAGGCGCCGATGGGAATTCTACAGTTTCTGAGCCCGCAGCTAGCTCAGCGGCTGCATGGGCCACGGCCAACGAGGCCTGACAGACTTCTAGGTCTTTCTCCTAAAATATGACAAATTGATATCAGCAACTAACGAAATTCTCAGCAAAGACCAACATTTCATTATACAGTGAATTGATTACAACGTACTCTGTGATTAGTGGTTGCCTATGAACTCTCGGAAATATCTAATAAGCTTAATTCTACACGTATTTGATTGGTTTTTTTACATGATCTATTAGAGGAAAGACTCATACATGACGTCATAATCCACAAATTTCACTTCTTTGTTATACAAAAAAATATATTCTATGTTGCTGTGGGTCTGTGTAGTACTAGATCACACATGTGGTTAACGTGTGGTAAGAACATCAGTGACATACTCAGCTGCGCCTAATGTGCCAGTCTTACGTTCTTAACCCTTTAACTCCCAGATCAAATTTGTAATTCTCCTTACCGTCAACCATACAATTCTTATAAAAGAATTTAGTATCGGATCAATTAATTTTCCCCAAATTGATATTTTTCTTTGTTCTCATCACTTATCTGGTTGATATTGTATTGATATTGTGAGGAGCAATTCTTTCTTGGTCACTCATGGGAGTTTAAGAGTTAACACAGTTTGACGTCATCTGTGATAAATTACGGAACAGACGCACATTAACACAGAACCTCTATATCAAAAGATTCAACATCGCGGACGGATTGTTTATTCCATCATAACGCACAGGTTAAAACTGATTTGACAGTTGTAAGTATTGAGAAAGCAAAGGCTTCGAACAAAGTTCAGCATGAAAGGAAGAGGAAAAACCTAGAGGAAACGTCTTCGTCGGATAAAGGAACACAGAAGTTGTATTTCACACAAGGATACGAGTATTTACCATTAAAAGAAACTATCAGAAAAGAGCTAGCAAGCAGAATTGACAGCTTGATCTTAAGGTTGCACTTACCAACTTTCCTATTTTTTCATCTTTCGTTTTGACATCCTCCTGTAGCGAGTCTCTACTTAGTTGAAGATCACTGACTTGATTTCTAAGATTTGTTAATTCCACATTTTCAGTGAAGAATGATTCAGTCACGCCCGAAGACTGGGGCTGAAAAGCTGCGCAATATAAACCAGAAAATATGGACATTATCTCCACGAATTGAAAAGAAAAAGAAACGAGAGAGTGGAAAAGTGAAAAGAGATTTCTTCTTACTCTGAGCCACAAGGAGTTGTTCACGAAGCTCCTGGATCTCCTGAGACTGTTGTTGAATCTGTGCTTGTGCCTGTCAGAGAGAAGACAGCGTTGACAACTTGCACCTTTATCAAGTAATTTCCCTCCCCATAAGCTTGCTCTAATGTACAAACAATGGGCTGGCATTTGTACTAACAAAAGAATTTGCTTCTCTTACAAACTCTTGATAGCTTGACCGTGAGTTAAAGAGTCACTCAAGATGCAACATATCCCTGTAAGCCATGCGGGTTGCCCGAAAAAAAAAAAACCACCCAAGGACTGAAGAAGTCGTGGCATTTCACCTGGTTGTAAGACGACTCCATGTCACCGTATCTTGATTTCAGTTTTCCGATTTCTTCATCCTGCAGATAAAAAAAAGCTTTTCAACCTACATAGGACTAGGATATACTTGCATACATAAGAAGGGCACGCACTGGACAACTACTACAACTATAAAAAGATAATATAGAAAAAATATTTCAGTGAGTTCAGTGTTCAAGAGCACATCACAGTGACCCTAGCTGGGGCTGGAATCTGGATTTCTTTATTTGGCGACCAAGGCGCTAAGAGGCTATTTTACAGTTGTGAACTTAGAAGCCAAGCCTTTGATTTGGAGTGAGGCTGAAGGTGACCTTGTCGTGAGAGAGATCAGTATCTAGTTAGCATGATAAAAAGGTAATTTACATTTGAAAAACAGCAACGCTTGTATCTTAACAAGGTCACCCTTAGCCTAACTCCTGTTCAAAGGCTTTGCAACCAAGCACGTAAGTTGAAAATGGACTATTACTAAGTCACCAACTCTCCGACCCTCCAACACACAGAGAACGTTGAACTATCCGGACTGATTGAGGGTCACGTGACACTCACCTGTTCTCTAATAAGTTCTTTGTACGATGATATGATTGAGTCATGGTTCTCCATTCCCTGTGATGGTTTCCCGTTCACGTGGTTCGCTAGTTGCTGGTGTGAAGGTTCCTCTTCGATAGCTTTGGTCACAGCAGCTTTAAGGGAAAAAGGAGCAAAGGCTTAAATCAACATCATCGTAGCAAAAAAAAAAAGGTAAGATAAGAAATGATCAATATTAGTGAAGGAAAGACAAATTAGCCACAAGTTCTTGTGAAAAAGCCAGTGCAGTTAACTTTAGATGAGAATGTTCAAGTCTGCTTTTACTAATTTTTGCCAAAAACTTAACTTTGAGGCTTTGCTGAAAATACATCCTAAAAGTTTTAAGTTCATACCAGTCAGAGTTAATTGAGAAAAATTGGTTACCAAAGCCGGCGAAACAAAGGTGCTGCAGTGTATATTGGGAGCACCCTGAACGTGCACAATACACTCATCTCTCGTATGACAGTGACTGAAATGCTATAGGACTTTGTGCACGGTTACGTCCATAAAACTTGCGGAAACATATGGTAGAAAAATCTGTCTAATTTCTGGCCAAATCTCAAAGTAAATAAAAACCTTTTCTACATGTAGGTGTTGTATATTATACAATTATTATAGTCCGGAATAAAAGGATGGGGGATGGGGGATGGGGTAATTTTGGCGGGTGAGTGCTCAGTATTTTCGTGGCGAAAATTATAGCCGCCTTCTTTGATTTTAATGGCAGCGGAAGGCTAAGTTATTTGTACCAAGGGGGTGAGCGACAGTAAAAATAAGGATAGGGGTGGGGGAGTGAATTAATTCATAACCTGAATCAACTAACCTTCCAACTTCTTGAACAGCTTAGTAAATTCATGGTCAAATAACACGTGCTTCTCTGACTCGACTTTAATCTGTGGTAGACAAAATCATTCGGTCATTACCTCAATCAAGAGAGTAATCAACATTTCCCAAGATAACAAGATAATGAAACCTGTAAAGGATTCAATGGACAGTTTTGTACCTGTTGTCTAATATTGGCTTACCGATACGAAGCTTTCCTAATTTTACTTTCGTGGTTGTTTTTCTAGTTCTCTGACTCTTATCTATCCCAAAGTTACGTTTGGCTAAGATTCCCCGGGCAAACTATTACATCTAATTTATTTATGCATTTTTTTTTCCGTTTAATCTGCCGATTGGGTCGCATCGTGAGAGCTGGATTGAGAGTGATAGTGACGTTATTTACTGGCGAGTTAGGCGCCCCTCCGCCATTAGTAGGGTCAAAGTTTGAAAAGTAAGCTCGAGCATGTTTTTAAGGAAATCATGTCATTTTTTCTCTCACAGCTCTCCCGATGCCAACTGAAACATGCTCGCGTGATGAAGCACAGGTGCACAACAATAACAAAAACAAAATAAAAATAAATAGCGGAACAGAAAATAAAAGAAAGCAAAAAAAAAAAAATCACTGAACATAGCAGAGTCATCTTACCTCAGGAGATTTGACAGCAGCCGTGAAAAACTCAGACTTGGATATAAAACTAATTTTGTCCAAAAGGTTGTCACTCCCTATTCTCTTGATTATTAAGTTTCGAAGATCGTCCCTGTAGAAAAGGTATAGTCTACAATTACTGTGTGTCTAATATATTATACAACTGTCTCGTTGTGCGGCCCTTTTTCCCGATCTCTTTCGATAAATCGTGAGATACACTTCACTGCAGCAAGAAAAAACCTTTCACCCCCTCAGAGTGACTAGCACCAAGCCCCTCCTTACAGTATCTCCCCTAAAAAAACACATTAAGGTACCAATAATAAAGAAAATGATCGTCAGCTAAAAAAAAAACTCTTGATCTTGATTGTTAAACAAATTCTCCTTGTCCGCACCTTAGGAAATGTATAGAGAACAGTATGGAGAAGATGCATACTGATGTTAGGGTGAAAGAGTTAAGAGCGAGAGCTGACTTACTTCTGACATGTAGCTTCTGAATTGTCGTTGTTATCCAAACAAATGCCTAAAAGAAGAGCACAGAGAGCTCCAACCAGTCTGTCAGCTTCCTCGCCATGAGCCTCGACTTGAGCCATCAGCTTACAGCAGTTAAGGAGACTAGGAATAGCTTTGAGAAGAGAACGATGATAGGAAATTTACAGACTTACTGAGAAGTTTAATTTTTTCCCAAGATAAACTGTGGTCGCCATTTTCAAGAGGACTCTGTTCATTCGTAATGTAGACGCGAATAAAGAAAGGTAAGCCGACGACTGCACTTCCGACTATACCTCGCGTTCTCAAAATTTGAACCTTCCTTCTTCCTTTACCTTTTCAGTTCCAGCCTGTTACAAATAATACAACAGGCGGGGAGCGACTATCGCGAGTCACCGCTTCTGTCTTTTTTTGCGTATTCAATATGCACATATCTGCAAATTTGTGACACGCTTAACGTACCGTGTCATGATACGCGTGCCCGTGTCACCTTAGTACACGTTTCCTGTTGAGGATTACATATGAAGCTACTTTGAACAATTCCAGTTTCTACTTTCTCATTGACACAGCTCAGTAGCCAAAAGATACATATGGAATGTTGGCAGAATTATGAAGAAAATGAGACACGGCCAAGGAGCAATTGGATAACCACGAACACAGCAACAACAACAAACCAACACGTGTTTGTATCTCTCCACCCTGCGAAAAAATTCAAGTAATCGTAAACAAAAAATTTTAACAACTATATATAACCTCTAGGTAGCAATGCCTTATCTTACCACCACGGTCTTCTTAATGATACCTTAAATCCAGCTATAGGAACATTAGTTATGGTTACCTGTGAGAGCATGTTGGTACATTGTTGAAGCAAGGAAACTGGAGGATTTCCTAAAAATGATAAGGAATCTGTTAGAGCTTACACACTACCAAGACATTTTTACAAATGATTTTCAAAGTCATTTGTCAGGATCCATTCGCCACTTGTTATCCGCAAGTCAAGTAAAATACATTTCACATTTCATCTGTGGTCAAAGTCACTTGCAGGGAAAAACCAAACAGACAAACAAACGAACTAAACATCTGTCTCGCTATGAAAACGTGGCTTAGTGGGCATTACCCATATCTGGAAAGCACTGATTAACACCCCATCGAAGCCTGCTTTTCTCTCAGTCTATACTTTCTGCTCTTGCACTTTAAGAGAAAGGATCGATTCCTCATTCAACATACGAATCATCTGAGTCATACCAAAAACGAAGTTCTCCCAACTTAAACGCAAGAAGCCGTCCGAAATCGGTAAAGAGAATTAAATACTCACCCACACTGGTTGCCAGCTGTACTCTAAGAAGCTGTTCTTTTTGGGTGGGGTTACCCTTTAGACAGTGGGAAAGAGCTACTGCTGCGCACCAGTTGGACAGAGGGTCTGGACTGTACAGAAATAGTGAAAGTATGAAACGATATTAGTCAGTACGAGATTCTTTGGTTAAAATTATTTGGCTAAGTCTAGAAAGCGCTTCATTATAGGAAAAAAAAGGGCAGTCACGAAATTCACGCAGTTCAATCAATCCAACGCTAAGACTGGATTGGAAGCGTGATTGTGGATAACAATAAAGGCTAACGGGCGTAACTTCTATATGCCTGATATTCGGGCAACGTGCAGACTAGCGTTCCAAGTTTATGATACAACTTTGAAGCTCAAGGGCTTCAGGAAAACTGGTATAACTGAAGTTGACACGGACTATCGGTGGTATGCGTTGTAGAAGCACACATTTCGTTCAGCTTTTTGCAATACCTACCTGAATAAACCAGCACAAAGCAGCTGTCCTGCAGAAATGTTACTGGCTAGAAATGAAGCAAAAGTCAAAATAAGGTGTAGGTAAAGGCAAAATAAAGAAAGAAATTAAAAAGATGCCCATTAACCATAAACGGACAAACACATTAGCAATTAACCCTAACATCTTCAGAGGGGCAATCTTCCGAGACAAAGAGAAAAACCAGCAGCCACAAAAGCAAAGTCTCCTGCACTTTCTTGAGAATAATTGATAACACTTCTCGTTTCTGCTTTGTGGTCAAATTTGCAAGTACATTGCAACACTCAATCGAAACGCACCCCATTCTTAACTCCAATTCAAATAAACCATAAAAGCGATCAAGGAGGAAAGTAAGAATGATTCTGGTAAACATTTCGTAATATTTACCAGCTGCAGCTGAAGATGGCAGCAATGTTGTCACAATGTCATTCTGTCCCTGTTCATTCTTGTAAAGATAGCACTGTTCAGAAACAAAAAAAACCAACTTCATCAAAGTAAATAATAAATAAAATAAATAAATAAATAAGGGAACAAGTTGAGCCAGCAAGTGGAGGTGGCCTTGTCAAGTGGTTTAACGAGAATGGGATTCGAAATTTGAACATTCCATAAAATTATATTTGCCCACGTAACAAAACAATTTCTTTCCTTAACACATCGTCTGTTCAGTGCAGTACCTATAAGCATTTTTGCCTTCATTCATACAGCCTTCAATTAACTTGTTTTTTTTAATTTCATTTTAGTAGTTACTCCTACGGTCATCTTGTAAAGCACGTTTAACACAAGACTTAAATTGGAACTTACCTGAAAGCAGTACAAGACAGCACAGCGAAGGTTGAACGGCTGCTTGTCATTTATCATGGACATGAGAAGGACAACAATGGCAGGACTGGACAAAAAAAAACGTAAGCATGCAATGCGTACATAGTAATATTAACGAGAAAGTTGTAGAATTGTGCCAAAAAAAAAGAGAGATAAAGAAAAGACAAGGTACATTTCCAAAATGACAGTGTCTTACCTAGGAGGGTTTGAAGGAGCATTCACTTGAGAGAAATATTCTTGATTTGCTGGGAATCCTCTGATTACTTCTGATACAGTGTTGATAGTCTGATTGATTCAATGAAGGAATATTACAAAAAAATCGCATTAATAAACGGCCTCAACGTAACATTTCATAAGACAGTCTTATCTGACCACAAATGCAAATATGATATAAAATCTAAGCCAGACAAAGAAAGTGCCCAAAGCCATATTCCACTAGCCGCACAATTATTGCTGATCACTGGTTTAGCTTTCAGTGGCAAATTAAAGGTTACATTGATCATTACTCATGACTAAAATTTGTTGCCTATACAGTGTGCTACAGATTTCTAGCTTCTTGGAGGTATTCTATAAAACATAGGCTTATGAGTGCAACTGTAAATGTTTATAATACAGTGTACATCACTAAATACTTTACCTCAGTGAGGATGTCGGCAGGAATTCCAGTCGACATAAGTATACCACAAAGTAACCTCAACAATCCTAATGCAGACAAAAGAAATTAATAATTGGCACCCATGAGCTTATGTAAGGCTTAGTAACGTTAAGTCTGCTTAAATTTTCTCCCACAGCTGGTGGGAGAACATATCCTGATTTCCCAAGTTGCTATGCACTGTCACTTTCATCCCCTTCCCCATCACTTTGAAAAGAACTGTTATTGATTACAAGATAACCCTGAACAATCCACCAGGCTTCTTTACTGACTATTTTAATAGAGGAGTGGAGGAGAGTAGCAATATGAAAGTTAATAGGTAAAGACATACTTTACCATTCTAAGTAGATAATTGTGCAATAAAATTCAAATTAGTCAGGGTTGCTAACCAGTCTTTGAATTGACCTGGTTTTATCAGGAGCATTGAAATGATTAGAAAACTTACAACAAAACAGCTCAGACAATGAGACTGACAGTATGGATTTGAAGTAATCACAGAAGAATATTCTGGGGGCAATCCTTTTGTCATCATAGCTGTTTCTTGTCTATGCTACAAGACTCAATTATCCAGACAATATGCAATAGGTACTGACAGTACAACTAAGGTTATAACTGAGTATTTGTTCATCACTATTACAGTAACTATAAAGTAAATTTGCATCGTGCAAAACATTAACCAATTGATGGTCATTTCAAGCAGATAGTACTATGGCACTCACCACATTGGTTCATTATTTTTTGACAAGTGGCTGTGGCCTGTTGAGGATTGTCTGGAGAAACTAACACTCTGACAAGCTGAAAGAGGAAGAAAAATACAAGCCCTGATATCAATAATTAAATTATTAGAATTAAGTTGATTACTAGTTTGTATTTCAACTCTCCCTAGGAGGCTTGTCAACATACAGAAAAACATGCCAAAATACTCAGCCAAAATGTCTAATAAGATATATTCATTTTAGTAGCATGTTCTAATTCATTTGGTCAACTTAGACCACAAGGCTGATAAGCTAAACAACAGACAAAACTCTGTTTGATGCTGACTGAGAAATACAACTGTACTGAGTAACTTAAACACCACCTCCTGCTCTGCTAACAACTTTCTATACATAATGAAGTCTTTCCTTGTTTCACCTGCAACATAAGCTTGATATTTGACACTTTCTGTGTTGACCATGTACTGTCTTGATTTTCTGCAAGAAGATAAGGCATCATAAATACAGCCAGTTTGAAATTACATGACAATTCACTGAAACTGCTGCATAAATTAAAGAGCAATGCAAGGAGCTTTTTCTCCAAACATAACATAAATAAGGTAATATTATTTAGTGTTAACAACTGAGTTGAAAATGTAAAATTGGCCACATCAAAGAGTAAAAAAGCTGACGTCTTGAGCATTAGCCCTTTGTCTATCACTCTGATGAAGGACTAACTTTCGAAACGTCAGCTTTTTTACTCTTTATGGTGGCCAATTTACGTTTTCAACCCAGTTGTTAACACTAAATTACCTGCTATACTCTCCCCCCGACGCAGCACCACAGTTTCTTTAGAAACTTACCCCCTTTATTCATAAAATAAATAAGCTTGACTTGAGCAATTCTTAAACCACTGCTGTCTTTTACATGTTACTAAATTCTATTAACCCTTAAACTCCCAAGATGTGATTGTAAATTCTCCCTCTAGCTGCTACAGATTTTAAAATAAGCTATAAGTATTTAGTGTTACCTGATGATTTTGAGTATTCTCATTACCTGTTTGATGGATAATATATGGATATTACAGGGAGAAGCTACATGTTAATAACTTCTAGGGGTTTAAGGGTCATTCTTTATTTGTGAAAGATTTGGATGGCTCTTACAAGTAGAACTGTCATCGAAAAATGCCAAGGATTTTGTGTGCAAAAGAAAAAAAAATTGACCAATACAGAAGAAGAAGACTGACCAGGAGTGGCCGGTGAAGAAACTTGATCCAACTCAAAGAATGCAGTAAGTCTTTGAACATAACTGTTGGTAACAAAAACAATCGAAAAACATTGAAAAGTTAAAACAAATTCAATAAATGGCATATTCCTATATAGTTGTTGCTAAGAAAGATTTGAAAACAGACAAAAAGAATCACACAAAGGGTAACAAAAAACACATCACTTCAAACAAGCACAGACACATCCACTAAAAAAAGAATAAACTGCAGCGACAAATGAACCCTTTTAAACCCTAAGCACGACCAGCATCTAATTTCTCCTGGTAATAAAACTGCTGAGTAATACATTAAGATCATGAGAATGAAAGAAGTGACTCCCAACCTAAGAAACTGTGGTTGTTAAATGAATGGATTCTCCCTGTCAGTACCAAAGGAAAAGTATAAAGACAAATATGGAGAATATCAATACTGATATTTGGGTGTAAAATGTCAAAAGACTAAAACATAAAGGAAAATTAGACCTATCAACAACATCAACCACCACCAGAACAGCAACAACATCACAGTGAGTAACAATAAAGGGACAAAACAGACAATTTCAAAACAAACAAACAAAAAAAAAACTTAATCTCATACCTCCCTTCTCTGAAGAAGTTTTGGTTTGAAACATTCAATTTTAATAGATTTTGCATCAGTAGGAGACAGTCCTCTACTACAATTCCTGCAAGAGAGCAAATGAAAAATGAAGTATTTCAAGTAACTGAAATTTTTTGGAATTACCCTGGAACTTACAATGCAATATTAGCAATATTTTATTGACCTCTTCCCATTGGGGCTTTTCAGGGACAAACTGGATCCTTACCAGTATGTAATGAAAACCTTAGCTTACTGATCATGTATAATTTAGAACAATACACCCATAGTGATTTGTTGCAATTAAATTTTTTAAAAATATCAGAAGCTGAAAGAAAAGTTATCATGGCACAAGAAAAACTGTTGTCATTGTCTGGCAATATGTATGAGAACAAGAAAGATTTCAAATTTACATGTACATTGTATCACATTATGGTGAAAAAACAGCTCAGAGGTACTTGATAGTACAGATTAAGTAATCACAGAAGAATATTCTGGGGGCAATCATTGTGTCTTCATAGCTGTTTTACCACCCATAGATGCACATATGGTTTTAAAATGTCAATGGATTATTAAAGAGCATTGCACTCATACAATCTGTACAGAAAAATTTAAGTACTTGTGGTCTTTTCACACTGATAAGTCAGTGTCATTTCAGCAATCAAATTGAACACTTCTATGTTATAAAATATACCTTAGTTTGTATACGTATACATGTAAATGTTAAAAACAAAAAAAACAGAGCTGTTTCTGAAAATATTCACCCATTAACAACACTTTTTCCACATTAAAATTACTCTGTTTGTGACTGACCTATATGTATAATTATGTTCATGAAACTGCTACCACAGATAGAATTGTTGTTGAAACTTCTTGGAAGTAACCACTTCCCATACAATGCGATGGCACAAAAATTTTCTGCCATAGTTACATCTCCACTCACCTCCATCACTGTAACCTTCCTCTGTAATTATTTCAAGGAGTCTGTCAAATGCATTCTCAAAGGCAACAATTTTCTATTTGAAGGGGGACAAAAGAAAGAAAAAAAAAACATTATTATTGTTTGTAGATTGTAGATTGTACTTTATACATATATTGTGTATATGCAAAGATTGAAACAATTCACAGAACCGATGAAATCTGGCTCCAACCTGGATAGCAGCATTAGACTTGGTAAGCTGTATTAGCAACAAGAGACCCTGAAAAAAGCAATATACAATGCATTAGATGACAAATCTCCTAGCTACATGTACATACATTTTTGTATTCATTGATGCATGTGCATCTTGAACTACTTATTGGGTGCTTAACTATTAGTTTTTATCTTTCAATTAACAATTGGTTCATACGTCAGCATGCATTCATCAAGATATGAAGCAGGCGGGAAGTTTGGAAAGGTTTGGAAAGCACAAAAGATGCGTAAGAGTTGCTCGAGGCATAGCTGAGAACAACTCTAGCTTCTTGAGTGCTCTCTAAACTTCCCAAGTGGAAGAGGAAGGAAGATCTTTTTTTTGATAAAAAAGCAATCTACTACTGACGCAGATTTTTTCCATTACAGTTTGACACACAACTTACTCTTGAAATAGTTTATGTTATCAAAAAGACCCAGTTGGTCTCTTTCCTTGAGCACAGCTGTAAGTACCATAATGACCAATTAATACAATGCACATGTACAAATTATATTACAGACATATATTGTCTTATTCATCACCTTAGAAACAGCCTTACCTACTTGAAGCTGCAATCAACTTCATAAAAATTATAAAAACCTTATTCCTTATATGGGAATAAACATGAGCTGTACCTCATTTCTGATGATTTCTCTACTGTCTGACAGTAAGTCCATTAGTCTGGATACACCTTCAGAACAAAACAAAATAAAAACAAAGTTCCTCTCAATAGAAGACTTGATCAACAATTCAGAAGAGAAAAAGCATTTAAAACAAATGCAAACAATTTACTTCAGAGCTAGTGTATTTCCTTGAATAGAAGGTGGGCACTTATTAAAAGTCTTGGCTGGAATGAGGGGTGCTTGTTGCAAAGAGGGTGATTTGATTGAGGGAGCATTTGTAAAGTTGGTACAGAAATAAGACAAAAATTAAAGTACTGATAACATAATTATATAAAAGAAAAACAACCATATGGGGATAGAAAGAACTTGAACAAAAAAGAGACTTTTCTACTGTACTGGTTCAGCTGTAGCAGAAGCTGAAAAAGTTTTAATAGGGTGGCATTAGGAACATGTTTCCTTGTATCCCTACTAGTATATAAAATAGTGAAATAGGAGGGGGAAGGGAGTGACACTTTTTGAGAGGAACACTCATTTGGCATTATAGCCTAAGTCAGGGGGGGGTGCTTATTTGACTGTGTGTTCTTATTTGAGGAAATAAGTTATCATAAGAAGCCAGTGAGAACTCAAAATCAAAGTCTTAAAGCAAGTGCAAGAAAATGTGAGTCTCCAATGCCTCGACCTCAAGCACAAGAAAACATGAGTGAGCATGATGTAATTGCATCTGACTGGCCAGAATAAAACAAAAAGTAAAACCAATGGAGTCCTGGAATATGTTCAAGTTGCAATCATTCATGCACAATGTACAGTACACGAGTCTTCCATAGAACCACCCATAACATATAGACTTGTGGCTGACACAGGTACTGTTAGAGCCTAAATCAGCCACTGCTACAACAGCAGTGAAGACCTGACAGGAGCCCTGAACAAGCCCTTCATACAGTATATGGGTTGCAGCAGGCCTGATGATGGTCAGTCACACTGTCCAATTGATTCTTCAATGATAGAACTAAAAGGTTATGTTGTTAAGGGTGAAATGGCACATACAAGTGTTGTTCTTCAACTTACCCATGGGGCTTACTAGAATGCACTGCTGGAGTTGATGACTGAAAATTAAATCAAAATCAATCAAAATAAATTAATGATCTGTTAACAGTACCCCTCAAAAAAAGTTGACAATCTCAGCCCAAACTTGATTCTTGATCCTTGAAAATTTAGAGAATTCAGGATCACAAATCAAGGATTGAGTTTCTTAAAGAACTTTTCCAGGATCTCCATTTGCAGTTTTAAGATGCTTGAAATAAGTTTAGAGCATCTTGAAACTTGATTGAACATCTCAAACCTGGACTCAAGCCTCAATCCTCAGAGGAATGAATTGCATTGCATCGTCAAATTACATGCATCTTTGAGTTGTAATGTAAGCTATATGTACAACTTATTTTTTAAATTATTATTGTAATAACTGTTCATTAATCTGCTGCTAATCTGTAAAAATGCACCAAAATTATGAATATACTGTACATGTACAGTACTATGTGTACAAAAATGGAGTCAGTAATACAGGCTGTACAGTATTAATATGGGTGAAATTCAAGATAAGGTTGTCTTTAGTTTTTTACCTTTTGTTTGTCAGTAACACAGTACAGTGTACACACGTACAGTACTATGTGTACAAAATGGAGTCAGCAATACAGGCTGTACAGTATATGAGTGAAAATTCAAGATAAGGTTGTCTTTAGTTTTTTACCTTTTGTTTGTCAGTAACACAGTACAGTGTATACATGTACAGTACTATGTGTACAAAATGGAGTCAGTAATACAGGCTGTACAGTATATGGGTGAAATTTAAGATAAGGTTGTCTTTAGTTTTTTTACCTTTTGTTTGTCAGTAACACAGTAAGAAGTTTAACGGTTGGCCATCTAACTTGGAATTCATACTCCTGAAAATTAATGTACAGTTTGTTACTTCATGTTTCTACATGTAAGCCTGTAAAATGTAATCTCATCAGATAAGGTTAAGGGAGTGCTTAAAAGATTACATCATAACGTATCCTGGTTTGACCAACTTACAAAAAAGAAAGAACTGAACAAAATGGCTTGAAAACATCTTACTTATCTTCAGCATGACAATTTTATTGTGTAATCAGTATTAACAGCAGAAAATTTGGTTCCTGTTCTGTCTGTTCAAATCACTAGCACAATTTATATACCAACTGATATGTAATACAGGACGACACAACAAGACAAGGGAAACCAAAAAGCCATTTTTTTTTTCTAAGCTCAGTAGCAAATTGCTCATAAATTCAAACAACCCATTACTTGTTTTATACATGTATCTTATATCAACAAAATTAATATAGTAAGACATATAGGTATAAGATTAGAGAGGAAAAAAATGGCACAAAAATCACTGACTGCAAATTCAGCAACTACTTTAAACTTTCTTCTGTATACGGTATACAGTACCTCTAAAAGCCCAAGTAACAAAGTAACATTATCACTTTTCTTGATGAAAATTTCTGTAAACTGAACTCCTAATTCAACATCAGAAGCAGTTTGACTGGCATCTCGACCACCTTCATCTAGAAAAGAAAATAAGAAGGAGCTCAATTTTCTTTGGCAATAAATTGTTGAAGTATTTGTCAATTTACAAAATATTGATAACAGATGATTTAATTGCTAATACTATCAATGGTACATGTATGTTATTTATAAATCTAGAGTTACAGTTACTAATTGGTATTAACCGTTTAACTCCCATGAGTGACCAGAATTTCTCTTTACAATATCAATACAATATGAAGAAAATTGATGAGAATAAAATATAAATTATGGGGATTCTAAGTCGATCCAATATCAAATTCTTCACACCAACATCATGGGAATCGTATGGCAGATAGTAAGGAGAATCGTTAACAAGATATTATGAGTGAAAGGGTTCACACTCTAAAAAGTATTACAGTAGTTTAAATGAATTTTCCTTTCAACAGAAACTGGTCTAATTGGTATTTGCTCTTGTTCCTGACAAATTAAATTTGCTGTGATTCTTAGAGAAAGAACAACTACATGTAACAACCAAATCCAAATTTTAACCCAGAATATTCTTCATCCTAACCTTCAACTCCTAGAAGTGATTAATAAGTAACTTCTTATAATATCCATATATTATCCAGCAAAAAGGTAATGAGAATACTCAAACTTATCAGGTGGAAGTTGTTACCTTGATCTAAAACCAAATTCTTGTAACTAACTAACAAGGAAATGTGTAGCAGCTAGAGAGGAGAATTAACAATCAGATCTTGGGAGTCAGAGAGTTAAAATCTACACAATCTCACCTTGAGCTGGATCAGCGGAAAGCAGGTTGCACAAAGTTTGTAAGGCTAAACCTGTGATCTCTGTGTCATTCCTAAAATTTTAAGATCAAACAGAAGTCAAAATTGAAATTATAAAAAAAAGAAAGAGAAGACAAAAAACAGAGAGATTAAAAGTAAAATGGACAAAAAAAAAACACATGGACATGTATTACAGTTCAAATTTACTGTTAAAATGTTAATGTTTGTATCTGTTTATTTTTGCCAAAATATCCCCAAGGGTAAACTTATCAACACTAAACAAGGAAAAAGAGCAGATGCACTCAATGGTACAGATTGATAAGTCACCAAAGAAAATGCTAGGGGCAATCATTCTGTCATCATAGTTAGTATAAGTATAAGTATAATTTATTTACCGTCAGGTACACGGGGAGTGGTTGCCCAATCTCCCGAGCCGGAGGCTCATGATAAAAATGACTGACTATAAAATACATTTACTAAGTCTGAAATTCTTAAATCTAAATTATTAGTTATCACGTTAAACTATTTACAAATGTATATTTAAACAGAAGCTATGTATACGCAGAAGTGTCAAAAGATTATAGACAGCTTTTGCATTGGCAGCCAGTAAAAATAAGAGTTTTCAGTTTTCTTCTAAAAGACGATAAGTTAGGGGCGATTTTAACAGAAGGTGGTAGTTTGTTCCAGATGCGAGAGATGACAAATGAGTACAAATTGTGACGGAATTTGCTGTTGTACAGTGTAGGAATTTTGAGTTATGTTGAGGCCAGTATTTCTTAGGTTGTAGGGAGTGATTCGGGGTTCGAAGAGGTCGGCTTGTTCATCAGAATACTATGCCATGTAACCAAATACATGTACCTGGTCAAGAGATGAAGTCATTTGCAGTTCATTTAGTATGCAAAATATCTCTTCTTGTTATGCAAAGGTTTTAACCTTATCTCATTTTAGTTTTCGGCTGATTAAATTATATGTTTTGGTGACCATTATTTTCATCATTTTAGGTTTCTAAATGGGGATTTAAGAAAAATTTAGCTTAAAGCCCTGCACAGCCTACCTGTCTTTTTGTAAGACATTTATCAAGAGATCCATTGACTGTGTTCCAACTTCAAGGCGAAATTTCTGATAAAAAAAAAAAGAGAGATCTCGATCCTTACTACTGGACACAATCTCAGAGCTGAATGTGATTATCCTAACTGTAAAATTATCATACATCGAAAGCAGCCTTGAAAAGAGCATTCAGCTCATCAATCAGTGGAAAAACTTCCGTTTGTAATAATATACAATTGTACTTGTGAGCCCTAATCAGTTTGAATGTAATATTGGAAACTGTTAACTTCCTAACCAACAAGTTTGGAGTTTTGATAATTTTATAGGAATTGTGTGAGAAGAAGATTCAATGTACTAGTTGTTTGACAACTTAATTGATAAACAACTCCATCGTTGGATAACTTAACTGATATACTTAGATCCCAAATATTAAGCTGATGGCGACGTCTCATCCATTGCGTAAGCTAGAATTTTGATCACTTCTGTTTTAGACGTTGATTAGGCCGTCAATGAAAGAAATTCTATTGGACAACAATTTCCTTTCCTAATGCCCTCGACGGTTTTAAACTCCTCTTTCCGATCCCAGAACGGTATGTCATGGAACATTCATGTAAACTCCTTGCATTTTCACGGTTAAGATCGAACTTTTCTACGAGAATATTCTGGTGAGGCCTTTTAATTTTCATTAAAAATTTACCTTCGAGAGAGACTTGAGCGCCCGAACAGCATCCCGTCTGTCTTCCAGCAGCGTAGAAGAGGCTACGCGGTCACATAATCTTTCAACCTGGATCAAAATTGATAGTTAAAATAAACGTCTGAAACTGTCACACATTGTAGATTACAAAAATTTAGACAAATGCGCACCGTTTCTTGAGGAGAAGGTTGAGAACCACCCTGCTGATTGCCCAAAACTGACTTAAATCCGCGAGATAAGTACTCCATCTTTGTTTCTTGTCGTAAATTTATTCGTACGCATGCGCGCGACGTGGCATAAGTTGCTTGGTAACCGAGCAGGAACTGCAACAGCGCCGTTCAAATGCACAGCGGTATACTGCCAAAGAACAACTGCCTGCTGTTTTCTCGTGGCAAAACACGATTTGTCGCTTTGCTAACTTTCCATTTCGAGCTACTTATTTATTTATGCTTTGATAAATTTCGACTCATTTGATAACCGTTCACTTCTGTACAAAGCACGTTGCTCCCTTTGGTAAAGATAACTCGTGAATGAGATGACTTTACAAGTTGCTGCGGTGTTTGCCATCTTCGCTCTTCTGAGCGCGAAAGCGCACGGCCAGGATGGTGAACCAATGCGCTTTGAGACGCCAAAAATGAATGAAGAAGAACAGCACTCACCGCACACCCCGAAGTCGTTTGAGATGACGTGTGATGCTTGCACTGCGATTGCATTCCAGGTAACTGAAGGAGTCTTTGCTTTCCTCTTGAAATATACCTCCTCGACTGTGAAATATTAGTTTAACACTTTGCCGAGGATATTTTTTTTGTTGCCTTTGCCAGCGTAAAGTGGCGATACGCTAAGGTCATTAAGGGAGGCTGAACTGATATAATACCCGCTAATGTAATTTGTAGGCGATGAATAGTTACCTAACAAAAGTGTTACTCTACTGTTAGGGTTGCTGCACAGCTTCATGAACTTAAAAATACTTTACATACAGCACTTAATAATTTTTCTCTCAAAATTATCCTTGGTTTTAAATCTCTGCAACGCTTTTCTTTGCTGTTTAAATAGTTTGTAATGATGAAACAGCTAAATAGCCTACAGAAATATGATATCTTATGAAGTAGTGTATTTAGTGAGATGAAACAAAGACTGAATTACATACTAATGTTTATGGCATTTTTTCCAATTTTGTTACAGATGAGCAAAGCTTTACGTAAAGCAGAGGACAAGAAGCCATCACTGAAAGGAAAACCACTTCCAGAGTCAGATTACCTTGATGTGTTTGAGGCAGTTTGTGACAATTCTTGGGATGAGTAAGTCATTTGATCATTGAAACTAATTAGGTTATAAGTGCACCTGTTAAAAATAGGTAACTAAAGATGGGAAGCTGCATATGTTATTTAATATTGCATAAAAGTGGTCTGATCTAAGGGGCCAATTTCTGTTAGAGCTTATCCCCTTGGTATGAATTGATAAAAAGTGATGCTACTCCCCCTGAAATGGGATGCTTTTCCATTGTAAGTAAACCTCCAGAATTTTGTCAGGGCCCCCTAACACTCTGCCATAGCTGATCTTAACTACAATAAAACTTGTATTGAATGGCACTGTATGAAGCTGTCCCCTTGTATTAACCACTTGATTTTCATAGTACAGAATTTTGTCCCTTTAATTACTGTAATTTCCTCCTCTAATTACCAATTACCTCTTTTAAGCAGTCATGATCAGCCTTTACTGTGTCCCAGTGGCCTGTTTCTTTTGTTCTTCACCTGTATTGAACAGTCACTGAAAGTGGGACTGCTCAAGTGAAACTTAGAACAATCTTCAAGTAAAATTTATCCATATGTATCCCGCAAAATCAATGTTAGTGGTGTATTTTTGAGTAAGTCTCTGTACATTAAGTGGTCTCTTATGGTACAAAATTGTATTTTTAATCATTTTTTTTTTTTCATTATACCCCTTATCTGTGAAAAACCTGTCTAAGTGCTCACCCCCTATTCCCAGAGTGTGACCGCGTAAGACAGGTTCAACTGTATCGGGTGGAGAGATGGATTGTAAGAGTAAATTTATTTGCCAAAGATCTGGACAAAATTATCCGGCAGGGGTTCAAATGGAGGCCTCTTTATCTAAAGTCAAAAAGTTCTAACCATCATTTCAGCACCTCACCCAAACTTGCTTCAAGAAATAGTCATACCCACCCACCCCAAGGATGGACTTTAAAATTGCAAGGATCAGAGAGATTGTTAAGGCAATTAAATCTTTTAAGTTTAAGTTTGTATCTACTTGACCCTTTAACCTCCAAGAGTGATTAGTAACTATTTTCTCCTACAAGTAGCAACCCTAAATCAAACATTGAGGTCGTGAGAATAAAGGAAATGATCACCAACTAAATAACCTCTTGATTGTTGAACAAATTCTCTTTGTCAGCACCACAGGAAATGCATAGAGAACAGTTTGAAGAAAATATATACTGATGTTAGGGTGTAAAGGGTAAAAAGCATATCCAAGGTTAAACTGAGTTCATAATGACATTGTATCAGTTTACAAGTTTATTTCTTGTTTTAAATACAAGATAAGGTAAACACTGCTTGCAGTTTGTAGACAGAGGTGAGAAATGGTCTCAAGTGTGACAGAATATTAAACCTTACAGCTGCAATAAAAAGAGTGAAAAGTGTATTCAGTTATCTGAATGTGTATATATCCTATAGGCAATGTGGTAGTAATACTGGGTCAGAGTACAAAAGAAAAAGAAAACAAATATAATACATTCAGTAATAATCAATGTAACATGTTCAAATGAGTTTTTCCTCTTTTAACTTTCAGCTATGGGATAAAGACAGTTAAGGGTGTAAATCGTTTATCTGGCCCAGGTTTGGAAGCAAAAGATTTTCCTGGTATGATGCAAGGGGGAGGCAAATGGCCTGGCAGGTGAGGTTACCTTTAACCATTTTTACTGAAGGGTAATTGGCATCTAAATTCTCCTTACAGTATTACTACTAAATTAAGCATTATGATCATGAGAATAAAGGATATGATTGCCAAGCTGTTGATAGGTGAACAAATTTTCCAAGTCAACACCATAGATAATGTATTGAGGACAGTTAAATGCAGAATGTGGACACCCTTGTGAGCGTGCAAAGGGGTAACCACTAAGCTTCCAAAGGGTTTTAACATCTAACTTCTTCTCAAAATGTTAATGTTTTACTGAGCAAACATGTCCTAGAAAAACTGAAATTTATCAGCAAGAAAGTGCTTTCAGTTTGTGAAGGAGAAAGAATAAAGCAAAAAAGTGAGAAATACAGATCTCAGAGTTATGGGTACAGTTGCCTCTCTGATAGAAATACTTTAAAAGAAATACTGTACTAGTGCCCTGTGAAATGGCATTGTACTGGAATTGGAGGTTTTTTTTTTTATTTGCCTCTCTTTTTTGGAGATGTTGTAGTACTCTTAGCATAAACTACAGCTATGTGTCATTAATAACCTTCACGATAAAAAAAAATTCATAGAAGGGCACAATTATTTTATGATGAATTTCCCCCTTGCTCTCCTGGTTTCTTTTTCTTTTGATCTCCACACCACTTGTTCCTTTTATTTTTTTTTTTGGATGCAATATGCAGGAATATGTTTGTTTAAAGTACATTCTCTCTGCATGATTTCTGAGGTCAAATACAATTAAGTTTTTAATCTCATTTTCTAGACTTGCCCAGAAGTGTGGTGGTTTGGTTGGAGACATTGGAGAAGATGAAATTTACGCAGAATACAGGAAAACAAAGGACCTCTTCGACTATTTATGCAAAGAATATACAAAGGATTGTGTCAAAAACGAAAAACAAGAATTATGATATAAGTCATAGAACCTTACTACTATTGATAAAGTTAAGTTTGAAGCAATTCTGCTCATTTGGATATAATTAAAATTTCGAGAGATTTGTTACCAACATTGCAACTTTTAAAAAGAGCTGCAATTGTTTTAAGAGGTGTTTGCCAAAGGCTTTCAATCTTAGATTAGTCAGGGACTGATCAATTATTTACAACCAGTTCATGTCTACATTAATTTTCAGTTATTGGAATGTTAAGAGACATTTTTACATTGGCCTTTGTATTTTTTGCTGAAAACTCATTTGATTTATCAATACATTACTTTTTGAAGTTCTTGGTTAGAAAGTTCTTGCATTAACCTCTTGTTAAAAATGTACTTTTTCCTTATGGTGCAATAGAGAAGTTGGTAAGACTACTCGTACTTGTGCTTTTTGTAAATTGTGCATTTCAAGCACTTTTATAAGTCTTGCCTTTAAAATAAAAGTACTTTGAAATTAGTTACATAAAGGTACCTTGTTGAAGTTCACGTCTCGCTTTATTTGCTGGCATTTTGCCTTTAACATTATACAAAAATGTGGCTTCCATGCATGACTCTGCACTGAACCACTAACCCTTTGACCTTGAAGTGACTAGCATTCAATTTCTCCTTAAATTATTACCCTTGAATCAAACATTCAGGTCACAGCAATAAAGGAAATGAACAAAGAGGCTCTTGATTATTAAACAAATTCTCCTTATCAGCGCCTTAGGAAATGTATAGAGAACAGCATGGAGAATATGCATACCAATGCCGGTTTGGGTGTAAAGGTTTACCTGCAGGATTAAAGCCTTTGTCCTATCATTAGCAAGCTCTGGTTTCTTCACTGTATAACACGAGCTTACACAGTACTGAGGAAAAAGCTAAAAAACAACAACAACAAAAAAAAGCAATGCAAAATGCCCCAACAATCAAAGCTAAAAACCAATACAAACTAACTAACAAGTAAAGCAAATGATCCTTTATTGAAAAGGAATGCTCTTATGGAATATATTAATATTATTCTTCTCTCAGAAGTTGCCAGTTTGTTCTGAGAATCTGGTGTTTGATCAAATGGTAATCCCCAAGTTGATATTTTTCACCATACTCATCACATGTCTGCTTGATATTGAATGGACAAATTCTGTCTTGGTCACTCAAGGTTGTCCAAGGGTTTTTCTTGTGACTAGGTAAAAAAACAAAACAAACAAACAAAATGAGGAAAACGAAAGCAGATTCACTGTGCAATGTAACTGTCATAGAGACAGTTAAATCGTGATGGGGACTTTCTTTTTTTTTTTTTTTTTTTTTTTACATTGGCTGCCTTCTTCACAATCTTAATAAGCTGAAGAAAGTATAAAAGGTCGGTCACATACAGTACCACTCTAATGTGAGTTGTCCGTCCCTCGCAACTGGATCCTCGATTATCGAAAACTTCGAGGCTCGAGTCGAATATTTCGAGACGTTCGAGTTGAGTTGCGAGACGGGAAGACAAAATGATCTTCGCGCGATTAATTTTTTTTTATTCTCGATCATCCTCGATTCTCGAATGTTTCAAGCTTCGAGTCGAGACTGTCGACTTACTCTTGAACGGTGCCATACCTCAACTGGTAACTGCAGTACACCGTCGTCAACTCACGATCAGTGGCGTTTTACTGTAAAGTCACGTGCAATAACACAATAGGTCACGCATGTAGTCTAAGATCCTAGGTTTCGCTTCCTTTTCTTCTCGATCTTCCATGTGCCATCTATTTCCACTGAAGGATGCAATTGGCGACAGAAAATGTTCAGTAAGGGAAAATCCTTTATCAAATATTCCTTCAATGAAATTTTCCACTTTAACACCCAAGAATTTTGACCCTCCTATTATTGCTGATATATCAAAATACTGAAGATTAGTTGTGTTATGATAGTTAAACAAACGTTTGGCCTCGTTTCTAAAGGCTTTAATCTACAAAAACCTCGTGCTACATATACTTCACAAAATGGCGTCTTCACAGAACGAGTCCGCTGACATATGTGTTGACGGGCACTAAAAGGTATCGGTATCCCGGATTAACAATAACATCAACAATGTAAATTACGAGTACCGGTAAAGTTACTTAAATGAAGTTTCCAATTTGACTGTCACTACATTCACCCCTTCCTATAAATTGAGCCTATCTACAGAGCGGCGCTCTCGCTGTGATCTCCTCAATTCTGTGGGTTCTGGTTCTTTAGTTGGTTCTTGCGTCTTATCAACATGATGATCGTTGACGGGAGAAAACTCACTAGAAATATTGGGTTTAACGACTGGGAGCTGGATTGAAGAGGGTGGTTCTAGAAGTTCCACTTGACCACAAGGAGCAAGATTCTTGGTTGAAACTGTTGTTTCTCTGCCATTAGGATAACGAACGTGAGCGTAGTGAGTATTGGTCTGGAGAACCTCAGCTTTTTCAACCAGAGGATCAAACTTACTGTGTCGTACATGACGCTTTACATAAACAGGGCCAGGTTCAGCCAGCCAAGAGGGGATCGAACTACCTGTGGATGAACGGCGTGAAAAGTTCAGGAAACGTTCATGCGGAGTCTCATTCGTTGCGGTGCACAGAAGAGAACGGATCGAGTGCAACACATCTGGCAGGACCAATTGCCACTGTTCTGCCTGAAGCTTCTTTGACTTAAGAGACGTTGTAATCGCCTTCCATACAGTGCCATTGTACCTCTCAACTTGACCATTACATGTGGGGTTATAACTGGTTGTACGACTTGTAGATACACCTTTGCTAGAGAGGAATTCCCGTAACTCTTGACTCATAAACGAAGCCCCTCTGTCAGAATGCACGTAGGCAGGCATACCAAATAGAGAAAACAATGTGGTGAGACACTTTATAACGGTCGGAGTAGACACATCAGGGCAAGGGAAAACGAACGGGAACCGTGAAAACTCATCAACAACATTCAGGAAGTATTTGTTCTTGTCGTTGGAAGGAAGTGGCCCTTTAAAGTCAATGTTGATTCGTTCAAAGGGTTGGGTAGCTTTTATAAGTTGAACTGGGTCCGGGCGGTGGAATACCGGTTTACATTCACAACAGATTGGACAGGAGTTCACAGTCCTCCTAACATCTTCTAGAGAATAAGGCAAGTTCTTGACTCGAATAAAATGCCATAATCGGGTAATCCCAGGGTGACAGAGCGAATCATGGAGCTTGTAGAGAGCATCACTGACGCTAGAAGCACACGTGGCTCGTGAGAAGGTATCCGGTGCTACATTATCTCTGCCTGGTCGATACTCTATGTCAAAGCTATAGCAACTCAGTTCAATCCTCCAGCGCATTATCTTGTCATTCTTAATCTTTCCTTGATGACGCTGGTTGAACATGTAGGAAACTGACTTTTGGTCCGTTTTTAGAGTGAAGTGGGACCCGGTGAGAAAATGTCTCCAGTGTCTGACCGACTCAACTATTGCTTGAGCCTCCTTTTCTACAGCAGAGTGTTTCAGTTCACTACCTTGAAGGGTGCGGGAGAAAAAGGCTACAGGCCTGCCCTTCTGATTTAGGGTAGCGGCTAGCGCTACATCTGAGGCGTCTGTTTCCACCTCAAATGGAATACTCTCGTCTATGGCAGAGACAGCAGCTTTGGCAATGATCCTCTTTAAGTCTTCAAATGCTTTCTGTGCTTCAGAAGATAAAGGAAATGATCTACAGCTGGTTATGGGTTTAATTCTGTCGGCGAAACAAGGAACCCATTGAGAATAGTAAGAGAAAAGTCCCAGACATCTATTAAGAGCCTTTGAGCTTTGCGGCAGTGGGAGCTCCAGTAGAGGCCTTAATCTTTCGGGGTCTGGACTAATAGAACCATTTTCAATGACATATCCCAGTAATGGCAGTCGTTGAGCAGAGAAGACGCTTTTGCTGTCGTTGAATTTAAGATTCGCCTTTTGAGAAGCCTCCTGGAATAATATGAGGTTAGCATCATGGTCAGCTTGATCCTTTCCACATACAGTTATGTTGTCGATGTATGGAAACACAGCTTTCAAGTGGTTATCTTCAACAAATCTCATCATTTCTCTTTGGAAGCAGGCTACACCGTTGGTTACACCGAAAGGAAGCCTGGTAAACTGATAAAGCCCACCTTTAGCTTCAAACGCAGTGTAAGGCTTGTCATCTTCTCTTAAAGGTATTTGATGATACGCACTCTGGAGGTCAAGGGTACTGAACACTTTGTACTGAGCTATTTCGTTGATCGTATCACTGATCCTCGGCAGCGGGAAAGCATCTAGTTGGGTGAATCTATTGATTGTCTGGGAATAATCAATAGCTAGGCGTTTCTTGTGATTCTCATCCTTTGTGACAACTACTTGTGCTCGCCAAGGGGACCGGCTTGGCTCAATAATGCCTTCCTTGAGCAACCGTTCTACTTCATTGCCAATGAAGTTCAGGTCTTCTTTGCTGTAGCGCCTGGACTTTGTAGCAATAGGATGGCAGTCGGCAGTGAGGTTCGAAAATGGTGATGGCGGCTCTATGTTCAGAGTAGTGAGACTGCATACCGACAGCGGCGGTTTTGTTCCGCCATACTTGAATGTGACACTATCATGTTGAGACTGAAAATCGAGTCCTAAAATCAGATCAGAGCAAAGCCCTGGCATAACCAACAGGCGAAAGTCTTTATAAGTTTGACCTTGGTAGTTAATAGTAACAGAGCAAGAGCCCTCGGTCTTTGTACTTAACAAAGATGTTGCCATGGAGACTTGGCTGACCGAAGGGTTAACAGAGATAGTAGCTACTTCAACGAGGCTTGGATGTATGTAGCTTTCACTACTTCCGCTGTCAAAGAGTGCTTCTACACTCCAGACCTTGTTGACAACAACAGTAGCAGTTGATCCTTTAAGAGATTGGGGAATTCCTACGGTGGCAAGAGTAGGTGGCCAGAGAGCAGCTGAAACTTCGCTGGGTTTAGAGGCCTTGCTTCGGCAGACTTTCGCAAAATGTCCCTCTTTTGACATTTATTGCAAATTGCATCTCTGGCTGGACACTTGGAACGAGGGTGTTTAGGATTTCCACAGAAGAAGCACTTTGAATCAATTGCAGCGAGTGTGGAGTCTGACTGAGCAGAGTCGACTTGGATTGGATTCTGAGCGGTCATTTCTTGTGCTGAGGCTGCAACGCTGACAGGTTGAGGGGCAGAGTAACTCTCTGAACTGCGCAAGGCAGAGTCGAGCGCCCTGGCCTGGTCAAACATCGTTTTCAGATCTAGAGTTTTGTTTTCTAGTAGCCTTTGGCGTATTTGGTTAGAATGTAGCCCAGTAATGAAAGTATCCCGTATATATTCCTCACAATATTTGGCAGCGGTGACAGATTGAAAGTTGCAGTCTTTGGCGAGAGTTTTGAGCGCTTGAAGATATTCGTCTAGAGTTTCACCAACCTGTTGTCGTCTGGTAGCGAGCACGTGTCTGGCGTGGATTTCGTTCGTCGGCTTCACGAAAATATTTTGAAGAGTTTCGATTGCAGATTCGTAGTGGGCACATTCTTCTACATATTCGAATACCGCAGGCGAAATAAAATTTGTCAGGACTCCAAATTTATCGAGGCCTTCTTCCGTCAATACGGCGAGGAAATTTTCGAAGGTTCGACGCCAGTGAATCCACGATTTTGATGCTCCAGACGTGCTTGGATCGGCGCTGAATCTCTCGGGCCTGAGGACTTTATCCATTTGTTTTTTTTTTTTTTTTTTTTTTGTAGATTAAATTGTTATGATAGTTAAACAAACGTTTGGCCTCGTTTCTAAAGGCTTTAATCTACAAAAACCTCGTGCTACATATACTTCACAAAATGGCGTCTTCACAGAACGAGTCCGCTGACATATGTGTTGACGGGCACTAAAAGGTATCGGTATCCCGGATTAACAATAACATCAACAATGTAAATTACGAGTACCGGTAAAGTTACTTAAATGAAGTTTCCAATGTTTGACTGTCACTACAAGTTGCACAGCCAACTCGCCTCTGTACTTATTTACATGCATAAATTTTTTCCAATGTGGGACCGATTTTTGTTAAGGGGGAAGAAATTTCAGTGAAAACTGAAGAAGGGAAGCATTTTGCTCGCGTCAGTCGATCAATCCACATTTTGTTTCGCTGGTTGGTCGGAAAAATGGGGATTATGACAGAAGTTCGTCCAATTTCCGAATTAATTCTTGTTTTCCTTCGTTTATTCGGTATGGGAAACAGAGAATATTTTAAGAGAGGGAAAAAGGACAATGAAAAAAAAGAAAATGGAAAATGAAATGGCGCGACCCTGCCAGGACTCGAACCTGGAATCCCCTGATTCGTAGTCAGATGCCTTATCCATTGGGCCACAGGGCCGTCACACAGTGTTATGGGTAAAAATTTTCCTATTTATACTAATTAATGGGGCGGACACTGCCATTCATCTTTCTCAAGGAGACCACCATTTCTTTGGATCTCCTTTTTCTTTCAATATGAATCTTCATTACATCGTCGTTTAAACATCTGCAGGTACTAAATGCGAACAATTCACACCTTTTGTGATTCATTAGTTCTGAAATTGCCAGTATCAGACCTAGCAAATTTTTTCAGTTTTGCCACAAACTAGTATGACTTGTATCTATTTCTATCACTAGTAAAGCCTGTAAAACTGCCAAAGAACCGGCTAATTAATTAGGAGCCTGGCAGTCAACTGAAATTTAGTTGTGCTGAGGGACTGGGCTAACAAAAATAATATAAGGCTTACACCTGTTGTACCGCGTACCTAATCAATACACTGAATGTACAACTCTACAGGTTTTCTTGCGCAACAGTCTTTTTTATTTCGAAACTTCATTCAGTTAATTAAAATTTTCCTGCTTTGAAGGAAAAAAATGTGCGAAATTTTCCTTCTTTTTATTTTAGGGGCGAACGTTTCACGACCTTACGAGAAATCTTTTGCAGCCTAAATTTTCCCTTGCTTCGCTAAACCATAACAGAATGAAAGATGTTCAGAAGACGTGATTGGTGGGACGTTGCGCGAGAGGGGTTTTAGATACAAAACCACCAAATCATGCACGCAGTAGATAGGACTTTGAACAGATATAATTTTAATGAAGTTGCTTGTAGCTATAGTTCACATGCGTAGAATAAAATAAACCGCAAGTTTTTTATACGTCAAATATTTTCTAATTCAACGTACCTCGGTTTATAATATCCTAATGAGGTTTTCTGTAAAATAAAACAGTTAAAAATTCATGAGGAGGGTGATTCCACCTGTTGCTTTTGGCTATATGTCGATCTGTTTATTTAGTTAACATCGCTGTCTATTAAGGAACACAATAGCTCTTCTAAAAGCTTATCAAACGGAACGCTGAGCTAATCGAAGCGTCGAGTTTTGACAGATGAAAACGATGAATTGAGCTGGCGTGTGCCTGACGCCATTTAAGTGGCTGAAAGCTTCTTGGTATCCATGGTTAAAACAACTGACCGTTCGCTGCGAGTTACCATGGTATGAAGAGATATTTTGGCAATTCATTTGACTGACGCTAGCAACAACACTCTTCTCCAGAATCACCATCTAAATGCAAGAAAAGCATAGAAAATGTTCTTGGAACTTGCCATCTCCTGACGGTAATTGACTGACATCGAATCTACGCCCGTACTTTGCCTCTGACACCTGTTGAAATTAAGATGCAGGTTTACCAAGCGAAGAATTACTGAAATGGGAAACACGGTGGATTGCTTCAGCTGTTTTGATATCCCAGGTCTGGTAATAACCGTCAAAACTGGAGACACGAAAGGTGGTGGATTGCACAATACAGCTTATTTGACGATCATTGACGAAAAAGGAAATAGATCTCAAGAATTATGCCTGACAGGGTGTTGTGTTACGGTGTTCAAGAAAGGCCACACGGATACTTTTAAGATCTGCGAGCCAGTGAAAATCGGACGCTTTTGCAAAATCGAATTCGTCCGACGGGATACAACGGGTCGTAGAAATTATGTAGAATGGTTCATTGAAACGATTGAAATTCGACGCTATACCGCAGGAGACTACGAAGATTTTATATTTCCATGCCATCGATGGATAAAGAACAAACAACCCTTAATTTTAAGGATGTTTGATAGCACCTTACCTCAGTTTGATGTTGAGACTGAGCAAAGGGAAACGGAATTATTTTGGAAAAGAACTATGTATCGATATTACAGAAGACGACCTGGAATTCCGCCTCAGGTGAGACATGGGATACTACTAATCAAGTCTTCGTTAATTAACTCGCAAAATTCAATACTTGCAAGCCATGGCTTCATATACCCATTTAATGATAGGTCTCGGTGCGCGTCCCGGGAGAAAAAAAAAATTAGCTTGAGCTTAGTAAGTTTTCGAGGAAAGATTCCATGCAAATTGGAAAGCTTCAGAATGAGAAGTAATATGATCTTAATTGCACAAAGGCACTGTGATTACTTATTAGTCAAACCGAGTGCAAAATGTTTTAAAGAGAGAAATTTTCGAAGTCTGGTTGGCTGTTGCCTAAACTTGTTGGAAAGCTGCCATCTTTAAAAGGACGAACTCCTGCATAGAAAATGGCCATATGTAGGTACAATGTAATTAACCTAGGAACAGGAAAAAACGGAATTTCATAGGAGACTTTTCAAAATTATTAATTTTTTTCCAAGTTGTGCTGATCACAGATCACCAGCGATACATTTCAGCAAATATTTGACCGTTGGAAATCTTTCACGAGTTGACCTGTCATTCGGTGTTGATTTGCGTGCGTCTTTGCAATTGAGCTTCGCGTCTTTTTTTTTTTAAATCTTCCGCAATCAGGAGTTAACGCCATAAGCACGCCAGGAATTGAAAGGCATGCGTAGCATCATCTTCGCAAAAGAAGAGTTTTCCCCGTTGTTAAGGACTGAGGTTTACTTCAAGGCAGAAATTTTTTTTAAGAAAATTTAGTAATTTTAGAGCTAGGTCGGAAAAATCGATGGGGTTCAATTACCATGTTGGGTTGTTCGGAGATGTTGACGCAGTTTTTTTTAAAGAGCTATCACAGTTCAGGGCCAGTTTGTAATCATTTTCCGGAGTCGTAAGAAAAAACGAAATATCCTCTGCATATTGCAAAGGCTACCGCTTTATAGTGTCGTTAGTCTGTTTATTACTGAATTTATACCAACGTATACATGTTATACCATATACATACCAGAAGTACGCTAATGGTACTTTGTCTTTTGCCTTTTTCAGATAAGCTTCTGCCCGAAAGAAGAGGTTTTTAGCTGCAATCATCAGGTTAGTACCAGCTCGCAGTTACCACCGCAATATCACCTTTAGCGCAGCTAAGGTCGGTTTGTCGCTTAAAACTCAGAAAAAATGGTAACTTCTGAATTTGCATAAATTAGTTGTGCTAAAACAGTGGATAGATTTGAAGGCGCACCCTGATTGGCTACTTAAACTCCGAATATTCTTTGCTATTTCTCTCCGAGCAACGCGTGCGGGATTTGCGCCCTAAAATATTGTAATAGCTGCAGTAATCAATGAGTTAAAATCATCTTTTTTTCCGTGTTATATCACTTATTTTAATACGATAACAACTACTCACCTCAGTGTCGGTGGAGTCGCGGTGGATATTTACCTCGCTGCTTCGCAATTCGGTAAATATCCACCACTCACCGCCTCCACTTCGGTAAATTAATGTTTTTTAATTAGTATATACCACACAAGTGGATACTGCTTTTCGCACGCGCTGATTTGCTGGTTAGGAAGTGATAAGTAGGCACTATTTACTTCCGAGCAGACGGAGAAACAAAATCGCGCGTCATCAGTGAATAATTATTAAATAATCTACATTTTAAAACCATTCCCCAAGCCTGCGCATCTTTTTCTCAGACTAGTTTTGTGTATGTTTGGTCGCGTCATGCTAACTTTAAATAAAGTCAATCCGTACCAAAGATTTCATCTCCTCTCAGTGCTCAAATCAGTTCTCGGCCGAGGTCCACGATGAAGTTTCTTGTTGTTCTAGATGCAACTTCTGTTATTTTCGCGGTCCAACTAACTTCTCGTGAGTCTCTGAGGTCACAGTTTTGTCTGACTCACCTAGAAAACTAAATCAGAGATAAATGCAAAAGGTTTTTCTCGTATAGCGACGAGATCAATCAAACGAACAGTTTCTGAAAGTAAAGGTGGTAGTTTCTAAGAAACTGTGGTGCTGCGTTGGTGGGAGAGAACAACAAGGTAATTTGGTATTATCAACTGAGTTGATAACGTAATTTGGCCACTGTAAAGAGTTTGAAAGCTGACGTTTTGTGTGTTAGCCCCCAGTCTTCCGCTCTGACTAAGGGCTAAGGCTCGAAATGGCAGCTTTCAAACTCTGAACGGTGGCAAATTAACGTTATCAGGGTAAGTTGAAAACGTAAATTGGCCACCGGAAAAGGTTTAAAAGGCTGAGGTTTCGAGCGTTAGCCCTTTGTCTAAGCCGCTATCCACCCATTTGTGAGAGTAACTACAGGTGACTCCGTGGCACAATGGTAGCGCGTCTGACTCCAGATCAGAAGGCTGCGTGTTCGAGTCACGTCGGGGTCATGGTTTCAGATTTTTCTTTTTTAGAAATCACTTCTGAAGTCGATGTGCTGTTGCCAGACGAGAACGCAGATCAATGTCAGTATCTGAGCATCTATACACCTACCATTCCCCTAACCCAGCATTAACCCTAACCTTTTTTTTTCAGTTTACTGTTTTCGGGTCAGGGGAGTGATCGGTGCAGTTGCTCAGATATTGACATTGATCCGAGAATGGTATTTATGACAGACAATGCATCATAGACGACATAAATGTCTTTGTTGCTTGTAAAGAATACTTGTCTATATATCAGGACAGATAAACTATAGGAGAACAGGCAGAAAAGGCTAGCCTTTTGAAACGGAGTATCACTTTGGTAATTAAGTATTACTTCATTGGAAAATATGGCAGCCTCATTCCCGGCATGCACCTGAAACTTGCCCTGAGGCTTAAAACGAGGCTGAACGCCAAACCAAGGCCTGTTAACAATTATCCGAATTCTCATTCTAAATTTGCTTTATTCAACTTCAAAAGAGTTTACAACTAACGTCATTTAATGATGATTTGCAGCCTTTGCGTTTATCCGGTTCCAATGAGCACGCGCAGATTTCTATTGCCTTCAGGAAGTCGCGCGATTATCACAAACATACGAGGAGTTTTATTCTGTTAAGCAAGTGACATTTTTAAAAAGCAGAAAAGACAGCACTGACATTAATAACTTAGATGTCAATTCCAACCACGATACTTACTCAAATTTTAATCGATCGACTTAAAGAATTAAATCCGCATCTCTCAACGCCCCTCCCCCCCCAAAAAAACCAAAACAAAAACAAAACAAAAAACAAATGAGCAAATTTGGCGTTGAAACTCATCATTCTAGAGTACGTTTCGAGGAGATGAATAGCTCTTTGGAACACACAGGTTTTAAGTCTTTGTCCCAGAATTCATACGCTAAAGACTGATTAGCATTTTATGTGTTTCAACTAGGGAGAGAGGAAACTTATACCCCATTCACACCAGCAAAACATGTTTTGTTAAACTGGTTTTCATTTAATGAAAATTATAAACAGAGAACTGAAAAACTTGATTTTCCATTGGATTCAAGTACTTGCTAACTTGTATTTCCAATGTGCTACATTCAAGTCAAAAATATTCGGTTAAATAGTTTCTATGAAGAAAAAAAAATTAAACTGTGTTTAACAAAACAACTTTTAAACATGTTTAAGCTTTGGTGTGAATGGGGCATTAGTTGATTAAGAAAATTAGTTGATAAAAATACTCCACCCCCGGTGGGACTCGAACCCACAACCTTTGAATTAGAAGTCCAACACGCTAGTCCATTGCGCCACGGGGGCTTCACATACTACCTAGTGATTAATTTAAATCTTGTTTCACCTAATTCCTTTTTTTTTCACTCAGTTTGCCTCTTATTTAGCCTTGACCAAAACATTACCTAGTTCCCTTTCAATATCTTCACGGTTTATGCATCGTAAACGGAAAACATTTACTGGTTGAAATACCTGTTCTATGATGCTTCGATCTCAAACGTAGTGTTCCATGCTAAAAAAATGGCATTCCACAGTGTCTTACGAGAAGCTTTTATCAGTACTTTAACTAAACACTGAGATCACTTTAAAACGACAGATGTCGATATCGATTGTGAATCTGCCTGATCCTCTTTATTTCTCTTTTTCGGGGTCCTCAAAAACGATCTCAAGAACATCATAACAAATGGCAATTTACACCAATCTAATTTCCTCTTCATTTTCAGTGGGATATCATTGTGAGGCGATCTAGTTTAGTCAACGCTTTCAATCTGCCAGACTACGGCTATGAACCTTGGAACTCGCTTCATGACTTTGACGAAATTTTTGACAGAAAATTTGGCAAACCAGCGGTAGGTTGATTGTTTGCGGTTAAGGTGAATGATCATTGTTATACAGAGTTACAGCACAAGCTGAATATTCATATCATCCGTTGTACGAAATCGTTTGTTATTCTACGGTAGTGCTGACGAGTCTATTGAATTTATCAGAGAAGAAAAAGATTAAGAAAAATTAACGTATAGACGACAAGCAAAAAAATAAAAAACTGCCACTTAGTCAGATGGAAATGAATAAAAGAATGAAGGTGTATGAAGATTTGCACTAAATAATCCAAAAGGTGAAGCAGTGATTATGTAACTGTGCAAACATTTCCCATGAAGCCATTGGGTCTTATCATTCATGTTTTTGCAATCGAGAGTGACTTAATTTCAAGTTTCCTGAAATTTCCTGGAAGAATATTTGATAAGAAAATTCTTTAATTCAATCATAATCTTGCCTGTCGTTTACCTCCTTTTTCTTCTTCTTTTTTCTCTCTCTCTTTTTTCCCCTCAGGGACGTAACTATTGGAGAGATGATGTGCATTTCGCTCGACAGAGATTGTGTGGCTGTAATCCAACGCTCATTCGTCTTTGCACCAAAGTACCTGACAAGTGAGTCTGTGTTTTGAGATTCGTTGCATGAAATTCTGACTAAAGCTTCTTAATAAACCCTTCATAAATGCTTGCAAAACACGCCCACCTTATACTTCGATATGCCTATGTTTCAGTAAGCAGTTTGTTTCCTATATAAAGAAAATGCTTTCTCGTAGGCTTGCTGTTACGTCAGCGATGCTAGAGCCATTTCTTGAGGGACAAACGTTGGAAATGGCGTTGGAAGCAAACAGGATCTTTATTGTCGATTTAGAAATCTTGGCCCGGTTAGAATTAGATGAGTCAAGAAAGGTTAGTTTTATTGTTCGTATAAAATAACGGTGATAAGACCAACCCCCTGATTGGTCAAAAACCTATCGGTCATTGCACCGCCAAACACATAGAAAATTGAGGTTTATCTTATAAAAGCAACAGATCACACTTTTCATCGCTTTACCGGCGTAATGTTCGGAGAACACTAGTCTCCGGCTCGTGGTTTACAAACTTTTATTGTGTTTCTCCCAACATCCCAAGTGGGTTATAATTTCGGTAAACTGAGGAAAATAGCTGTCTTTTGCTTTTATCGCTAGATCTTTTTCGGGTTTTTAAAAGATACGTGGTGCGATTCAAGAACGAGTTAGAAAAAGAGGAAAAAAGGAAAACAAAACAAAGTAAATTGAATCAAAACAAATTACAAAGGTGCCAATTCCTACTAAGATACTTACAAAATTTCGTACGATCTTTTTAAAACATCTGCATCGACGCCAAAACAAAAAAACGAACAAACCAAAAAAAGTATTTGAAATTCTTCATTTTGGAGTGAATTTTGCGGAGAGTAATAGTTCTATAAGAACACAAAACTGTAAGTTCACAGAGTTCATAAGCTAAAGACCGACTGACCGGCACTTTTCCTGCTTCAACAATAAAAAGAACTTAATGTTTGAGGCAATAAAAATACTCCACCCCCGGTGGGACTCGAACCCACAACCTTTGAATTAGAAGTCCAACACGCTAATCCATTGCGCCACGGGGGCTTCACAATCGATTAGTTAGGTTTGAAACTGTTTAATGTGGCAAATTATATTATCAACTCAGTTGATAAAACCAAATTATCATTTTGGAATAGTTTGATTTCTCCATGGATCTCTTTAGGTTGTGTCTCCAATGGCACTGTTCTTCCTGAGTCCATCGAAGTGTTATCTTGTTCCTATCGCCATCCAGCTCTATCAGGAGAGAGGAGAGGATAATCCGGTATGAATATCCAGTCAGTATTTTGCAGTTATAAATATCGCGAAAAACACCAACGCTAAGTATCTCACCTTGCATTATCAACACTAAACAGATTTAACGCGATTTTCATCGTCGTTTAGGATATTTTCCTGCTTATTTGTCGCTTCTTTTGAGAAACTCAGTGCCATATGTGAATACGCACGCAACACTGAAACATTGAGTGTCTCTCGAGCTATTTAACAATCAGAGAAGCCTTGACTGTGCTCTGTTCCGTTGTACAGCACGCAGGAAGCTGTTCGAGCACGAAAGAAGTGTAGAGAGAAACACGAGACGTAGTCGAGTGCCTCTCCCCACTTCTTGAGTGTTCTAACCGCTTCCTAAGTGCTTTACAATTATATTACTTATCATTTTTGTTCATTTATTAATTGTATTTTTTTTTTGGCAAATATATATTTAATTTCTCGGCTAGGTTTTCCTTCCCAGCGATCCTTGGTACACCTGGGTGCTAGCAAAGATGTGGTTCAACAACGCTGATGCGCAGTATCACAGAGCATGCGTATTGCTAGGTACTGATACAACATGCGCGATCTAAATTGAACGTGACTTCGTTTGCTATATAAAATGACATTTTATCTTGAACAACTGTGCTCAGACCGGTATAGCAATGTACATAAACAAGTCTAAAAACTTGTAGGTACCATTAACGCACAGATAAGAGGATGCAGTGTTCTGAAATTTCGGGTTCAAGCCTGGCCAAGTCATTCTGATTGAGTTTTTCAAAAAGAGGCTTTCCGATCCAAGAGTGTACCATCCCTTGCTAAGCCCACGATAGTAAATGGGTTTCACAGAACACTCTAAAAACGGTCACTAATTATTGTCTGGGGGAAGGAAGGAGGGGTCGGAGGATTTTGCTTATTTCGTGTCACAGTAAAATTACCTAGTCCCCCCCATATGGCTATATTCCCCCTTTAAATCCTCCAACTCCATGATCGTTCCCTAAAAACCCTCTGGGAAAAGATCCAGCATTTATTGCGTTCATTTTCCTTCTCTCAAGTTTTCCCTGACTGCCACAACAGACGATAGGAGAAAATCATAACTCTGTGTAATTCTCGCACAAACATGACCTAGATATTCTTAAATTGAGAAAATATCATCCATTTAAAATTAATTAACTCCAGTAAGGGATTTCTCTTGGTCTACTTCTGCTAATAATAGTTGTCTCAGAGCAACCACAACTACAACATCAACAGCAGCACATAACTCCTTCACTTACAGTTTGGTTGTGCTGTTCATTTTTTTCTCTTCTTTTCTGAAGGATACACCCATCTTCTTTTGGAAGCAGTTTCCATAGCAACACATCGTCAGCTTTCTCCTTCACATCCGATCTATAGATTACTAGCACCGTACTTACGTCACGTGATTCCCGTGAACTGGTAAGTTTTTGACATCGGTGATACTTTTACAGAACGTTAACGGGTTTAGGTCGGTTTAAGGATCTAACTATTAACATTCGATCGATAAAAAGTTTTCTTGATTAATTTCCCAGAGATATTTCTTTAGAACTGTAGATTTTTTTTTTTTATTATTCTGGATTTGAACCTATGATGGAGGCCAGGGCTTAATATGATGGGATAAATGGCCAACGAAAAAGGCTTTGGAAGAGACTTCAAAACTCTCTAAACTGAAAAATATAAAAGTAACCACTGACCCCGACGTGACTCGAACACGCAGCCTTCTGATCTGGAGTCAGACGCGCTACCATTGCGCCACGGAGTCAACTGACTTTAGGATTGGTACGTCTTATTAATCTAACCACAATATAGCGTTAACAACCTTTTGCGTTAATATAATAATTTATTAAGTGCAAAGCACGAAGCAGTTAGGTTCAAAGTTTGGGTTTCTTTTGTTTAGTTTCTTTGGTTGGCCTAAGCTTAGTTGTGGAGATTTCTCAGTACGCCCTTCATCAACTATCTTATTCACTCTTCCACTCATAGTTTCGAAGTAAACGAATTGCTCGCCCCAGGTTCTTGGATTGACAGCGCGACAACTCTCGGAACGAAGGGCACCCAGGATCTTATAGCCTTAGGGTAGGTGCCTTGTGGCTCACTTTCTACACTGGTGAATAAGCCCGCATATTTAACTAGCGAGGGTTTTCAAAGCACTTTCCTAGCTTATGTATTATATTTGCTCATGGTTCTCTTTGCATTTCTAAAAACTGTCAGGTCGGACCATCTTGTTTGCAAGGTAAACGGGGAAGTTCTAAGAACTGATCTCAAATTTTCATCTGAATCGATCCTTTGCTTAAATAGAATCAGTCAGTTGTCAAGATCCTAGTTGGCCTCATTGCAAAATTGGAGGGAAATTTGAATGAGGACGATGGTGAAAACAGTTCCCAATCCTTTTAGCATTCTCGCGTAATGTAGTGAATTTCTTTGTTCGGAAAACCGGCAAAACCAATCTTATGATGTCGAGCAGACCTTGTATATGACAAGCGACCATAGCTTATGATTTATCAAACTGTTCCAAAAGTCTCGAAGCTACTTATCTTAAATATAAATATATCTTACTTTTTTTTGATTGATCAGTTGGCAAGATTGGAGAATGGATGTGCATGGCACTCTACCGGCGGACCTTGAGCAAAGAGGAGTAAGTTCATATAAAACTTGTTCAGTTTTCATCGAAGTGTAAAGAACAAAAACAATATACAACTTAGGGATCGAAGTTTACCGCAGACCACAAACCACAGCTTCAAATTTGCCATTCGCAGTCGCACACCTCTTTCGTCAATTAAGAATCGTATTGGTTTGATGCATGGCGACATGGAAATCAAGTAATGGATTGATTCGATGTCATTTTAAATCTTTCTCAGCATTCTCGTCCATCTAGTTCGACTGCGTCAATATCTACTTAGTCCTCGGGTTTTTCTGGATTCTTCGTAACAACCTCCATTAATAAGAAACTGTCATGACCAGAAGCATATATCTAGGTTATAGGCCCTTTTACCAATCTGATTGGCCAATTTGCCGTTGTCGATAGGAGTACGGACAACGCTGCTCGCGTCAACGTGTCACGCAATGGTCACGCACTGAAAGAATCGTCAGTTTACTCAGTTGACGTCGATATCGTGGTAAAAGAAAATCGACAGTGGTTCGGCGTGACCTGTACTCTTGACAACAACAATATTCGCAATCATAGTGGTCAAAATTTGTGACAGACTCACTCGGCTAGCTGCGCCTCGTGAGTCCACAACATTTTAACGAATATCTTTTTCGATAATGGTTCAGACCACGCTAGACCTTTGTCGATTTGTATGGCCAACTAAAAGGTGCCATGACAAAGTCAATGATAACAATGACAATAATGAAAATAGACAAAAAAAAGTTGAAAGATAAAAAAAAAAACAACAACAACAACAACAAAAGCAAGTATATCTGGAGACTCAATTAAATCAGTGTAAAGTGATCGAAGTTCCAAACAAACTTGATCAAACCAAACGCGTTTCTGAAAACAAATCTCTCCATTGCCAGAAATTTATCATTCCATACATCGATCTTTCTTGAAACTGGAAGATCTGGATCTTAGATCTGTCTCTATATATCATCAGATAATCACTGTAATAAAAGAAAAAAAAATCCTTTATTGTTATGGTAACAGGTGGCTGATCCTTCAGTACTGCCAGATTATCCTTACCGAGATGATGGCCTCATGTTGTATAATGCCATCAACAAGTACGTCACTTCAATTGTGGAGGCGAGATATGGTAAGGAAAATCATTGATCCTTATGCGCGTTATTTTCTTAATACAGTATTAGCAGGAAAAAGGTCGCGGACCCTATAGAAATCTCGTTACTCTTTTAAAGGGCAAATTAAAACTGCATTTAAGAATTAAATTGGGTGTTAGTCATAAACTATGTGTTAGTTATAAAATAAATTCGAGTTAATATTCGACATAAGTTCTTGTATTTCTTCTACATATGTGTAAATGGTCTCTTATCATACCTATTAGAATGTAAATTCATCAATAAGTTTTTGCTGCTGAATTGCACCGTTAGCCAAGACTCTCTGAGCACTGCCGAAAAAGCATAGCGCATTTACATTACCAATTGGAATTTATAACGCCATACATCGATCTTTCTTGAATCTGAAACCTGACTGTTAAGAAGTCGCTCCTCACCTTTTTCTGTGGACCTTCAAAAATTTTCGTTAAATTTGATTATAACCAGATGAAGAAGAAACACTAACAGACGATTATGAGCTTCAGGCTTGGGGACTGGAGCTAGTGGCAGATGGAAATCCCGGGTGCGGTATAAAGGTCAGTTAAATTGACTCACATTGATTGGTAATCAGATTCTTTGTATTTGCTATTTTGTTGAACTGATTTAATTCTTTCATTTAAGGGGAAAATTCTGCTTGTTGTTATCATTGTTTTTGTTGATGTATTTGTTAGTTATTCCAATACCAACTTCATGAAGGCTCTTCAATGTAACTTCTCAAACTCATTAATAATTCATGCTGAGAAAACAAAGGAAATTGTAACCGTGAAAGAGGTCTGGATATGAGATCTTAATTATCATAAAATTTGGTGAACTTTTGCTTTGATTTTCTCCAAGAATTGTTAATACATGGTTTGAGAAGCTATATAAAACATTCGAAAGGGTGTTTCATCTGATATCCAAACACCTTGAAGTTGGTTAAAAAAAACCTCGGCTGCGCCTCGTTTTTTCAACCACTTCTGGGTGTTTGGATATCGGATACTCTTCCTCGTGTTTGATATATTACTTGTAACAACAGAGCTCCTCTCCACCAAGTGGTATAAAACAAAAACTGAAAGTGATCCCAATGACCAGTCAAGACAAAGGAAATTATCAGAATTTATTGATATCAACCGGCCACTGCTGACCTGGAAAAAAACTCATGATAATAGCTTGAAGAATCAAATAATTGATGTTCATTTCAGGGCGTGCCGGGTGAAGGCAGGTTCGAAACAACAGAACAGCTCTGCCAAACATTAACATCCATAATGTTCACCAGCACAGTTGGACATGCCGCGGTTAACGTTTCTCAGTATGACGAGTATGCGTTTCTTCCAAATTATCCGGCCATCTTGAAAGGACAACCGCCAAGAGATAAGGTTGATATGTCTATATCTAAAACCCTCTTTCTCTGTAAGTTCTGTGCAGTTACCACGGGCATAAGTATTTAGGAAGCTGAGCAAGATATCATTCCTAAACATGATACTTTGATTTTTAAATTTTGCATAAGAGTTCTTAACCCCCACCCCCATAGCCCCAACAATGCTGCACAGCGGTAGGGTAGGTTAGAGAGAGACTCAAGATCCTATTGGGGTAAAGAGGAACGAGAGTGACCGCATATAGAGGATCAGAAAGAATCTCGAAAATTGGACAACCTTTTACTTACTTTTTATACTACTTCGGATAGTATGGTAAACCGCAACACCAGCTCTAAGTCGTTCCTGTAAATTAAAGCTAAAAGTAAGTATAATAGATATTGCATGCTAAATTGTGCTATCTACTCTCCTTTCCTTAGAAATGGAGGGAAGAAAGAGACATCTTGGCGTGTTTACCGGCAAAAAACATCAGTTTGGATATCATAGTTATAAACAAGCTCCTTTCAGAGAGGCACACCAACGGTTTAGCTGATTTTCACGCCATGTACCAACATGACCCAGTTGCCCAGAAAGCGATTTCCAGGTAGCCCAATTTATTACTGTTGTTCTTGTTGTTCTATTACGCACAGCTCATCTATGTGCAGAATTCCCGAGGGTACACTCTTCTTTCTGCATTTCCTAAAAAAGTTGACCATAACAATTTGTTTAACAATCAAGAGCTTCTCCAGTTGGGAATCATTTAATTTACCCTTGTGTTCGTAATATTTGATTCACGGGTGATATTGTAAGGGGAGATTAGATGCTAATAATTATCTCATAGGGGTCAGGGGATTAAGTAATCCTCGGAAGAGTTTTGGAAGAAGGCATTTTTTTTTAAAGAGTAAAGGGTTAGTTTTGCACCTTTGCTTGTACCCAGTGTCTCCTCATTTGCAAGTGAGTAAAATCATGGATGTAACGTTTATGATATATACAGGTTTCTAGACGATTTGAAGTGTATTGCATTAACCATATTGGACAGAAACAAAAAGAGACAAGTGGTCTATGAGTACCTGAACCCTACGAGAAGTTCGAACTGAACTTTGAAATGCAAAACAGGTTGGCCTTTACTTATTACTATTATTGATCAGTGATGGGGATGGCTGTAGTTTTTCGTCTTGAGGAAGCATGTCCCACTAAGTGTACAAACAGTTGAACTGAGCAGAGGGCGAGAAGTTTAAGTTTGCCATATGCTGTTTGCCTCTAACGTCTTGTTTAACTTCTCTTTTGATAAAATCATTGTCCCTGTTGCCGGGAAAATTCAACGAAGAAGTAATTATTCCAGGTGTCTAGTTTGTAAAACGAAGTGCTAAAATAAAAGGCGCGATTGTAGCGGAGAAGTGCAAAAAACGAGAGATGTTTGGGTCGAGTCACGGAATGAACCGAACTTCCCTCGTTTTTCGATCCGCTACCGCCGCCTCGCCGTTTACTACCGTGGGTGCACCGTTTTATTTATTGAATGCCTGTGACATGCTATGATTTTCCGGGATAAGTGATGAGTGATTGTAAGAGACAGGAATTTGGTATATAGATGTATACATTTATCAACGGTCATTTCTTTACACTTTATTTTACAAGTTATAAGTTTATTCCAGTGTTTAATTTCTGTTGTAGATGGTTTTGCTTGCGACATAGCTCAACTTATTCACGGTTGCAGCAGGAAAGGCTTCGCATCTGATGTCAGTTTGCGATAAAACACATGTTGGCAATTCAATATGACAGCTTATTGTGGATGTGAAAAAATAATTTTACTTTTTGAAAAAATTAGATTTCAGTAGAGCTCAACAGAGCTATTATTTAATTAGTATTAATTTGTAAAAAATGCTAGGCGTAAGGATAAACAGAAAGTTTCTGTATTTCTCACTTTGCTTTATAACTTTTGCACGATTTATGACACACATTTTGTGTTTGAGTAATAGTTTTTGGGTAAAGCTTTTAAGGATAACAATGTTCACCAGACAATTGTATATTGCAAGTTATGATAATTTAAATTTCGAGATAGCATTGAATGACCTTTTACTACGAAGTGACCTGACTACAATGATCACAACTATGACCAGTGAGAGGGTAAGTACCGCATGTTTCATCATGTCCCTCCTCCTGCAGAGTAGTATTTAGAGGAGAATTAAGAGAGGGGTCCAGGTAGACCCACTTCATTATTTGACAAAGGTCAGGGTACCCAGAGACGATGTCAATATTGCTATCGGGAGCAGGCTCCCATTAGTTTGACTTCCCCCAACTCTTCCCTTCCTTCCGGCTTAACCTTGAAGCCGCCACATCAATATAGCCTAATGTTAGTTTATGCTATTGATCACATTTTTGTTCATTAGATTTCAGAATCGTTTTTGCAGCATTGCATTAATCAAAGAATATTTTTTGTGTCGAACTGAAATGTATATTACTCAGAAGTAGCATTTTAAGTTTGATAACGAAATGAAAGGCCAATAACAGTGGGTAAAGGTGTGACAAAATCGGCTTGCATCGTTTCTGAAGTCTTTGTTCTTTAACCAGCGTTCGAAACCCATTGCATAAGACAAGGGCAAAGAAGGCTCTGCGGACGAGATTAAAGATTGAGATCGAGGATTTTCCTACCGATCAGTTTCTATTTTTTATTTTTCTTATATCTTGGGTAATCACTAGTGAAAGAGGTACGCTTGCAGTTATATTAGTATGGGTGGTGGCAATCGCTTCGACATCCTCTCTTGTCATATTAGGTAACTAGGCCGCATTTTAAAGGCCCCACTTTTTCACTCACAGCAAATAATAATTTTCTTTATTCAAACGACACAGTTAATAGTAGTCATTTTAAGGACATTGGCAGATGTAGACAAATACTCTTGATAGCGGAGAAAAACAAAAAAAAAAAGGATATAAGGGACTAACAGTGTGGAGCCCTAAAGGCACATGATAACGTTCTTAGTTCTCGAAGAAAAACGAATAAATGCACGTAGTTCTCTAAATCTAAATTTTAAGCATCAGATAATGTTATTGAATCAATGCTTGTGGAAAGGAAATATTTGGGAATCTAGTTTGCAACGCAAATATGTTAATAATAATTTATTTCAGTTTTGAAAATCGGGGGAAAATGGGATGGGCACTAGAATTGTAAAATGATTATGAACAATAATAAGATTCTAACTATGTTAAATTTTGAACAATTGATTTTCACTTATGAACGATGATAAGATTGTAACTATATGTTAAAATTTAATCAATTCATTTTCACTTACTGTGATTTTAATGTACACTGAATAAATTATATTAACCCTTGTTATATGTTCATTCCATGTGTCCTGAAATTGCATTCATAATGATAGAGCAATCGTCAATTTTGTGTCTATGAAATCCGGGATTGCGTTACATCAGTTTCCTCTGTGTTTGGTCCAGAAAACTCGCGCCATCCCCTAAACCAATCAGATGCAAAACTAAAACCAATCGTGACTTGGTCATTCGCGTTTTCCCGCTCTTCAAGCAGTTAGCATGTTTTCACTCTGTGTTCTCATTGGCTAATAACAACGTTTACCTTTAAATTTATTCTGCCCAATAGAAAACTGCCCTAATGTTTGTGTAATCTTGCTTCCAACCAAGTGAACTTTTTAAAATTACAATCTTTTTAATGTTGGTAATTATTTTAGGTTGAAACAACTGCGTTGTGGTTCGATCTTTAAACCAGATGTCAAAGCTCACTTTGTTTCTCTGCAAGAATTAGCTGGCGCCGAGTTGTTTAGGAGGAAGGGGGGGAGAGGAAAGTTACTCTGATTTTATTCGACTGGATCTATACACTCATCTGTACAATGCATCAATCGTTCTCACTATCTCGCAATCGAAAATTGAACTGTAAAAAAGGCTTCCTTTCTGCCCCACATGTGAGTAATGCAAACATCTGAGCCCAGTTTTTCAAAAGGCAGATAACGCTATCCAACAGATAAGTCGCTCTCCAGCGGCTGTTATCAAAATGTACTGCGCTATCCATCGAAAAGAGATTTATCCAGCGCGGATATTGTTATCCAACCCTCGAAAAACCGGATGGCTGGGTGTCTAATCTCGCTAGAAAATGATTAGTTACTCCCGTAGCTCACCAGCTAACTATTATACAATGGAACCGAGACTTCAAAGGAATCGTCATATTCATGGATTAGAATGGGTGTGAAGAAATGCGCTAACTTTAAAGCAATGACACACGGAAAAGTAATTCGTTGTATACTATTGTTGTTGTTATCGTTGTCTGTCAGGAAGAGACAGAAAGACAGACAGACAGACAGACAGGCAGGCAGGTAGGCTGGCAGACTGACAGATGGACGGACGGACAGACAGACAAACAAGCAGGCTCACAGACAGACAAACAGACGGACAGACGGACAGACAGACTGACAAACAGACAGGTAGGCAGGCAGACAGACAGGCAGGCAGGTAGGCAGGCAGGTAGGCAGGCAGACAGACAAAACTCCCAGCAGCTGGATAGGGCGAGTGTGCGTTGACCTCTAAAGAGAAAATTCAAAGGAAATAATATTGATTTGATGTATGTTGTACTAACAACCACAGTCAATTCCCATGGACTTTCTAAGATAGCAGTGTTGGGAAAAAAGAAACTTGCAACTTACTAATTAGCTAAGCAGCCTGAGTTTATTTGAATGAAATAGGAAGTGGTTATTATTTAGCACTTACAACCTTGGTTATAACACATTTTAAAGGACTTACCAAATAACTTACTTGGAAAAATAATTGTATGTGAATTTTTGATGGCTCAATGAAAATTTAATGACAAGTAGCAAACAATGTCAACGATAGGTTCATTCGTAGAGTCCTCTCTGCTATTCAAGTATTTTGTTTCGCTCTATTTCGCTGTTGAGGATTCGTTTCAGACGATACGCCATATTCCCAACAACCACCGGGTTGGGGATCTCATCCAAGAGGTTTACTTCAGGAAGCCAGTAATTTGGCAGGTTTCCTTTCTCCAGGAAAGCTTGCAATGCAGCCAAGAATCCGACAAAGTGTTCCCCCAGAGAATTCCTTCCATTCCAATTGGAAGGCTTCTCTTCGATGTAGTGCATGAAGGCTGTCTTCAGGTAGTATGACCTCAGTTGTCCCAGAGATGTTCTCTCCTTATTGACGATGGTCTTCACAATCCTCAGGAGCTCGTGTCTGCAACCATGGTCATCTTTATCCATGCGCTTTAGCAGCTGTTTTTCCTCCAGTGAAAATGACCGCCTCCAAAGCCGTTCATCTCTAGTGTGTCGCTTTGCCACGAAATATTCATCCGTCCCAATTTGAAAGCAAGGAACGAGATCCGCTGACAAAAGCTTCCACCCGGTTTCTTCGCTGAAGATATCCAGTTGAACAGAAGGCCCATGTTGACGTACAACGAAGTCGAGGTTGGACCCCGGCGAATTTTCTGTTAAATCTGTAACTGCTCGTGAAACAAGACTGAAGAACCAGCGCTCGCGGAGTCGTCCGGGAATTATGTACCCCTCTGAACTAACATACCTGCGAAGTTTCGAGTCCACGGTTGCTTTGAGTCGCACGTAGCCTGGGAAGCCTGTTTCTTCCTTCATTACCTCAGGATCGCCCCAAAACCAAGGCTTCGACGTCTTCAGTACTACCATGACATCTACTTCATCGGCAGCTTCAGTTTTCAGTCTCTCGTACACGCTGCCGGTATACTGCAAATTCAGTATCGGAAGCTCGGAATTCTGTCGACAGTACGCCATGATCCGGTCCTCAATATAGTCTTTCACTAACTTTCTGGTGCGAGTCATGTCTTCCTCAGAAATCTTCATATGCCTCACCGAGAAAGCTCGGAGTTTTTTTGTTAAGGTGTCGTCTTGTACCAACCAATCCCAAATCCACATGGTTGTCTAAAGCACGGAAAGAATAGAAATGATCAATCACTCCTAGCGCTCGTTAGATCCCGTTAGATTTCAAATAGCCCACGAATCGCCTAGCGCCAAACTGGTTCTAACCAGTCTCAACTTAGACACATTGAGTGGAAAATAATCTTGAAATTTTCCAAATTTCGATTTACTTATGAACGCCTCCTAACCTTCCGATGATTGAAAGTGTTTGAACAAGCGGTATTCGAAGGTTACGCAATTTCCAACCATAATGAAAGACATATATAATTCGTGCTTCGCCTATCGATAAAGAGCCTGAATCCAAAACGAATCAATATCTTTTAAACCGGACTTGACTACAACACGCGCCACTATAATTTCAAATCCAAGAAAAGTTAAAGGGCATCAAGTAAACTCTTTCCGAGACAAATATTTAAGTGTTTTTCGATCCAGCTCATCGACAAGCACAAAACGTTTCCATGATGTACAAATTTATTGTCATAAAACCAAGCAAGGGAAGGGAACAAGGGTAGCTTCAATTAAAAGAAAACAAACAAGAACCCAATTCAATTTGACGTTTTTCAAATTCAATCCAATTGAAAGGTGTTGCACATTTACACTTTTGTGACTATGTGGTGGCGGACGAAGGAAACAATCATTACAGCCGCTCGTGCACACTTAATGGTGCACAATCTCCTGGCAAAGGTCAACATTGCGCGAAGGACTTGCCTTCCAGTCTCTACTGCAAGAAAAACTTAACTTGGACCGCATAATTTTTAGAACACGTGTTCCTTTAAGTGTCTAATATTGAACGCATGGCTCAGTCCATTTTGTAAAATCTCTATCTTCTAACATGTTTTTTAGAGCAATCTAACCACGTAATAATCTCTCACTGCGAAAAGGAATTTTTCCGGAAAAACTTAACATCGCTAAAATTCAGTTTCCATCTACAAAGCAGAGGATCCTACCTTTTTCCGAAACAATAGTCATATAGTAACGCTGTCAGTTTGGATTCGGAAAATCACTCGACATTACACACGCTTATTTATTTGGTAGATAATATTGCTTCTGCAATCGGCCAACACGAAACGGTTGGTGTCTTCCTAGATCTTTCCAAAGCATTCGACAAATCTTATTTCCAAATTGGAGCGCTATGGTATCCGTGACGTGGCTCTGCAGTGGTTTAAAGTTACTTTTCTTGCCACTAGTAGTTTGTCCAATTCAATCAAGCTTGTTCTTCGATGCCAACAATCAAGTGTGGTGTCCATCAAGATTCTATTTCAGGCTTATTATTGTTTTATTCTGTACATAAATGACCTCCTAAATGCCTCTGAATTAACAGACCCTCGGCTTTTTGCTGATGACACTAGCCTTATATTTTCTTCTCCCTCAAACTCAAATTTCTTAGAGTCCGTACTTAATGATAAACTTCACAATATTGATGCTTGGCTAAAATGTAATAAGCTTTCAGTTATTACAAAGAAACCTAACTTCATCATTTTTTAAACCCAGACAGAAGAAATTTAACTCCAGCATTTCTCTCTCCTTTAGAGGCAAACCCCTAAAACATTCCAATACAATTTAATTCCTTGGGGTCTATACTGACGATCATCTCACATGGAAACACCATAACAGCTATGTAGGTAAACATGTCGCTAAATCAAAAGGTAATACCCCGATTGAGGTCTCGCTTTTTCCTATCCTTAAAACCAAACTCACTTTGAACTTCACTTTCATTTATCTCTATATCGTCTATTGCAACTCCGCCTGGTCGTTCTCAAACGTACCTAACTTAAATATAATTTATTTTTTCGCAAAAGCGAGCTGTGCGGGCTATCATCAACTCAGACTGTCGAGAACACCTTTCTCTTTTATTCTCAAAACTAGAAATGTTGGATGTTTTCGGAGTCAGTACGTTTGACATGGCCAAATTCATGTTCCATTATAAATAAAAATATTTATTGCCCCCACTGCTTCTCGATCTTTTTGTTACAAATAGCCAAATTCACTGCTGTGGTACCACAACTGCCAGTAATTAACGAAGGTATTTGTCTCGTATAAATCTCAAGCAATTAACAATTCTTTACCAAGGTCCTAAATTTAGAACTCTCTTCCTGTTTCAGTCCCTCTTTAGTCAAATCTTCTTAGCTTTAAGACAAAATCCAAAAGTTTTTACCTATATAAACTCTGAATTGGCCAAGCCACACATTCGCAGCACTTATCCTTTCTCAAATACATTTTATTGTGAGGTAACCTCTCCCATAAGCCTGGTGGCTTTTTGGGTCTCGTCGCCTTCCACAAATCATAACGCTGTGGATAATTTTTTTTCGGATTGTTAAAAAGGCATAAAAACAAGAACAAAAATTGGATGATGAAAATTCCTTCTTTAGACTACAGTATCCTTATCACTTATCAAAAGGATATCCCTGCTTAGTAAAATTCGATATTCTATTTAACAAACTTATTAGCTTGCAGCAGACTCTTTGGCCGATGTTTTTCAAGCTTTTCTCCCAAGATAGATCATCACCTAAGTAAATTCCTAATTATACTTGTGCTGCTACCTTTGAGTTTGACCTCCATGCAATATGTTGCGATCTCAACGATTGAAGTCAAGTTGTCTCTCATTTAAAAATACGTCGTGTTACATGAAATCGAGTGTACAAAGCATAAATACTCGTGAAATTCGCCTAGTTGATCTGGTCACACCCTACAAAAGCTTTCACTCATAAAAATTGATCTGACATGTGCATTTGAATTATTTATTTTTAAGACAGTGATTTTTAAATTCACGTGAAAGCCGCGTATTACCACAAAACGATTTCGTCAAACTAACTAAGGAGTTATCCTTGCTCTTGTTTATTTTCGAGGAGCCCTTGCCACTGAGAAATTCACAATAACATATTGAAAAAAAAATTGGGTTTTGAATCAAGGTGCTAATATTGGATCTGACATCTGTAAGACAATGAAATGAAATTAAACATCTCCAGACATGCGGAATAAGCCACGAAGCCACGAAGCCACGAAACCACGAAATTGGCGTTTCGGTAAAACGTGCTTCAGATGAAATTCGAAGCATTGAAAAGAAAAAGCTAATGACTTACCTTACTTTTCGAATACTTGAAATTCGATGAAGTGAAACTGTGGAAAAGAAAACTGCTAGATAGGAAAATAAAGTGTTACTTACTTCCAACCTCAACAGCTCAACGACTTTGTAACCGCTTAGTTTCGCCTGTAAGCACTTCCGGTTTTTCTTGGAAAGTTTACCGGAACTGCGCCTTTTCCCTTTCAACGGAAAACATAAAGGTCATGACAAAGAACGATGTTGATCTTAACCATTGATTTGCAAACAATAGGTGATTGACGAAAATCGTGCACGTTTAAGAAAACCACGAGGTGGTGAAACAAAAGCTCAGCAAGTCCCTCATAAACTTTTAAACATTTCCCGACCGTCCTCTGCAAAACAACGGTTGAAATCGCTTAATTTAATTTATTTAATTTATTTACTCCGACGGCAAATATATTACGTTTCTTACGTGGAACTCTCGGCAGCATTGCCTAGTTTTTCTAGAGGGGAGATCTGGCGCAAGAAAAAGCAGTCACATCGAGTTTCCTGTAGAGTGCTCAGGAGAATTGACAAATGAATTTGAAGCGATGTGTTCACAAGCGGCGGGTAATTTCGCTATGACTGTCAACTGATGAATTCATAATTCCCCATGCCAGGTTGTGAAGACACAATTTTCCGAGAACCGCCCAATTTTTCTGAGAAAAGCGGAAGTAAACTCTTATTGGTCAAGCTTACCTTTGAGCTGACACTTCGTTCATCACCTTACATTCAATATAATATTCTCACCAAATCTTAAGACTCCTCTTAAATTATTCTGCTCGCTTTGTCTAAGAAACCCCTTGCGATTTACACCGTTCAAAGCTTCAGGTGGGTTATGAGGTATTGTACTTAATGAATCATTTCAAGTAGCAAGGCCTGTGTCGACTCCTTGTCGAAATGAGTAAGTGAAACAATTGAAATTAGAACGATGAATGAATTTGACTTAGTAATGGCTATATGTTGTTATCGCAAAGAACAGCACACTATTCTTTCGTCTTACCTTCACGTAGAATCAGCAGTTTATAAGGAAGATAAATGCATCTTTTTAAAAAAATATCCGAAGAAGCTGAAATCTTATGCTGCCATTTTAAGAGTTTTAACAATCGTACTAGATTAAATACCCCTCGACGAAAATTACCGAGCGGCCATTTTTAATTAAAGTTAAATCTATCATATTGTCTCGTATTGTATGCCAGAAGGTTTGTCGAGGAGTGAGCGCTCCATAACAAGCTCACACGGCTGTATTTAAGATAAATTTTTACTTAGAAAGTCAATGTTTGCATATTCTCTACTGGACAAGCTTTTATTTCCCTTCGCCACCAACCTGTCCAAAACACATGCTTCTTCAGAGGCAACTTGGGTGATTAGACGTTTGTCAAATTTTACAATATCAGTTCAATTGGTTCCTTGCTTACGGTGATATTTAGTTATTTCAGAGACAAAATTTATTTGTCAATGTCGTCTTTCATGTATCAGGTCATGGCAGTGGCTGAGGCAAGAAGAGGAGATGCTTCAAATTTAACGGGGAAACTTCGTGCTTTTTCTGTAAAGTATGTCAAAATTTCCGAGGACGACATGGCCCGCGCCAGACGCTGGGTGACTGATTACGTCCAAGGTCAAGTCATGGTGTTTTGCAAACAGCGCTCGTCTCTTCCAATACTAAAACTGGAGTATACCGGCAGTGTGTACGAGAGGCTGAAGACTGAAGCCGCCGATGAAGTAGATGTCATGGTAGTTTTGAAAACGACAAGGAGAGAGATCGAGGTTGTTGGATCCGGAATATCTGGCTATGTTCGCCTCATGGCAAGAGGTGGCTCTGTTTTCCGTAGGTATGCAGGTCAGGAAGGTTATATCGACCCTGTGCGCCTTCGAGATAGTTGGTTTTACAGCCTCGTTGTCCAAGCAGTAAATGATTTTGACGCTAAATCACCATTCTCTGAAGTCCGTCTGGTTGTTCGTTACCACGGGCCAGCGGTACAGCTTGACATTTGCAGGAGAGGAACTAACGAGAAGTTTTTATCGGTTGATCTCGTTCCTTGCTTCCAACTAGGGGAGGGCTGCTATGTCGCGAAGCCTTACAACGGGAGTTACCCTGTTTCTAATCACGAGCTCCTGTGGAGGCAGTCGTTCTCGTTACAGGAGAAGCAGATCCTAGAGTACATGGACAGAGATGGTGGCTGTAGGCACGAGCTCCTCCGAATTGTGAAAACCGTTGTTAAAAAGCAGGCGACATCTTTACCACTGGAGTCATACTACTTGAAGACCGCCTTCTTGCACTACATAAAGGGAGGAGGTCTGCAAAACTGGGTGAGCGGAGACGCACTGGGGAACCATTTCCTTGGGTTTCTTAGAGCATTGCAGATTTTTCTGGAGAGAAGAGATCTTCCGCACTATTGGTTACCTGGTGTGAACCTCCTGGATGACATCGCTCAAGTGGTTACCAGAAATATGGCATATCGGCTTCAAGCAATTCTTAATAGCGAGGCAGAAAGGAATAAAATTCTTTCTTGAAAAGAAGGACAGATCAGCTGAGACACTCCGAATCTTACTATTTACATTGTAATGCGTATAATTTTGCTTAAGATAATAATCAGTATAACTCGTAACCATGACTGAGTTAGAGCGGAAAATTGACTAATAGGGCAATAAAGCGATTTCCATGACAAGGAATGTTGATTGGTAAGGTTCTGTCCCATCGCTGTGGCAAATGTAGCAGGGTTCAGAGGGTCTACAGTTCATTTAGGCTGTAGTGTTCAAAAAAGTGTTTTCTAAATCAAGCTTAGACCCTCCCTCCCTCCCCCCCCCATCAGAAATTCCTGCACCCGCCCCCCCCCCCACATCCTGCATCTGCCATCTGAAATGGGGGAGGGGGGTAATGTGCTTGTCAAGACTTCGTTGTCATCGAAAGAATGTGAGAGGCTTTAATAATGAATTGCGAATTATATGAAATACATGATGCAGATCTAGCTGAATTTTGCAAAGCCGGACAACTCTTCTCACTACTTGTCAATCTTTCCCCTGTCCACCTGAAGTCTTGGGATATCTCACTAGCTCTACTTTTGGTGCCTCACTTGGCCCAGAGAGAGGGTACGTCCAACATCCCCTCGCATGGCAGAATAAGTAAATCATAACTGACAACACAGTTTTCTTACCCACCCACTCCCCTGTGATCTATTCCGGGAATCCCAAAAGCATCCCGGCTGATAGCCCTATCCATGTAGAGTCTAAAATAATTTCCTTGATGGAGCTCCCCTACTTTTGGTGTCCCCTCGGCTTGGAGAGAAAGAGAGTCCCCCCCCTTTGCGGGCAAAAAGAGTAGTCCACAACAGACAGCACAGTTTTCGTTCCCAGCTCACTCCATTGGAATCTTGCTAGGGGACCCTAAATTCACACTGGCTTATAGCCCTGTCCATGTATAACCTGGAGATAGCCACAGGGTGTATTTGGAAGCCCACTTCATTATTGTAAGACCTACATGTCCGTGAACTTCTCTTTATGGCCATCCAACCAGGCTGATAAGTATCTGCTCACCGTCAACCACCTTGCAACTTAAAGGTGTATTTAGGAGTTAATTCCATCGTACATAAGGGTCAGAAGCTTCCATCCCCTCCCCCCTCAGGACCATAAAAGGCAGATAATTATATAATCCGTATGTTTTGAAGTAAAACTGTACCGAGCAACCTCTTCTTGAGGATACGATATAAAATGCCTACTTACCAAACTACTCACAGAATGTCACAGGGCGACATTACATTTCTTATGTACTTGTTATTTATTTGCTATTATTTTGATCGATACCAATTTTATTTCACAGTCTATTTGACTAGGTCTACAACTTCTTTCATGGCATATATACGAGAACACATTAAAGAAAAAGAAAATTGTAATACATAAATTCCAAGGCGAATAGGGTGACCCAATATCTCAATCTTATCCAGACCTTTAAAGACTCTCTAGAAATTCATCATGATAAACAAATTTAAATCTAATGGTAAATTTTGTCCAGACCTCTAAATTCATCTTTTCAATCTACATCTAATGGTATAGGCATTATCATTATGTTTAACAAATTTCAACTAATAAATTTGCAAAAAACATTAAGTAATACAGAAGCAAATAACAAATTTCGTGACTCGCACAGGCAGCGTGAGTTTTGTTACGAAAGAAAAAACCGGGACCGAAACTAAACAGCTTAAAAGCTACTAAATTACAAACTCCTTGACATTATCTTATGCCACATTCACCCAAAGCATAAGCATGTTTTAAAGCTATTTCTTTAAATTTCTTTTCTTCACAGAAGCTGCTTAAAGCGATGTTCGTCGGCTTCAAAAATTTGGTACATTGAAAATACAAGTTATTTACTACTTGAATCCTTTGGAAAATTCAGATTTTCAGTTCTCTGGTTCGTAGTTTTGTTCAGTTAAACCCGGTGTAACTAAAACATGTTTTGCTGGTGTGGATGGGGTATTCGTGTTGCTTATTGAAGTCGCTTCCAGCCCATTCACACACGGGCCCCTGGGCGGTTTTTGTCGTCCACTGTGTTGGCTTCAAGTCATTCTAGCTATCTTTTATAAGAGAATATCGCCTATTGAAAAAAAAAGTTGGACTTTGAGCAGAGATTTCGTGATCGGATAATACTTCGCGATACTCACGATTTGCTAGGGTACCTTTCACTGCCCTCCTTTATGCAAAAATTTCTCAACAAATATTAGCACTAAACCACGACTTATCCAAAACATTGCTGTACTGACTAGCAAGCGGACACAGAAGGCCTGACTTTGCTGACATCTCGATCCTGACCAAGCTCAATTGAAGATACATTTTCGGCATCACTTAGGTTACGTTGTGAGCTCTTCTTTGCAAAGTTTCCATCGTCTGCATATGGAAAAATGGTGTTCAGCCTACTCCTCAATCGCTCTCTAATCTGTAGATGAACAGGCAACCAAATATCAGTTGCTAAGCTATCAAATTTATAATTTATGTCTGAAATTTTCACAATTCACTTAATGCACTTTCTCAGTCTGATATCCATCTCACCTCTCTGTTTCGCATACGGTGAAGGGCGAAAATCAAGAAACCCTAAAAACAGATAATTATTTCGAGATCACTTTTTTTCCATTATAATTAGTCAGTATAATAATGTTTTGAATAAGTCGTAGTGTAGTGCTAATGTTTGTTGACAAAAGTTTGCATAGAGTTAAAGGTGTTTGATGCTCTGATCATTTGTTCACCTTGGAAACCCCCGTAACATAGGGGTAAAATATTGATTCAAAGTACGTTGCAGATCTCATGAATCGAGAAATAAATTTATTGTATCGATTAGAATCATTTTGAATGGGAAATATCATCTGACTAAAGTAAGTGTTTGTTTTTACCTGAGGTGTAGTTTGAGCGCCTAAGTATGCAAACCTTTGATTAAAATTTAACAACTTTTGTTAAAAACTTACCTGAGTGAAGTTTAAGATGGTGAAAATATAGGCGAAAGCTTTGTGTAATGGTAACAAAAGACCAAATAACCACGTGACGCCCAGTAGTGGCACCATCATTGCGCATGTTTTAATGCTAACTCTGAAGAACGACAGCAATATAAGTTTTGTGGACTAATTGATGGGAGTGTTTTCCTTCACTTAATGTTTCATTATTTAAGATTAACTAGAGTGGAATTTGTGATTGACACAACGATTCTGTCACATTGCTTTATGCTGTTTTCCCTAAATTTTATCATTAATTATCATTAATTTGTAAAATGCTGATTTCAAATCCCACCGTATCTGCCGGAAATGTTTGTCTTCCACCATTGGCTGCACTAGTGTGCTCATCTTTTTATGGACCTGGATAAGTATTAAAATGTTGACCTGGAAAAAAGTAAGAAATGTGAAATGCGTCGTCGAAAAGAGAAAAAATGTTAGCGGTCTTGTTACGAGCATCAGAGAAAGAAAAAGTCTGAATCCCTCGGCTCTCTGTGAATTGAACCCCAAATCTTCATGTAAGGAGAACTAAATGGTATACGTTCCTGCATACTGCTACAATGAGAAATGCCGAAAAAAATCATGCAGGTCATTATAATTGGGAAGATTGCAAACTTTGAGCCAGGTGGTCAAAAACAGAAAGGTGTTCATGTTTTTTGTAAAGGAGCAGGGGAAAAAAGGAGTATTCAAAGAAGCCAATTCCGGTAAATAAAAAGTAATAAAGTGGCCTCAATCAATTATAAACTCACAACTTCAACGAGTGCCACAAATGCGACGAATATCCAGATCAGGTTGTTAGTTGAGGACAGCCAACAACTTGAAAGGTAAAAGGAGAACATAAAATAAACACAGCGGCGATAAAGCCCAAACTCACACCTTTTACCGGTAACAAAGCATCCAAAGGAGAAACAGAATCAAAATACACCAAATATTTTGTAGCAAAAAGAGAGAAAGTGGGAAGACACAGAAGATGAAGAGACAAGTACTAAATAATTATCTTACCATTTGTCACTGGTATAACTTTGAATTCCATCTTTTCCAGCCGCAACGCTCAATGAAATGCCCACCATGACGATCGGAAAACCTTAAGAGAAGTAGGAGGAAGTGAGTGCAGAATCACAAGCAGAATCACAGAGACGGTTAAAAAAAGGCAGGTACCAAAAACTCATAAGTGAAATGAAAGTACCCCATGAAATGACGTGATACGTGTGCATCTTGTCGCCAATGATATGAACTTTCACAACAAACAGATAAAGATAAACTCCCTTGACCATCATCCAACAGAAAGCGGCCATCAGGAAATATTGCGAGAGAGCTGCTGCCGTAACACAGAAAGCCTATGAGATAAAAGAGAGAGCCGGATTTTTGTCTGTTTTAATCCTCCTTTCTTAAGAATAACTTAAGCCCCTGAAGAGCAAATATACCGTAAATGGATGAAGAAGTCACTTACCGTGTTCTCTGTGGCGTTTATACCGGCGAGAAAGATTATTTGACCAGCTCCGAGTGACACAGAAAGACTCAATCTTATTTGAGAAAGAGGCTGACCAAAATCTCTGGTGAAATAAGTGAACAAACAAAAAGACAAACACACAAAAAACCAAAAAGAAGCATTATATGACAACGCATGCGGCTAATTTCAAGTGGTACTTTTCCAGTTAAGGCATTTGAATCACTGTCTCTCAGATGTCGAGATTTGATTCATCTTTATTCTCTTCTAGCATAATTATTTATCATTGATTCTATTAACTCATTTTTTTATCGCGTAATTTTTAATTGAAGTCCGAAATCTTCAAAATCAAGTAAAGAATAAGCTCTTTAGACGTATGCATGGTTGGGGTACTTACGTAATGAAGGATTCCACAATAATTGTCAAAAGTATCCCGGTAATGGAAAAGCTTAGTGCCACGTAGGTGATAATTTGCAGAATAGCTTCGTTCTCCAACGTAAGCTGTGTAATAAATGACATGAAGAGAAATAAGAAATTTGTTATCAAATAAAGGGAATTGCATTACCCTATGATACATACATACATACATACATACATACACTTTATTTCGACTCGAATTATTAGAGTAACTCTGTTGAGCTAATATCTTCGAGAAGGAAAAATATATAAATCAAAAAAATATATAAATCAATTAAACTATTAAAATACATTAATTAAAACTACTGAAAGTTAATTTTTTTTTTATGGCTGTCTTAAAATCTTTAAATGATGTCATTGTTCTCATACTGTTTGGAAGCGAATTTCACAAAGATAGATTCATGATAGAGCTTAGAAGATAAAATCATTACCCCTAGGCTAACATCGTAGTCAACTAAGACAGCAAAATTAGTCAAATGATTGCAGCTGCAAACTGTTTCTTCTGAGTTGCTTTTAGATGTAACCACATAGCATCCTCTCCCTGAGAACCCTTCTAACCTAAAAAAAAAAATTTTAAAAAAGCGTAAAAAAAATATGATGAACAAAAAAAAGAAATGACCTCAAAAACCATCGAGGAACCAAAAGGTTAGATTTCAAATTTTCTTATCTTCTCCCAGTTATCCATAGAGTCAGCTTTGATATACTCACTGCCAGAGTGAGGCAAAAGGTTATATCAAGGCAGGCCAGGCGTCGTTTAAAATAGACTCATTAAACACAATTACAGCCTACCTTAAAAAGATGCGTGACGAAACAAAAAAGACAGGCAAAAACAAAACAAAACAGTGAGCCTGTGTTCTTGACACACAGGACGACTTTAGCAACAGAAGAATAAATAGGAAGATGATAGCAATAAACAAATAGAAAGAACAACGCTATTCAGAAAAAATAATATGATAAAATTTCATGAAATAAACGGCTTCAATTCAGGAACAAGTAGAGCAGCAGTGACTGATAACTATGTAATGATTGTAGCAATTGCCCATGCTCAGGAAAAAACCTTACGAGAATAATACTTATCAAATGTGTCGTCCTAATATAAAATCCACGGAACCATTTATTCTGAAACAAGGCTAGTAATATATTCCAATTTTTACCTATTGCTGAGGCCACTCCAAAACATGCATTTCTTCTCTCCTTTATCGACCTAAAAAAAATGATATCTTTGAAACAAATTAACATACGGTCGTTCGAGAGAGCAAATGGATGTCTGGATAATAAACCCTAACTAACATAAAGAAGCACCAACAAGTTCATCTCTCACAAGTTCATTCAAATACTTGGAACGCGATTGCCTAATTACACTCACGAAACTCGCGTACCACGCTTACCTACGGAGATGCAATCTCTTCTCGTAGGAAGCTATCTTACCTCCCTTTATCGGACTTGATGACGGTTTAAAACAACCAAATCTACCATCACTAGTTTGTATCGAAACGATATGTATCGAAATGACTTTTAATTTGTACCGAATCGAGTGTATCGATGCATCGAAACCACTTGTATCGAAACGACTTTGCATCGAAACGACCGGTCGCCACATACTAATTTTGATCTTGCTCTTACTTCCAAGTTTCTGAACTTTAAGATGACATTTTCTCGCAGCCTGTCTGGGTTTGGAGCCATTGCTACGGCCATTATCCAGGAGCTCAAATGCCTGAAAATAAAACACAGTTTAAACATGTTGCATATCAATGTTGAGCTTGGTAATTGCTAAGGATACAGCATCCTTAGCGCCATTACAAACCAGTGCTACTTCCACACTAATGTCGTAGACGCTAAAATATGCATTGACTCACTGGGCAATCAACATGTAGAGTTTTAAAAAAGTTATAAGACCTTGTTGGTTAAATGCGCTGCGTTTTCCTTTTTTTATTTTTTTGGTTTTCTATTTGATGGAAGGACGCTGCATTCGGTTAAAACATCGAGGGAATTAATTTCACCTTCTGTTTCCTGATTTAATCCTGATGGGTTGATCTGGAGCCAGGAGATCATGGAGATCTTTGTACACAATCCCAACAATCACTGATCCTAAACAGAGAAGAGGAGAAATATATATCAAGCTGAAAAAAAACGTGATAATTTGAATTTCAAAAGACTACGAATCAAATAGACGGTGTAAATTACCAAATAAATTTCATGGTGATGGTTTTCAAACCATGGAAAGAAAAAAAAACCAAGATTAATGTTAATTTCAAAACAGTACGAATCAAGAAGACTGTGTAAATTAACAAAAATCTATGGAAATTTGAAAAGAAACCATAAGAGCATTTTGCCAATACGTTAGAAAGTTGACTAGGTGGTCAATACACACCGTTTTTCGCAAAATTTGCAGATGGAACATTTATGCTTGCTTGCCATTCTTGTTTCCCAAGATAAAAGTCATTCGCATTTTGGCGCTGGACTTTTTGAATACGCAGCGCTGACAAGAAAAAAGCATATAAAAAATTAACAATGAAGTGTGTTGGAAGAAATCCGTTTCGGACTGGACTGCGAGTATGACGTCATTACCTTACTGTATTATGATTGTAGAAACGCTGTTTTTACTTTACTACGCAACAAGTACAATTCACCCTTTCACTCCATAAAAGAACACGACAGAATTTCTCCTTACAATATCAATACAGTATCAAGCAGACAAGTCATGAGAATAAAAAAAATTAACTAGGGGATTATATAACTTGATCCAATACCAATTTCCCCAAGTAACATAACAAGAACTATATGGCCGACAGTAAGGAGAATTACTAATGAGATCTTGGAAGTTAAAGGGTTTACCCTCATAAGAACATAGAACCATCGAGAACAAGACATTTCAATATTTTTTAAGGATGAAAATCACTGGCAATTATTTTCGCTTCTAAAATGATTGATAAACGCAAACAGTTAAAGGAAGGAGCAGATGGATCCATTTGATCCAGCAATAAGGCTTGTAAACTGGAACACGCGTCATAGTTTATTACATCATCAAGGCAGGAAGGCCATTTTATCATTTCACTACCCAGTAAGTGGATAAACTAGTAATAGATCAGCGCTAATCAGGACAGTTGATGTTCGTGTTCTAACTCACCCAATTTGTGGCTATAGAACCCTTCTGAAGACCTCGTTCCAACAAGGTGAAGTTTGCCATACTTAAGAACAAATTCCTCGAATGCATCTGCCACGTCAAAGGTGGATGCTCTGCTTTTCTCAATCTGTTCTGTACTAAACACGCCGTCAAGAGATTTCATGATGTTTCCCATACTGATGACGAAGTCATCAAAAACCCCTATAGCCTCCTGCAATAGCATAAAATGTATTTTGTTGTTGTTGAGGTAAGCTGCTAAGCATATGACACTGATTTTCAGTGTGACTCAAGGAAATGATCTGAGTCTCCCACGAGCATTCAAACCGCAGACCCTCTGATCTTGGTCGGGTACTTAATCAACCAAGCATAAAAGATCTGAACCCTTTGTTACGCACGTGCATATTTTCAATATATATTTTTAAAGTTAGAATAAAAAAAAAAAAAAAAAAAAAAAAAAAAAAGGAAAAGAATCTGCAGTCTAGAATGTGCTCAGATTGAAGATTCGTCGAGGAAGTCCACGTTTGTCTCTCTGGGTATCAACTACTTGCGATTGTCTTTTTAATAAACACTATCAATTCATATGCCTGTAAAACGTAAGCCTGTGCTACGTCTCCGGCTGAAAACGTGGTTGAGGTTAATCTTTTTTATCAGAGCCTACTCTTATTATAACTATACATTTATGCACAAATTTGGTTTATGTTGCTTAGCAATATGTGTGTAATTGAAATACCTTCAAGGAATCGTTTCTGGTGATCTCTATTCTGTTAAATTTAGAGACATATTCGTTTGCCTAATACAAAGAAAATAACAGTTACAATTGTGAACCACGAGAATTCTAACAATGACAATCACAAGGACAAGGATTACAGTTGATAGAGTACAAACCAGTTTACGAATTTTTCTCGACGGTGAAGAAGACAACAAAGGCTGCGGCGACGGTTGTGTCCATGCTGATTCCGTTGATGCAGAGAGTGCTGCAGGTGACGGTGAAGATGATGATGTACCCGTTGACATTAATAAATTTCCAGAAACAAAAAAAGCAACAGAAAGATTAATTGGTAATGATTATTATAGCATTAATC